AGCTTGGTAGCGTAATGTATTGTATATAGAAAGAATTTTCTTCATGTGATAGATTACACATAAGAACAATGCATGTTTTCTTTTAACTTCATATAATTTTACATTATATTTTTATAATGCAATGTGTGAAATTTAACTGGATTGTATATAAGTTGTGACATGCCACCCTGAAAGTCTTTTTATTTTATATTCTTATTTACATCTTTCACAGCTAATTTATTTATTATATATATATAAATCTTAAGTAAATCCCATGAAAAATAAAAAAGAAATTCTAAAGGATTTAAAAAAAATCTTTAAGGCCTTTCCAATCAAGTATTATCGCTGTATTTAGTCATTTTCTTTAGCAATCACATTTACACAATTGAAACGATCTATGACATCTATAAATGATGATAAAAATGTTAGTATTTCTTGATGTAGTAAAAAGGAAATAAGTTTTGGGCCTTTCATGTTGCTGTTTTCCTGTATTTATAAACTTTTGACATTTCCAATATATATTTTCAAAGCTTACTTCAAAGTAAAACACAGTTCAATTAAACTCTAAAAGGGTCTGTATAAAATTGTGTTTTAATTTATTTTAATCTTTCAATTGTTATGTCATTTGTGGGCAATTTATTTATTTAGCAATATTTAAATGCCCTCTTAATCCATATGGACTGTGGGATAAATACCATAGTTCAAGATATAATACAGAATATCTTACAGCTTTTAACTTATTAAACAATTTGGAACTCGTGTATATGTGTTTATCGTTATATATAGTTTTAATTGTATTCATTTTTTGTTATCTTTTTTAAAATACCAGCTAGAATATTGCTCTTATGAAATGAGCAGCTTTCTCTGTTGGAATGGTACATAGGGTGAATAGAAGAACGACTTAATATATTGTTATCTATTATAAAGGATGCATGTAGCAATTTACTAACTGAGCTTCTAAATAAAAAAATGATACGTACATGAAGATATGGATAGTCCTTTTCCTGATTGAAAGTTCTAATTAAGTGAATAGAGGAAAATTAACTGAAATTAGCTGTCAGAAAATCACATTTAAATGACTGATGAGTTACTCAGGCAGTAAACATTTAAATGATATAAATTGCCATTTAAGTGTATGGTTTAATGTTTGTCATGCATTAACATGACATGAGATTGCAGTGACAATCAAGCAGCTTGCTCTAATTTGAACATATTTAGGGCTTTTGTGTGGAGTGCACCACACAAATTAAGACAATTGCTGTTTTTTATGTGTCAATATAAATGTTTCTTCAGGCATCAGTTAATGAAACTAACCAATCATTTCTGTATGCATATTGCAGAGTGGCTTCTCAGAGCCTGACTAAATTTTCCTTTTTAAATAGGACCTTTCCTTGAAAGAAAACTAGGCTTAATTTCTGTAATTATAAACGTATCCTGCTTCTTTGCTTTACTTCATCTGCACTTCTCAAATCCAAAGGGAAATGAGATTTTTCCATTAAAGCTCCATGCATCATGCTACTGACTTTTGTTGCCTTTTCCTCAGACAATTCAGAATGTGGTCTGCTATTGCACATATACATACAGGTATAGAGATCGAAATATTTTAGCACAAAATATTCAGCCCAAAATATTTTATGTCTGATGTAAAAAGAAACCAAGACATACACTCTTACTTTATGTGTATAAGCCATCAAGTCTGGCAGCTGATCTTCATTTATCATTAGCAAAAAGAATGCATCCATCACCAGAATTAAAGTAACAAGATGGCTTCTTGCTGGTAAAGAATAGGTTGATTGTACACTCATTCTGCTATCTGAATTGATGCCCTTGAACTGATCCCTAATTGAAATTGTAATCTAAAATAAATTGATCTATGTCCAGAAAAAGAGTGTGCTCTGGATGATCATATGGAATTTAAAATATTTAGACAAATTCAGTGGATAATGTTACCTAATTTGTACTTAAGCTATGTTCTGTGAAATGTTCTTAACAGATCTGTAAGATAAAATTGCATGGTTGCTTTGGAAGCTTCTGATGGGTATTGGCAGGCATATATATGCACATCTACTTCATCATCAAGGCCACAACATGTTCAAGCAGCTTCAAGCCTGACTGCTTTAAACAGTTGGAAAAAGAAGAGCTTTGTACACAATCCTCCAAGTTCTGAGGATTCCCCTTCTTCTGAAAGATTTTGCACACTACCTGTGTTAAACAATGGATATATGATTGTTTAATAATTGCTTAATGATCTGAAGGACAATTAAGTCCTAATCTCTTTCCCTGATGTCTTTTGATTCACTTGAAACTTTTCATTGTCCAACACTAAAGGTCAACATGAACAAGTTAGTTTTAGAAAAGGCTAAAACTTCTTGAACAAGCTTGCTTTAGAAACAGTTGACAAATAGGAAGTAATATTGCTGATGTATTGTAGATAATTGAGAAAGCCAAGAAATATCCAAAAGAAATAAGTATATGCTTTATTGATAATAGAAAGATTTTTGGTTATGTCAGTCATATCAAACTGTGTAATATATTTAGAAAATATTAGAAAAATGGGAATCCAGAATATCCAGTTATCTTTGTATAAAACTTATACACAGGTCAGAAACCATAGTACAGAGAGCACATACATTACTTATTTATTCAACATATATATTAAATATATATAAAGGGAAACTGGACTGGAAGAAAATAAGTATGGTTTTAAAGCTGGAGGAAGAAACATCAATTACCTGCGCTATGCTGATGACTCTACCTTGATAGCCATAAAAGCAAAGGAATTGCAAGCTCTAGTAATTACATCAAAAGCACTGATGGAAACATTGAACTAAAATTAAATATAAAGAACACACGAATGACAGGTACAATAAGAACTTAGAATTGTCAACTAAGATACTGAAGTGGTGGATAGCTTCTGTCTCAAGCATGTAAGATATCAAGCAGTCAAGAAATGTGCTGCAAACTAGCACTAGATAAATTAAACATGAAGGCCTTGGAAAAGATACTCAGATATAGGCTATGTACTGTATATACCTACAAAATCAGAATAATATATAGTTCCCTGTGAAACTCTATGGAAATTGTAAGTTGGACTTTTAAAAGGCATAATAGAAATAATATTGGTGCTTCTGAACTTTGGTTCGGAGAAGTCTCCAGAGAATATCATGCACAAAAAAATGAGACAGAAAAATCAATGGATCAACATACAAATCAAAATTTCTCACTTGAGGCACCGATGATCTGTCTCAGATTATCCCACTTCAGGCACAGGATGAAAAGATCTACTCTCTGAAGGTTCTAATGCTGGGATAAAAAGAAGGGAAGTCAAGAGTATGACCAGCAGCAGGGTGGATCGTCTGAGTTTCAGTGGTGAAGACCTGGAAGAACAGACTAGAACAGATTGTCATGGAGAAAGTCTATGAAGTTACTTAGAATTTGAAGTCTCTGTAAAAAGAAAGTTTGTTGAAAGAAAGCATTATTTTATAGCATGATCAGTTGAGATTTATATTGCTTGAAGAGAATACAAATGAAAGAAGAGATGGAATTTTTAAAAAGTCAATCCTAACTCACTAATGATGTATGATGTATTTAATGATGTGTAGCAATTATAACTTAAACTGATTTAGAAATTACATTGGTTGATTTCTATTATAAGACAAGATTCTGAAATAAGATTTTTGTAATGCTTTTAGTTTATTGTGTTGCTGTATTATTAATAAAGATTAAAATAAATATTAAAATTATATTACTATTATAATTGCTGTTTTTATTTAATTATTTCAATAATTGTTTAATTATGATATTTAATTTATAAATTGTCACGTGTCCATATGATTTATATTGACTGTTTCCTAGTATGATTTGATTGTTTATTGTACCCTGTGACTATCATTAAGTGTTGTACCTGATGATTCTTGACTCTTGACGAATGTATACTGAGAGTATTTGCACCAAGACAAATTCTTTGTGTGTCCAATCATACTTGGCCAATAAAGAATTCTATTCTATTCTATTCTAATTAATAAATTTATGTATAATTTACTATAAATAAATAAATAATTTAATTAACCTTCCAAAGGTTAGTGCTGACCCATTTTAATTATATATAGGAGATCTACTATTAAAGGAAATCTGAGAATTCAAAATTAGCTCCATTCAAAATAATGCTAGTTAACACATAAATCACTTCTCGAAAACTACTGACATCTATAAGTGAAGAGAAATGATGCAGTATAAAAATCTGAAAGTCTAGTATGTTTGTTGCATTTTTCCATACTACAGAGGAAATTGTAACTGACACAAATTTATATGTTTACTCCAGAAAACTACGCATTTAACAAATCAGTTATAGTGCTAGTAAAATTTACCAATTGTCTTCTAGCTATTTATGTCATTTTGTCAAAATTCAAGATAGATATAATAAATTATAAGTTGTGATAAAGTTGTGTTATATTTAATAGATAGATTGCATCATTTTAAGATAGTGGCTACTTCTATTGTTTCCTGTTTCTGCAGTTGGAAATGGTGCATAAATTAAAAGGCCTCAGCAATTTTTATTTAGCTAAATAGAGTATTTTCTTTCCCACACTGGTACTCTTCAGATGTGGTGAGACAGAGGTGCCCACACAACTGAAAGGTACAAGATTGGGATGATTAATATCGTCTCTCTTGTCCTTTCCTATTATTGTCAGATTAGACTATGATTACTCATCCATGGTGAATTTAATTGTTCATAGTACAACCTTGAATTCTTTTAATACTAGTACAAACTCTATTGCAAATGTTAAAAACTAAACCAGGGACAGTGCATGGTGTATGGTTGCATGGCACAGTTGGTTCAACATATTCTAACAGCTACATTTAGCATAGTCATAGTTTGTGAAATAGTTTGTGAAATAGTCATAGTTTTTTTTTCTCTAAGGCACTTGCATATTTCTAACCTTTGCATTGTGGTTTATGTAAGATTGTGGACAGAAAATAAGTTTGAGAAACAATATAAACAGTGTTGTATTTTGTTTCAGGCTTTGGAAAGCGAATTTGTTTCCTGTCAACTGCACCAGTGGATTGATTTGATTTTTGGCTATAAGCAGCAAGGGCCAGAAGCTGTCAGATCTCTAAATGTTTTCTACTATCTGACCTATGAAGGAGCTGTCAATCTTAATTCAATAATGGATCCAATGTTGAGGGAGGTAAGCATGTTGATACTTGGAAGAATAAAAAATTATGAAGAAATTTGGGACTTTTTGAAATATTTATAAAGCATATTTGATTTTATTTTAATTTAAAAGTATTTATAGACATTTTAATGCAGAGTTCCTCAATCTTTCCACATTGGTGGTCCTAGTGGGGGGAGGGGGAAAAGAGGAGATCATTTAGTGGGATGGGCAAGTGCATGTGCATATGCATGCATGCGCGAGAGTACCTGCAACATTCATGGTGACACTAGTGAGAGTAGGACCACAAGTGCCTGTGATGATGCTCTCACAAATGGGGTTATGTGTGCACGCAGAGGCGTTTGCACCATCCGGGCGCTCATGCAGCACGGTGGTGATTAGCCCATGGCCCAGTAGTGGGCCATGGCCCATAAGTTGGGGACCCCTGTTTTAAAGAATATTTTCTACTCTAGCCACATTAACATAATGCCTTAGATTTATTTTGTTTACACAAGGGATAATTCTTCAAATCAGATTTTGTAAGTTATTAGTAAGATGTTTTTTTCCTTTCTACCTTGTTTCTTCAGCAATGGTCTTCTGTCTACAAGGTTTGCTACATTTTACAAATGGAAAAAGCAGTTTGGGAAACTGAAAAGGGAAATACTGTAGCTAGCAAGTATTTTTGAATAAAATGACTTTGGGGAGGTTTTGGAAATATGTAAGACTTCATGTAAAAGAAAGAAAATATACATCACTATTGACTGTTCTCTTTGTAAATTTTAGGGATATTATTATAAGCTTTTATAATGAGAATTGTGGATTTAAAATGTTTTAATTAAATATTTATAGTTCTTCCTAGATTTTCCATGTGGGGTTTTTTGAATTTTTTTTTAGAAAAAAGCCTAGGAAATCTTTATGATTGGTGCATCATTTTTTATGCAGGCACTAAAAATAAAAGAAAATCCAATGGTCTTTTTCATATGTAGTCCTATAAGAACTTATTTTTCCATAATTTAAAACAAATAGATCTTTATCAACAAGGGAGTGTATAACATGCAATAATAGATCTGGCAAACTTTATAAAATGCTACGTACATGAAATGCACATTCGAAATATTTTTTTCTGAATTTGTAAGATAATAATTGTTTGAATAATTGATTTAAAAACAGGTTGCACCACTGCTCCTGTCTTCACTGGCATTATCATGTTATGCTTTTCTACTTGAGTCCAATCATGGCTGTTTTTATTTTCGTACAACTAACAAAGTTCACTTTTATTTATGATTTTCTGACATTCTTTTAAAGAGCATAAACAATGGACTTGAGGCAGGATTTTCTGATTTCTAGCCTTGCTTTCATGATATACTAAGAGCATTTTAGGAGAGCAAGTGGGTGTCTGGGTGTATCTGCATCTGTTTATTTGTTATTAAACCATTTTTCCAGTTAAATCTAGTATAGAAAGCTGCTAGGGTAACCCTGGGGGTTTCCCAGCTTTCCCCACACCACAATAAATTAACTAGAATTAGGTAAATTGATATGACATAAATTCCACTTGCAAACACATGTATAAGACAAGAAGTCATGGTATCCATGCATTCTTTGTAATATCTTTTAAAATACAAAGAGTTCAAGATTAGTAGTGTGATTAAGTGTCTTTATTACACAAAGGGACATACAGAATGCTATTTTCTTTTTGCCAAGAAATCTGGAATTTTGAAAGAACAAAGAAGTTTTCACTATGTTAATTTCCTAGATAGCCAACACATGTGGAAAAACAGCACTACAATAATTTGTGAATAAAAGGGTCTGTTCCTTATTTTACTATTTCTATGATGTAATAGCTTAACAGTCTGCTGCACTTTAAACACTGAGGGAGTCTTTAATTGTTTAAAAACAGCTTATGCTGATAAACAAAAGAATGAAGCTTACTATTATTTTGGCCTAACATATGTTTATTAGTAAAAATGTAATTAATTTTTGAAAAGCTTGTGATCACTTAATACAGCCTTCTGTTGACCTTCTGGAATATTTGTTAATTTCTTTTGCTTTTCCTCATGTTAACATTTTCCTAGATTTTAATTATTTCTTCATGATGTATGAGCTAAAGGGTAAAACAGACCAATGAAAAAGTTTGGATTATATAATGTTGCAGTTTAGGAATAGGAAAAATGATATGGTAGTCTTTGATATTACTTCACAAACAGTGCATTACAAATAGCAAGAAGCCCAAGATTGGTTTGTTTTAGCCTTTAATACAGGTATAGTATTATTATTTTTTAAAGAATAACTTACATTGCATAGAGGGGGGGAAACATTATTAGTACTTTAACGATCAGGAAATATAATGTCCCTTGAAGGTAGCTTTGTTTACATTCCATATTATGAAACAAACAGGATATTCATTGACCATGTCTCTTTATCACTTGTCAAATCTTCAGAGTTTTGGCTTACCATGGCTTTAGTCAGTTAAAATGAAGATGAACAAACATTTGCTAACTCTTCTAAAGTTAACATCAGAATTGAAACTGATTCTCTGCTTTTCTTTAAGATTAGTAATAAGGCAAAATCAACATTTTTGGATTATTTTCCTCAAGGGCTTTTGAGGAAGAGATGAGATACCTTATATGACATTTATTTCCTAATTGCTATAACTATTGGACACTCCTAATTAATTTGTTAATTCCTAACATCGGAAGAATAGATTGCATTTTCCTTTATATTCTGCTGTTCATGGTTCAGAAATTGTGACAAGTCTCTTCTGGTATATTATGCCTTAAGGCTTAGACATTCAAAGAAGTATTCTTTCCTACCATTACTACTGGAGAATCATTTTTCCCTTAGTTATGGAAGAAGGCAAAAGAAATATGAAAGTTCTATGCATATCTCCATGTAATCATACCAATATGTATATGATATGCTGTCAATCCATTTGATAAATGAATTTCTTATACACCCTCATACTAACTCATCATCTTCCTGTCTGTTTATCCGTCTCTTCAAAGATTTATTCTAACATCCCAAAATTGAGAGCAACTTATATGACCAGCATTGACTTGATTGGTCAGAAATTATAGTTTGAATAAAAGTGAAATATTTTTGTTAGTTCATAAAAATAGTTTGCTCTCTATAAAGAGGTTTGCCAACTTCTCTAAACATTTTAAATTTTACTGCTTTGCGATATAAGAACCTCTGAAACTAATTACAATGGAACACAGTTTCTTAAACTAACATATTGAAGTAAATGTCTATGAATTTACAAGTACATTTGGTCTTTTAAAAAGAAATGTTATAATTTATCCCAAGGGAAAAATGTTTTAAAGGAAGTTGTTTATTTAGGATGCTTTATTTATATAATGATTAAACTGAGATTATAAACTGTATATCTAAATATTAGGCTGAATTTGAATTTTTTGTTATGGATAGAACAGTTGTTTATGACAACTGTTTTTTTTTTACAAAAAACTTTCATAGGACGAGAAGATAGAAATGAATTGATTTATTTTTTATAGCTCATTATGTCCTCTCAACATTGATCCAGACATTTTACTAACACTATGGAATAAATTTTGGAGACTGTAGCCAGTAAAATTTATCATGAAAAAAAAATGTTTATCCCTGTTTTAAAGATGCCAATTTTCTATGAATAAAATTCTACTGAGAGAATGCTTATGATAGTGTAACATTAATTAGGATTCAAGTCACTATCAATGACACAATAGGAATAATTGTTATTCTGAAAAACTGTATGGTTCAATAGTACATATATTGAAACTTGCTTAATTAATAATTGTTTTATTTTTTTAATATGATGAAAATTCTTGCATAAAATAAATGTCAAGTCCCATTTCTTCCAAATTACATTGTTGAAAAGAATTGCAGTGGAATTAATGCACTCTGGAAGGCATTAACTAGGTTTGTTATTTATTTATTTCAGTTCATACTATCACCCATCTCGACATCATAACTCTAGGCAATGGACACTAAAAATACAACATAACAGCAGCATAACAATAAATTATCAGCATCCAAATATAAAAACCACAAACAACTATCAACATAATCATCTCACCAGCTCATCTATACATTTCAGTCCTGATGCTTGATGACATAGCCAATTTTGAAGGCCTTATGAAAGGGCAACAGGTTTAAGTCTCAATCATTTTCCAGCAGGATGATGGGACAGAGTATCTTCTTGACCTCTGCTTCTCCAGTGTATCTCCTTAGCCTCACAGCTAGTGCTGGAAACCTTTGTTTAGCAGTCTAGGGCTTCAGACATCTGATGTGGACCTTGTTATTCTGGAGACTGTCCAAACCAGCATGATTCTACTACTTTGCATCACTCTAATATTTGTAATAGGTAGGTGAAGCATCGGGATATTTTCCCAAGGACCCCTAGGGTAAGATACTGTAGGTTCCAGCCAGGATTTAAACTCTGACCATCATGTTAAAGGTGGTACTCTAACCCTTACTCTATCCAGCCACTAAACAATATCACCACTCTCTGTCCAAAAGAGAGAAGTGTTAGGAACAACTAAGATACTGTGCAGAAGCTTCAAACTTCTGGTTCCTGGAAGAGGACCTAAGATTAGGAAGACATAGATTAGGACCCATAAAAGTGGAATGGAATTGACTTTTTAATATGTTTCAACTTAAGCTGGGCAAAGCATTTGATAATCACTACTTGAAGCTTTAAGACAGCTGAAAACTCTAGACCAGGGGTGTCAAACTCAAGAACTGGAGGCCAGATCCGGCCCATGGGGTGTTTAGATCTGGCCCATGGGGCTGCTCTGGAAACAGAGAAAGACCGGTCCACAGTGTCTCTACCAGTGAAAATGGAGCTTGGGAGGGCCACAGGTGGCCCTCCTAAGCTCTGTTTTCACTGGCAGAGGGTTGCAGGAGACCATCACAGCCAATAATAGGACTTGGGAGCCCGTTTTTTTCTGGCAGAGTGTTCAGGCCACCACAGGCGCCCCCAACATAATGATGTCGAGCTGGCCATGCCCATCCAGGCCCCCTGAGGTCAAACACAACCCTGATGCAGCTCTCAATGAAATCGAGTTTGACACCCCTGCTCCAGACAGATGTCACAAAGGCTGTTCCCGCTGTGCATCTGTGTTCATGCATCATTTGTTTATTTTGCTGATGAATCCAATAAAAATGTGAAGTTTCTCTTTTAAATGCTTTCTATAGTCTTAATTTCATTAGTGTTTGTGTATAGGTCTTGTTTAGATATTAGAAAATGTATCAATTATTAATATATTCCAGCAGTTGTTGCTATATTATGATTCCCATTAACCCTTCACCTTTGAGCATGCAGGCTGCAGCTGCTAGGAAATTCAGTAATACCTAGAAGACAACCGATTTCCCACCTTTAATATGCAATTTGCAACATTATTTTATTGATTTTTGCAATTTTTCATTTACAGGACCCTTATTTCTTTTCTATAGAAGAGATCTACTGCCCTTTCAAAATCTCATGACATCTTATGCTTTTTAAAAATTCTTGGTGGAAGCTGGAAATTTCAGTTTTAAATCATAAGAAGACAACTTAGCCAGTGAATATTTCATAAAGTCAAATGCAATTTGTATTTACAACATCGTTCAACAGTTGCTCAAGTTATTTGCAGTGGTCTTTTTTTATGAATAGGTGTTTCTATATGTCTTAGAAAATTAGTATAATTATTAGAAAAGGTAGATTTATTCTGAAAGTGTGATTTAAATAAATGAGGACTCCACATAGACACAGCTCAGAAGGTTTTTGGAAGCAAATTATCTTGGTAGAAGTTGTAGCCAGAAGTGTGCTGTCCAGATGGTTTGTTTGACACAGTGCAGCACAGGAACTGTGTGTGAAAAGCTAAATAAATGTTAAGGATTAGTCTAAACTTAATTGAAAACCTCCATGTAAAATACCATTAAATGGTACCAGTTTTTATTTATTTTTTAAAAAAATGTATTGAATCCAAACATACTATTTAAGGATGTAATATCTAATAGAGGCAGTGTAAGAGTATGTTTGATCCATCACGAACTTGCTGAAAAATAAATTTCAGTCAATTATAAGGATGATTTCAGTCAATACACTGGATAGAATTATGTATTACAAATAATTTGTGTTTAAATTGGCAATCTCTAAAGGATATTCCTTTTCCAGTAATAATTAACTTTAAATCTTGATATGGGTAAGTTAAGTGCCTCATATCCAGCACTGTGACTTTTGATATGCATCCTGAATGATAGTTTTATTATGATGATATATGCAAAGTGATAGTTCCTAATCTCATATGTAAATCTATTTCAACCCTAAATATTTGCAGCACTGCATGTATTCTCTCCAGTCTTCCTTATAGTTTCTTTGAAATCCTTTTCCATTTTTTTCTTTGTCTCTTTGAAGTATTTTCAAGGCTCATTTTTCTTATTCCTCTTTTTCTGCTTATTTCCAGTAGCCAGAGATTTAGGTGTTCTCAGTGAGCACATCAGCGTTCCAGACAAAGACACTGTTTGAAATTATCCATGAACCTAGTGCCTCTAAACATTATTGAGTGGCATTTGTTTCTGTAGGTTATGTCTGCTCTGCCTAACTGGTTTATTTCAGATTGGCAGCTGGGATTACAATGTGGTAGATGGACAGTTTGCATGGTTTGAAGACTGCATTGAAGCTGTATTAGTAGCCTCGGTGTAATATGTCTGGAATGTACAGCCTCAGATTAGAGAAAGTTGCAAACTTCTCCACTGAAGGAGAAATAAATTGTTTTTGCAGGCTGTAATTATTTCTCTGCTTTAACTCAAGAGTTGCAACATAATTATACCTGCAAGAGTCATTTTCATAATTAGGCAGGACAAAAATAGGTTTTATTTATTTTCTTATATAAAAAGTATTGTTACAGTAAGATGGTGTTCTAAAGAACCTAGATTATACTTCGGTTTCATTCACCTTAATATTTTAAAATACACTTTGTTTTCATACATATACATATTCTGGGGTACGTAAGTAGTGGTGGAGGGAAGCAGCACCTGAAAGCAATATTAACACAAATATTTTATGATTTTAATTTTCAGAATTGATAAATAGCACAAAGATTTTACTTTTGTTCTCATATATTCATATGAAGCAAATGTTGCATTATTTAGATACCAAAATAAGCTTCTACTTTCCAATGATCTAAGAATTTAAATGTAAGGATTTCTAAAAAGTCTTTTGATTTTTCTGTCTGGCCAAATCTCTGTTCTTTACTGTCCAGAACCAACCATTCCAGACTGTGCGTAGGGGTGGATTAGGTTAGGGTTGTTGTCAGGGAAGGATGTAAAGGGGATGTGAGAGGGGCAAGGCAAGCATACAAGTGGCCAGCATGGTGCATACCACAGAGGGGCTGGATGAGACTGCAAATGGGAGAGACTCACCTCCGCAACTTCCAGCCATCCCTCTCTGCTTTGCTATTGATTTCCAGAGGAAGTCAGCAGGGAACATCACAAATGGTGATCATGTGATTGTGGGGCCCTTTGGCCCTGCTTGTAAGTACTAACAGTTTGACAAAAAGCCAGATCACGTGACTGTATGGATGCTGAAACTCCAAGGCTACTCATAACCACCATTCATTCAGTGCCATTTTAACATGGAATGGTTGCTACAGTCATCAGTCAATAGAAGAAGTGTTGGTGAAAATAACAGAACTAGCAAAGATGGCAAAATCAACTTTTTCGATTAGGAAAAAAAAATCAAAAATTACATTTAGCAGTGACTGAAATCCCCTGTGAACTTTTTGCTGAAAAAAAGAAAGAAAGAAAAACAAATTGGTGGTTTATGGGTTTGAATATTAAAAAGGGCAACTTATGGAAAGAAGGAAATTATGAAGTAATTTAGGACAGAGATGGCAAAATTTATTTATTTTATTTATTACAACTTTATATTTTTTATAAATAACTCAAGGTGATAAACATATCCAAACACCTTCTACAACCCTGTGAGATGAATTGATCTGAAGGAGAGTGACTGGCCCAAAGTCACCCAAAGTTACCTAGCTGGTTTTCATGGCTTAGTGGGACTAAAACTGCTTTCTAGCCTGTTGCCTTAACCACTAGACCAAACTGGCTGTCTATATAATATAACTACTTTCACAAGTTTGGAAACTACTTCTTCATAACCTTCCTTTTCCTTTCTTTCAATTTGTTTTTCTATTTTTTATTTTTATATTTTCATGCATGCACACAAATACATGCATACATGCATACAAACATACATACATATTCATCCATTTAGTACTAAAATAAAGGTAGGTGGGTAGGAAGGTAGGATGGTAGATAGAGATAGATACCTTACCCAAGAGACAATGGCCCTGTCAGTGTGTGCTCCCTTCAAGATCCAAAAAAGAAATACTCAGACTCCATGAATTAGAGCAAAGTTCTCCTTTTACTGGAAATCAAAGTGGAAGCTACAGATTGAATTCTGAATCTGAGGAATTGGTGCGCAGATCACATATACAAAGGAATGGAATTGTTCCCACCCCCCAAAGTCCAAATGACTCTTCCAATTAAAAGTTCTGAATATGATCATGTGGGCATCTTCAGGTGGTGATGAGGCCTCTGTCCGTTGACCTTGACATATTTTGATAAAACTTCGCAGCTGCGCATAGGGAAAGAAAGCTAGCAAGGAAATAGAAAGTTAAAGACAAGAATTTATACACCCCCTCCTCTTTCTTACCCACAGCACAAGAATGTAACACCTCCAGCTCTCTTCCCCCTCCAAGTCCCCCCTCCCCCCCGTTGCTAATGACAGCCGAAAGAAAGCAGTGAGCATAGCAGCAGAGAAGATGCAGAAAAGATGTAGAAGATATCTTGAGGCTGACAGGCCCTGTAATTTGGGCATACAGAAACAACAGAGCATCTGCTTCTCTAATGTCTGCTATATAGAGACATTTGTACTAGCTTCCTCTCACCATTACTGTGTAAATATCCAGGATATATAGGACACCTCTTCTATACCTCTGCTGCTTTCAGACATACTGTGTTGCCAGGTTTTTGCTCAGCAGTGCTTAAAATTCATTGGATGATGACTGTATCGTAAACTAGAATTAATGAGCATCCAGTTCACCATGCTGCCTCCTTCTTGCTCACATAGCAAATACTGTTTTAGTTTCCAAACAGCCCTCAACTCTCTCACACACTGACAGGATGCTAGCCAGATGAATACTGATGGATGCTGGTAGGAAAAGGCACAATTTTTCCCCCTTATTTTCCTCCCCAAAAACTAAGCCCGATCACATAGTTTCGTAGCGAAGCACAGGTATAGAGCCAGTTTATGATAAATCTAATCTTTTTCCACATAAGAATGTATTGATGATGTCTTTCCCAGGCAGTGGAAGCTCAGATCCGAAGTTTTGGACAGACTCCTTCCCAAGTGCTTATAGAACCACATCCTCCAAGAAGTTCTGCTATGCAGTTGGTAAGTTGGATCCAGATTTTACACCCTGGTAAAATGGCTACTTGAATTAAAATACACAAATAACAAATATTCTCTTTGTTTCAAATGTATAAAATACAAACATTTTGCACGCATAGCAGAACTTATATTTTCATAGTGAAACTTTTAAAAATATTCATTCTTCCACTGAAATTATAATTATTACAATTTATCAGAAACTGAAGAACATCATTATTTTAGGGATCTTATTTAAGTTTAATCAGATGAATATAGAAATTTTTAAATAATGATGCTCCATTTTAATTTCAGGAACAATACAACATGATCATAGTTACTAAACTTTATTGTTCTCTTTTTGTATATGTGCAGGTGTATAAAATATGGCTTTTACAAAGCTATTTTATATGTTCAAAAATATTCAGATGATATTTAAATCAGCTCTTAGTATTTGATATTCCTTTTCACATAGGAATGCAATTTAGAAATAAAAAAGAGAGGAGAGATATACAGAAATGGGGGAAAAATGACTTTTGAAGTGAAAACAAAAATAAAAGCAAAATATAAATTTAATCAATACTGCATTTACCCAATTTCATTAAAAATGGTATTAAGTTTGTGTAAGCATTTTGAAATTAGTGTGTGGATTTAAAGTCATTTAAAGTCAGATAACACTATAGCTACCGTGTTTCTCACAAAATAAGGCCGAGCCTTATTTTTTTTTGAGCCTCGAAAAAACGGCTAGGCTGTCTTTTTGGGTGTGACTTAATTTCCTCCCCCCACACGCAACCCCACTTAGAGCGCCACACACACTCACCTCGCCACGAGGCCACTTCTATTGGCCAATAGAAGCGCCCCAAGGGCAGAGTCACCAGCCGCTTCTATTGGCCGATAGAAGCGGTCTCGTGGCGAGGCATGGCTACACATCAGGTTCCCAACTGCAAACTCAATTGCATACATATGCCGTTGTCAGAGTATATATCAGACGATCTCAAGATTCCTGCTGCATTTCTGCTTCCTGAGCCAGCCGCTCTTCTTTGTCCTCTCGGATAGCCCTATTTCCCCCCTCCCCTGATTTCCCACTGCAACCACTTGGATGAAATGGGTCGCAGGAGGGTCGCTAAAGAAGCTGATTCCACCTATCACCTGCAATGGGCAGTTCCGGGCCCCTCCGCTTAGGCTGCCAACTAAGGGAACTCACAGTTTACTCAATTGCCCAACTGGTTTCAAAGGGAGGTTGGGGAGATCTTTGTGCCCCTTGCCATCCACTAGCATCTTTGAGGGAGAAGGTATGCTTCGAGGGGAAACGTGGAGATTGCTGTGCGTAAAACTGTGAGGTAAACAGCCTGCCTTTCTCCTACCTTCTTCTCAAGGTTTTGCTTGCAGCCCGACCACTGACAGGTGGTTGAGTCCGGCTTCAGCTCTCCCTTGTGTGCTTGGTGGGGTATTTTGGCATCTCTTTTTCAGACAGTACAAGGGTGAGGGTAATCCACAAATATAGTTTTGGCTTCTGTACAGACATTGTAGTCTGTGGTGTGGTTTGCACAAATACGGTACCTACCTTGCCCTGTTCCTATAGTTTGCCTGTAGAATAAGACGATACACATCTCTTAAATCCCCCATTCCTAGATATTCCCTGCCCGCGGGGCGCTTCTATCGGCCGATGGAGGCAAGTCTGCCCATGGGATGCTCTAGCTGAGGCTACCTGCGGGGGGCTCCTAAAGGCCCCCCCGCCCTTTCCCCCCATTTCCCTTCAACTCGTATAGTTCAAGCGCTATGAGAAATGGTGGGGAACGCATGGTTTAAATAGGCCTAAATTTGGGGGGAAGGACTTAATTTCACCTTATGCCTAGAAAACATGCTGGGCCTTCCTATTGGGGGGGGGGGGGGTATTGTCAGAGAAACACAGTATTTCGTTGAAAATCAAGCATTCTATTCAGACAATTCCTATATTTTTTTTAAAATAATAGATCACACACATTTGTGTAGGTGTATTTGTATAGGCGAAAAATTGACAAAAATTGTTTTCATTCCATGCTATGTTAACTTTTCAGATCACCAAATCAAAGTTTTACCACTGCAACGATTGGTTTAATTGCTAAAAGTTCCACTCATTTCTCTGGGTTCTGTGTGGAGAAGCCATTAAAGGCACCCTGGGCAGTGTTAAATGCACAGGCCATAATATGCACCAGGTGTAGTAATTAGCCATCACAAGGAGGCTGCCTATTTGTCTGGTTTGGCTGCTGTTGCTGTATCCCCTTGTGTTTTCACACCATCAGATAGCTGAATTTAATTGAGGCCACATCAGATGAGGCATTACTGACACCTTTAATTGAATGAGTATCCAGGGAGGATTAACTCATAATATTGATTGGCTTTTAGCCACTTGCTCAAAAGTGTGTCTGGGTAGCTTATTAGTTGTTTTTATTTACATCTTCATGCAAAGATTTCAAATAGGAATGCATAGTGCAATATATTTTTCTAAGTACTGTTAATGTCTTTTCTTCAAAGGAGTGATATAAAAATGCATTATTTATTTGTTATCTATAAAAAGATACTAAACATACAAATACAACTAATGATAAATAGGTAAAAACCATTGTCACTCTATTCAAACTCCAAAAATATAATACCTTTCAAAAAATAGTATTTCATAAATATTCACAAATAATATTAGTAATAAATATATAAATAATAACTTTATTCCACAGAGTGTACATTAATACCATGCTCACTAACAATAAGTTCTTATATTTGCTCAGCTGTTACATATTAGTTGTCTAAAACAGTTTCAGAATCTATGAGAAAGTATGAATTTTGATAATATAACCTAATAGCACTTTGGCTGTAATTTGGTACTACCAAAATGTTAAAACTTAGTGATGAGAGTTTAAAGACTGCATCTTGATCATTCTTTCACATCAGTTATTTTATAGCTTCATCAAATAAGTATATATTATCTGATGTAATATTTAAAGGGTGTATATATATTTGCATACCAAATTAGTGTTGATTCCTGATGACTGCCTGAAGTCATTATTACTTTTCTTGGCAATATTTTCAGAAATGGTCTGCCATTGCTTCCTTCCTAGGGCTGAGAGAGAGCGACTGGCCCAAGGTCATCCCATTGGTTTCATACCTAAGGAAGGATTAGGTTTCTGGTTTTTGGCTGGTGCCTTAACCACTACACAATAAGGATACACACACATACACACAAATGTAAACAATGATTGGTAAGGTGCAAATTATTAAATTATATATTAGTGGGATCCTAAGGTTTAAAGGAGCAATTTCTTAAGTTAAGCAATAGAGGCTGACATTTTTTTAATGACACTTTATAGATGTTAGGGTTCTGATCCAACAGTACATAGCAAAGAAAGTCATCCTCTTAACAAATGAAACTTCTATTATCAAACAGAGTTATGAAGACAGGATGCAAAATTGCAAAGTATAAAACATTAAAGCGAAAATAAAAAATGCATTAGGCAAGTGATATTAAATAGATAGTCTGTTGGCATGCTGGAAATCTAGTTTGCTCTGCCCTATGTGGAAAACTGTGTCAACTTGTCTGCTGCCAAGTTGCAGTTCTAGGTCTAAGTACCTCCAGAGCCACAAGGTTCTGCTAGAAGAGCTTTGCTGAATTCTAGCTTTCCAGGAAGACGAAGGATTAAGAAAAAGGGTTGTAGCAACCAAGGATTGCTAGAAATTTATTTTTTTAAAAAAATATTATTTATAAAACTTCGACTTAAAATGTGATTGTTAATTGGGTTACATCCAAATTAAGCTAACCTCTTGAAATCTATGAGATACTTAAATAAAACAGAGATATTATGGAATTGTTGTAAAATTGGAGCATAAGAGTTTCATCTTTGCGATGGAATGTCTAATGGACCTTGAGAACATGGAGGGGCCTGGAAGAGAGTTAAAGGAAGAAGTAGGGTTGGCGCATTACAGAAGAGATCCTGAATTGAAGGGAGCAGGAAATGTGAGAAAGACACTCAGTAACTCTGCCTTAATTACATTAGGTATAAATTGTGTGAAATAAATATTTTGATAGGTTTGGGGGCTTTATTATATGACCCTACTAATAATAATTATATTTCCATAAATCCAGTGTTTCTTGAACTTGCTATCATTATGGAGCTTGACAATATTACATTCTTTTTTGTAACATTTCCTGATTTCCCCCACCTCATCCTTTATGTCAGGGTTCTCCAAGCCTGGCAAACTTTAAGACTTGTAGACTTCAACTCCCAGAATTCCCAAGCCAGCATGAGATCCCTTGCTTTATATTATTGATTTTTTTTTACCAGAAACAAATCAGTTGTGAAGGAAAAGATGGAATAGCTGCAGAAAATCTTTTGATTTATTAATATTTACAAATTAAAACTCTTCATTTGGAAATATTATTTTGAATATATTAATAACATCAAACTTTCTTTAGTTTATTCTTCTTTAAAATTCGTATCTGTACTTCTTTTTTCTATTCTTTAAAATCTACATCTATACTTATTTAAAATCTACTTCTATGTTTATTTAAAATCTACTTCTATAGACTTGTATCATGAACGAAGCAGATATTGAAGTGAAACTTTGAATGAAGCCATGGTATCTGTAATGTAACTGAACAGTAGCCCAAAAAATATATGCTTAATTGTAAAATCCATTGGTTAAAAATTAAATTATTGACTAGTGAAATAATTTCCTGGAAATGTTGTGTGAGACAATATCAGCTACCACACTGCTAGCTTCATTAAAATGGTCTAAAATGGAATTTGACTTCAGATGTCATATCCTTATTTATAATCATATAACATTGTTCTGCTGTGAAGAGGCTAGTGATAAATCTAAGGAAACATCAGCACATATTCATTTCATCAAAATGTAGCAGCTATAAAAACCTATATTCTACAATTAATTTGAATTAAAATTCCTACATGAATGTCAAGATTTTGAGGCTCTATACCACGGGTATCAAGTTCTATGTCACATGCCATCATGTGATGTCTCACAACATTTTTTGCCTTTGCAGAGCTGGGGTGGGCATGGTCTGTGCATGACACATCCGTCCCACAGGCCACCAGTCTGTCATCCCTGCTGTATACAAGAATACTTAAAGTTCAATTCGAAAAAGACCCCTTGTTTGCTACGATTTAAAAGAGCTGTGTCTTTTCCCAGGGCAGACATGTGGAGGGCATGCATGCGATCATGGAAAAAATGACACAGCTGCTTTAAAAAGTTGCAGACATATATGCTAAATACTGTCTTTAAAGCCTTTTATTGGTTCTGAATTTAAAGCACAGAAGGCATGCACAGCATATATGGATTACATACTTAATTTGTGTATCTTTTTTTAAATTGCTAAGGCATTTTATGATTTGATCTTTAATGCTATTTTGCAGTTTTTGGGGAGAACACATTTTCATCTTCATGATTTTATTTCTCTTTTTATTGGGGTTTTCTTTTCTTCACCTGCATCTGGTGATTGAGAAGCTTGGCCATTTTAATGCACAGACACCTGGAAATGTTTTAATGATGACTTGCTGTAGATGTTAGATTTGCTTACTTTTTTCCTCCTCTCCATGTAATTTTTAATATGAAATCAAGGTATTCATTAAAAATATAGTTTCCATAGCCTGTGGAAAAGTATTGCATTAGTATTCATTTGCAGCTGCTGATGCTTCTTGCTTCTTTTAATGGGGTCTTCACTGTTCCTGCACTTTATCTTTCCAATCTTCTTTGCCTTTCCCTTTTTCCCTCGTGGTTGGGATCTTGTTTTGCCCACTCAACAGTATCTCCTTCTCCAGAGTCCATTGATGTTCACAGACCAAGCTCAACAGGATGTCATCATGGTCCTAAAATTTCCATCCAACTCTCCTGTAACACATGTAGCAGCCAACACTCAGCCTGGTTTGGCAAATTCTGCTGTGATTACTGTCACTGTCAACCGACTATTTGCTGTGAATAAGTGGCACAATCTTCCTGGTGAGTGTAGAAATATTGATTACATAATTAGCAACTTGGTGTGTGGTGATAAGATGCAAAAGGGCTACTTACTTTCCATAGTAGATGGAATCTTAAGAAGTATAAGCATAGTTATATTAATGCAATGGAGCTTTTAATCATTTCAGAAATGTCGTGCTGTAAACTATGCAAACGGTGTGTAATTAATACATTATAGGAATAACAACCTCATTCTTTGGCATCAAGTTTTACAAGTACCTGAGCAATATAAGCTGTAAGTTTTACGATTTCTAGAAAGATGCCAGTTTCCTATTATTCTTACTAGAAAATCTGGAAACAAAACTGTAAGCAGAGTTGAAATGTGAATTCTTGATTGGTTATTTTCAAAACCCATATAAAAATATCTATAAGCTTTGGGTTATCCTTGGTTTGCTGTGTCAGTTTAAATTTGAGTAGTGAAAACAAATATATACAATATATATCATTTTAGGGTTATTACATGTGACCCCTGTAAATTTCCAAATGTCCTTTGTCTATCTCCTTTTTACATCAAGGTTTTCCACCAGTCTAGGAATAATTGTAATTGAATACAAATGTTCATGTATTAGTTGGTAAATTGGTTGAAATGCTATTCCTGATAGGTGAACAACTTTACTCCAAATTTAGTCTGGACTGTCAGGGAGAGGATAATGTCTGTTTGTCAGTTGGCAAGATATTGGAGAAAAACAGCTTATCTTTTGTGGTTGCTTTTACATTTGAACCAAATAGTACTGGTAAATAGTAAATGCATCCTATATTTCTGTTCTCAATTATTCCCATTTTCCTATTAACCCTTTTGTGCTTCACGAAAGCATTCCTCCTATAAAATTCTTTGTCCCCATCTTTTCGTTGCTGCTTTTGACTTTTGAAATTCATCAAATTTCTATGAAAAAAACCCAGTGTCCACTATTTTATTACTACCAGCTATTTAATGTCCTTCCTGGTCTCTTAGCTTTTTTATTCTTGTTTCAAATATTGCTTATTATTTTACTGTATAATCCCTATTGCCATTTTTTTTAAAAAAGAAAAATACAGAAATAATCATATTTCACTTGACACAAGTAAGTAAAATTGTATACATTTCATTCTGTTGATTTAACAGTATTTAACTGCTGAGTACAGTAGAACATCTATCCTCACAGAGAAAAAGCTTATATTGCTTATTATCATTTTACTGAATCATAGACTTCTGAATTCCACATGAATTAGGTAATCATTCCAACGAAGCTAGTTTCATGATCAGCATATGCTTTGCAATTTGCCTGTGAAAAGGTTGGGCATATGATTTTTCTTATACTAGTTTCCATTATTGCAAAGTTTCATTGGTATTTTGAGAAAAATGTTCTGGGAATAATTATTTTGCATTTTAGCTTTAGAAAAAAAAAAGAATGTTTTGAATACAAAAATTGTTTATACATTTATATTAAGCAAAACTAAGTTACAAATGAGAATTTCCTCTGTTTACGCCACTTTTAAATGATGATGTACCCCTTTGTATTATATGATCGAAAAATCTTTTTTTTATATAAAACAATTATTTTTAATAAATACTAAATTTGTGTTATTCTTTTCAAAGGGTGTTATTTTTGTTCCCTTAAAGGAAAGAGATGAGATCCACGATAGTTAGCAAGTGGCTGTCACATTTTGTTTTCAGCATTCTTTACCATTTGTTTTCTTTTTTTGCAATATGAGAAGCTGCTGGTTAACCATCTGCTATAGTTTATGGCCCAAATCTCTGGTGATGGCATACACTGAGAACAGAAATAAGATGAAATAAATGTATAAACAAACCTTTAAAAAAACTTGAAATTTTGGCTGGTAGAATTTAATAAATGGAAGAAAATCAAATTCTTAAAAAGACAATATCACATAATTCTTTATTTATATGATTTTTTGTGTGATTTTAGTACCTAAAATAGCACTATTTCTAAGCCTTTTTTTCGTTCTTTTAGTTCATCAAGGTGCTGTACAAGACCAGCCATACCAGCTGCCAGTGGAAATCGATCCTCTCATAGGTCTGTCACTTCCTTCTCTCTTTGCGATTCATTAAGCTCTGTATGGTGGCCCTGAAGTGTAGATTACGGTTGTTTTTCACTTGCTGGTTGCTGGGAATGGAATTTTCCTGATAAACCATTTGCATGCAAATTGGAATGCAATGAGCTGTGGCTATGCTGGTATTTCATCAACTCCCCTTCATTGGTTTGCCTAATTTGAACAGGCCTAGGACGTGTGTCAATGAAAATTAATATGGATGCCGTAATAATGTGTGATTGAGAATGCGTATGAAGTACTGTCAGGATAATATTGGGCCTTTTCATCACTCAGACTTGTTGATGAGCAGAGCAAGGCATGTGATGATGAATTGGTGCACTAGTAATGTGATGGAGCTTTTTGCTGAGAAAATTTTCATAATAACAGTAGGGTTCTTAGCGGCGCTGTGTTGTGAAAAATAAAACTCTGGTGCCAGAATTTTATAATTACAGGAGATCAATCCTTTTTTCCACAGGCCTGCTGTTCAGGCTGATGGAATTAATGTGTAATTGCAAAGCAGTTCCAGAGTTGAAATAAATGGCTCAGTCATTTGAGGTTAGGATATTAGTACTTTTTTTTTTTTTTTACTAAAGTATGGTTGACTTTAGGATCAGAAGCAGAGAAGCAGAAGATGGTTTCTCAGCTAGATTAAATCTTGTAATACATTTGATTCGCAAATATTGTATTATAGTGCTGTTGCTTAAATCACAAAGAAAAAAATGCTCTAGGTGATTTGTGAACCTTTATTTTTAAGGCATCGGTAAATTTCATATAATATATTCTGTAATGTATTTATCACAACCCTGGGAAAGCATCAGTAGATATTTATCAGATGAACTGATAAACATTTTATATTCAATGTTTAAAGCATAGGACTGTTATTCTATTCAGCCCTTCTCATGGAAGTCTGCAAGATTTATTCTTGCAGTGAGCAAAATACAGGATGAAATTTTAGTTTGGAAATGTAATACAATAACATACCTATGCCTTTTTCTTTTATGTTTATTCCACATTAATATTTAGCATGCAACTGATAGATTGGATCCTAAGATTATCTCCCTTTGATAGAGGGAGGGAATCATGGAATGCAAAGTTAGTGTTATTCATATTAGTACCTATTGAATAAATAGCACTTAAATCTGTAGATAAATGTGCTAAATCTAGGTGCAGTCTGAAAAAGACATTACCCTAAACATGTAAAGAACTGTTGCATGTGTATCTATTGATAACATTAAAGTAATAGCTAGAAATTATATCTGGAGTTAACACTTAAGCAGCTTGTTTTAGGATGTTTATTAATATTGTAAATTACTGCAAATGATCTGCAATATATTTTGAAATACAGGCAGTCCGCAACTTATGACTGGCCACTTAGTGACTGTTCGAAGTAATGTAAACCCCCACCCTAAACATACTTATGACCCAGTTCTGAAGTTCTGATGGCCAGTGCCCCTAGTGGTCATGTGATCACATTTCAGGCAGTCAGGAACTAGCCCACATTGACAATTGCTTGCTGTGTCCGACAGTCACATAACAATTTATGATGCTTTTGCTGAAAATGCCTAGGTTCACATGACAAATGAAATATAGATGAAATCTCATCTGAAGTTATCCTTGAAATCAGAGATCTCCAAACTTGGCAACTTTAAAACTTGTGGACTCAACTCAGCTATGCTGGCTGAGGAATTCTGGGAGTTGAAATCCACAAGTCTTCAAGTTGCCAAGTTTGGGGACCCCTGTTTTAAATCACTACTATAACCAATTTCCATACTATATTTATTATATTTATCTATACTGTGTTTAATATATCTTACGATTATTTTATATATATATATATATATATATATATATTCTTAATTTTTTGCTACAACTTTAAAAGCACAACTACAATGACGTGGGAAAATACCCGAACAAAGCCGAATGCCATACATACATACATACATACATACATACATACATACAATATTATTTTATATATATGTTGCTGCAGTACATAGACCACAAGTTTCCCTGTTCAAATAAAGTTCCTAGTGATCTACAATCTGTATAATGAATCATTAAGGGTTAAATCATTAAGGGTTATATAATAGGTAGTCCTCAAGGTATAACCGTAATCCCTTAGGGTCATAAATAAAAATGGTCACAAAATGAATTGGACTCATTTTTATGTCATTTTTAATCACAATTGTTAAGCAAATTGATCAACTTATTAAGTGAAAAAGAAAATCAGGCTTGCTGTTTTCTTTTGGTCGTTAAATGGTCTCCACAAGCGGAAGCAGTATGCTCCATCCCATATTTGGGTAGACCAGGTTGCCCTGATAGACTGGTCTCACCAGGAAAAAACACTTGATCTTCACAATTGTTAAGTGAACCAGTGGCTGAAACTAATAAGAAACCATTTCCACAGAAAAAGAGAAAATTGGAAGAGGGGAAAATGGCTTTTGCTCTAGTGGTAAGTTATTGTAAAGCACTAGAACATTCACTGCCGGAATTGAAAACAGTGCATGGAAGCTGCCTTTTAATTTAAAAACAAAGGCAGGTGATCTTAAAGCACATGCAAACTAACACAGTAAGTGGAATGCACAGTAACTTGCTGCAAGCAAACTCAAAACTCTTGCAAACAAACACAGTAGAGTAGAGTACAAAGGAACTTTACAGTACTGAATCTGATTTCTGTAGACATTTACTGTATTAGTATTTCTGCAAACAATCCCAAGGCAAATACATACAAGTACAATCATGAAAAAAAACCTTTATCTTTGAAAAGTTCTAACAGACCAGTACAGCAATTTGTAAAACCCTTATATCCTTTCAAATATACAAGCATTCCTTTAGCTAATGTTCGAAGTTACGTGATAAGCGCCCCTTAGCATTTATGAACAAGTCCTGAAATTACGAATGTTTCAGCACCACGCCAGTTGTTCACCCTTACAAACGACTGTGGAGGCTATGTAACATTTGTCCTGCCTATTCACTCCCCTGCCAAGTCTTCACAGGCACTGTGCCTGTGGAGACTCACTTACCTCAGTCGCTGTTTCTTTGCCTACTATGTTGCTTCAGGCTTTCAGTGCATTTGTAGAGAACAGAGGATTGTGTGAGATAACAGCGTGAGATCTTGTATGAATTATCTCATGTTATCTTGCACCTTAGGCCTCTATTCTCTGTGAATTGAGGTCTGGATATTTGAAAATGGAGGGAAGGCCTTGGTCCTTCAGGTCTTTCCTCTGTTTGCCATTTCCTTGCCAAAGCCTGCAGGGATATTACATCCCTGTAGGCTTTGGCAATCCTTTGCAAAAAGCCTTTGTTGGCACCAGCAAAGCTTGGGAGGGACAGAAGCCTCCCTCCAAAGCTATGTTCCTACTGGCAAAGGCTTTTTGCAAATGGCTGCCAAAGCCTACAGAAACGCTATCCTCAAGTGCTTTGGTGGCGAAAAAGGAGGCCTGGAGGTACATGTGCGGGCCTTCATGCCTCCTCTTTTATAGCCAAAGCCTTTCTCAAGCAGTTCAGTGGTGGAAAAGGGGATTCAGAAGGGCAAACGTGGTCCTCCACACCTCCTGTTTCATTGCTGCCACCTTCCTCAGGCAGTTTGGTGGTGAGAAAGGACGCCCAGAATGGCGCACACAGCAGAGAAGTACAGGCAAAGAAACAGGATGGAGAGGAGACAGTGACCCAGGGCAGGGAGAATGAGGTATCTGTGGGTCAGGGGAGGCCTTGGGTGGTCTGAAGCAGGTGGTCTGAAGCAGGTGGCTTTCCCCAGCCCGAGATATCTCATGTGCACTTAATGAGCCACCCATTCCATTAGTGAGTGCATGGGCAAAAGGAGTGATCACGTTCAAGGTACAAGATTTTGTACGTACATTTTGGTGGTGCATTTACAACTTCAAATGGCCTTAAAACAGACATTCATACCTTGAGGACTACCTATACTTTGTCAAGTTGTATTAATGTATATTTACTAAAATTATTGTCTCTCTAATTTGTTTGGCAAGCTGAACTTGCACTAAAGATTAATTTTATCATATCACTAATTTTGAGAGAGATAGTCAGAGCCTTATAAGATTTATTTCTTGAAATAATCTGAGCACCCTGTATTAAAATTGGACAAAAAGAAATGGAGATAAGGTTCCCAAGAATCAGATTCTTATTGATTTAAGATTGTTTGACAAGAGATTAAAACATATTTTGCAATGGGAGTAAACTATTATTTATCTCTCGTCTTTTCATTTTCTCCTTTTTTAGCTAGCAATACAGGTATGCATAGAAGGCAAATCACAGATCTTCTGGACCAAAGTATTCAAGTCCATTCCCAGTGCTTTGTTATTACTTCAGATAATCGCTATATCCTGGTCTGTGGATTTTGGGATAAAAGTTTTCGGGTGTATTCTACTGATACAGGTGAGTTAATGTAATACATTAATCTTTTTCTGAAACTGTTTAATTAAACTGTTAAAACTTTGTTTTTGCACAATTTTTACAAAGCAGCAAAACCGACTGCCGTTAGTCGACTTAAATTGGTTACTTAGCAGCCATTCAAAGTTCTGAGGATCTCACAAAAGATACTTATTAGCCGGTTCCAACATTCCTATAGCTGGTCCCCACTGCGGTCATGTGATTGTCACTCGGTAACCAGCCCACCTATACAGCCATTTGCAGTGTCCTGTACTTACATGACTGCGATTTTTGCTGAAACCAGTATTTACTTCTGTTCCCAGCAAAAGTCACCATACAAGTCATAAAATGTGGTCAGTAATACTATGAGCTGATTTACAACCATCACAACTTACAGCTATAATTGCTAGACTCAATTGCATTTGAGGACTAGCTATATTACCGTATTTTTCATTCCATAAGATACCCCTCCCCCAAAGTGGGTGAAAATGCTAGTCCTTTGGTGAATAGTAGCTGGGCCACAGTGGCGGGTCCTTTTATGGTGTTGAACCCTGCCTCTTCTATCTCTGTCATTGGCCACCTCTTCTATCTCTTTTCTGCAGTGCAGGAGTCAATAGGCAGAGCTGGCACATGAGAGGACACTATCTGTGGTCCTCTCAGGCTCCGCCTGATTTTTTTGTTTTGTTTTCCTCTAAACCTAGGTGCGTCTTATGTTCAGGTATGCTAATGCTTCTGGGCTAAATTCAAGGAAAGGTCTATAGAGAGAAGGTGATAATCCATATCTTGTAATTATCAGTATTTAGACTGTCCCTCTCCATGAATGGGTATAGTTAGTGTACCATACTATAAAAATGGCTTATTGAATAAATAAATACAATTCCTGCATTCTGGAGCAAGTAACTGTTCGATCTTCACAAAATGTATACTGATGGTTGTTGTCCATATCAACCATTGTGGAATCCCAACAATATCCCAATAATAAGTTTAGGCTGGCCTTTTACCTTTCTCAGTTACAGATCCATCCCTATATTTTCCATCTGCTTGATATATTGGGTATCTTCATTTAAGTCCCACATTCTTTTTTCTTATTGCTGCAGTTATTTGGTCTTCTTAATATTTGTATCTGGCTTCCGCTTTTCTTCTTTAGAACAAGACTATTAAGTTGCAATGTATGACTACTTGATTCATTACATCACTGGTACGCTATATTTACCCACCTTAGTTAGGCTGATAGTAGAGAATATAGCTGTGGTATAGTTTTTCAGATTATGGATAAGATACACACACACACACACACACACACACACACACACACGAGTTTTCATAGATTAAAAACAACCCTTCGGTCCTCAATACCAAAAAGACCAAGGAGCTTATAGTGGATTATAGAAGGAACAGATTAGATATCCAGCCCTTGTTTATCAATGGAGACCGAGTGGAGCAAGTGGCCAGTTTTAAGTTTCTGGGTGTTACCCTAAAAGAGGATCTGATCTGGGGTGCCCACACTGCAGCACTGGTCAAAAGGGCCCAGCAGAGATTATACTACCTGAGACTTCTCAGAAAACAACAACTGAATGAAAAACTGCTGGTGACCATCAATCGCTGCACCATAGAGAGCATTTACTGCACCTCTGTATGGTTTGCCAATTGCACAGTGGCAGATAGGACAGCACTCCAGAGGATTAACATCATTACCCAGAGGATCATTGGTTGCCCTCTCCCCTCTTTGGAAGAGCTTTATAGCTCCCGCTGCCTTAAGAAAGTTCAAAACATTCTTAAAAGTCCATCTCATCATGGGCACTCTTTTTTTTGAACTATTACCATCTGGCAGATGGTACAGGATAATAAAAACAAGGACAAATAGGCTGAAAAACAGCTTCTATCCCAGGGCAGTAGCTCTTTTGAATTCTGCTGTATAGTACAGTGTTGGTGTGGTGTTTTGGTTCAATGTGTGGGGAGGGTGAAGGATGTGTTTGTGGTTATTTTCATGGTCATGATGTGCACTGAAGATGGTGTTTGAGTTCTTTGTACAAGGTGCAATGTCAATAAACTAAACTAAACTAAAAGTAAACTAAAAATAAACCCAAATTTTGAGTTAGAGATGAGATAGAAAAAAGTAATAAAAATGTAAAAAATATAAAAAAGATGCAGATGTTCATAAGGAAAAAGAAAAAATACAATAAAAATTATTTACTACTAACAGAAGTAATAAATTCATTTATATTTTTGCTCCCTATTTCTAAAGTTATATCAAAGTTTTCTTCTTTCCATAATCATCCCTTTCTAGTCTTCTAATCATGAAATCTATAAAGCATCCATTCATTTTTGTTTCTTTTTTCAGCAAATGAGTCCATAAGTTTTCTTTTTCCCACAAAATTCTTTAAGGAATGATTTCTAAAATATGTGACATGTCTTTTCACATCATACCTTCATCATATTATTGTGGTGTATTGATCCTGTCAGTACTAGCAATGGCTTTGACTTCTGAGCTTTTAGCCAATGGATATCTTTTGAAACTGAAGGCCTTTTTCAGTGACTTTATTATACATGAAACTTGAAACATAATACAGCTGTAGTTCCATACTGGTGCTTTTATGCTTACCGTGATTCAGACCTGTTCTGGGAATTTAAACAGTTCAAATTACTATGGCTAGTAGCATCTAGAAACAAACAAATGTGTTCCATCTGTTCACTGTTTAACATGTAGTTCTGGAGCTGGTTTTTTGGCAACTACATCCTTCCTTTTTTCAATCCATCTGGCTAGAGTAGAAATCACTTTAATTCATTCACCTGCATCCATGGCCTACTTGGAATTCAAAGCTGAATTTGTTCTGTTGCTTATAATTTTTCACCTTCTTGTTTATTTTATTTATTTAGAAGACATACAGCCACACATCTCACCACATGAGTCTGGGTAGCCAGTAGCCATTTAAAACCAGCAGTAATACAGTACAAATAAATAAAATATTCATTTATTTATTGTGTAAATGAAACAATGGAGGTCTTTAAGGCCAACAGAATTAGATCTGCCTGATTCTTGAAGGAAATGTTGTTCCATATAGCAGGCACTACAACATAGAAGACATATTTCCTGGGCTTCATTGAGTGATACAACCAGAGCATACCACTAAGCACTGCTGCAGATAGCTTGCCTCAGCATCTACCACTGTGGCTCATGAAAACTGTTGCCTCCTTGTTTAAACAAACGGTATAGTTGAGAAATAAACTTCTGTACAATGTCATTTAAATGAATTGAATTTAAGGGCCAGTGCTTCTTAAAAGGTAGTCCTCGATATAAGACTGATAGTTTAATGATAGTTCAAAGTTATGAGCGCCTTGGAAAGGGTGCTTTTGGCTGTGTAATATGTTGTACCATTAACCACTTCTCCGTCGGTCATTTGGCCACATTATGGCTGCTTGGCACCAGTTTCCATTTGCAACTAGTTGTAGAGTCCCATGATAATATGACTCTGATTTGCAATGTTTTTTCCCCATTTTTCCAGCAAAAAAGCCTATTCACAAAAAAGTATTTAACAACTATGTGATTCACTTAACAACCATCATAAAAATGGCAGAAAGATCAGATCCAATCACTTGGGATCTTGACTTACAACTGCAAAGACTTACAACAGAAATTCCAATCCGAAGTGTGGCCTTTGAACAGTTGAGAGTCAGTCACAAGAAATGTTAATGATATATAGAAGAAGAAAGAACAAAGAGATTTACTAGAAAGTAGAACAGTAGGTTATGAGGTGCATGTGCTCCTCTCAGATTTTGTTTTTCAACCTCTGAAATACTCCCAAAATCATTTCTTTAATTTGGGGGAAAATAGAAGGTAAAATGACTGTAGTCTTTTATAGGAGTCTTGGAGTCTTAGTCGTTGATCACTTAAATATGAACCAGCAATTTGCAGCCACAGCCAAAAAAGCTAATACAACCCTGGGTTGTATAAACAGAGGCTTTATAAAACCCTAGTAAGACCAAACCTGGAATACTGCAACCTATTTTGGTCTCCATACTACAAAAAAGATGTTGAAACTTTTGAAAATGTTCAGAGAAGAGCAACTAAGATGATCAAAGGCCTGGCGATGAAAACAAATGAAGAACGGCTGTAGGATTTGGGTTTGGCTAGTCTAAAGAAAAGAAGAATTAGGGGTGGCATAATAGCAGCATTCCAGAACTTGAGGGGCTGCCACAAAGAAGAGGGGGTCAAATTATTCTCCAAAGCACCAGAGGCAAAATTGGAATTAAGAGAAACTTCCTAAGTGAGGACAATTAACCAGTGGAACAGCTTGTCTCAGAAATCATGGGCACTCCATCACTAGAGAGTCTAGACCAGGGGTGTTAAACTCGCATCGTTGTCACAAGATGTATTATGACATTTTTTCCTTTACTAAACCAGGGTGGGCGTGGCCAGTGCATGATGCATCTGGCCTACAGGCCATGAGTTTGACACCCTAGACAGTCACTTAAATAATATAGGTTCTCCTGCTTGAGCAGGCAGCTGGACTAGAAGATCTACAAGGTCCCTTCCAGCTCATTCATTCTAATTTCATAGTACCAATTTTATCACTAAAGCACTTGACAGTCCATATTTTCCAATTTGGGGGATCCTTGCTAGAAAGTAAATCACTGGATTTCAGTTTCTTTTGCAAACAAAGATAAGAAAAGATACTATTTAATAAAATGTATATTTCATCCCGTGGAAAAAAATCAACAACCTATGGAATTTTAATTTAATTCAATTTTTTCAAAAAGTAAAGACAAAATTCAGCTTTGTCTTCATATTTAAAATGTATAATAGAATACTTACAGAAAGAAACCACTAATATATAATGGAAAAGCAAAGGGATTTTTTCATTATATTTGTTTTGAGTATTCAAAGAGTATTTATCTGAAAGGTTATCATTAATTTTCTGTCCTGTTCCTGAGTTGTGAAAGGAAGGAAGAATTACAGGATAAGATTATAAGTATAGTCTACAGCAAGTTGTCATAAACATTTCAATTATATTTTAGCATTTATGTAAATTAATCTTATTATTCAGATTTCAGGTGAGAGCATTATACCTTGAATGTAAATTATGTATTCTGAGAACAACTAGCATAGCAGAATTGCAATCAACTCTCTGATAATGGTGCTTATTATTTTCAGATAGGTTTTTAAAGTCAATACGGCAAAAACTGCTTTAAAAAAGGTATTGCAACTGCCAAGATATTAATGAAATCTGACTCCAGTATAAGTCATTTTCTTATATTTTCTAACAAATATAAAATCAATACTTTTCAAAACAAACTTCAGAAATATTTGTTTCTTTGACTGACTGATTTCAGATATTAACTTTCTCTGCAGCTTTCTCTATTTGTCCACACTTCACTGAATAAACATAGCATATTAATTATGCATTAAAAATAAAATTAAAAAAGGAGGTCAGGTATTTCAGATACCATGAACTGAATGGCTGAATACATATGAATACCTGTTAGGATACCATCAGAACATCATGCAATATCTTACCTCTGTCCCAGCAATAATTATTATCAGCTTCTTTATAGGACTGCCATAAACCATGCTCCCTTCATCGTGAATAATATATGAATGGAGTTTGAATGGAAACGGTACTTTGTAAATATAATCATTTCTTATTTGAATGACAGAAGAATGAAATAATAGAAGAAATACATAGTTGTCATTACCTTTACTTGCAATGTATTTAAGATTTTGTTTTCAGGAGTAGAAATCTGGCAAATAATTTGTGAAGTCCTTTTTTCTAATAATTGATTGTCCTATGCAGTGTTTGACAATGCTAAACAAATATCAAGGCATATAACAGTTATGAGTTGGCTAAATAAACTAAATTGTGGAAAGATTCTTTTCTCAGAAGATAGTTGGACAGACATTGCTTTGGCTTCTAGAACAACCAGGACCTTTTAATTTTATTCTTTCCAACTCAAGAAAACATTGGGAATTAATTATGTAGTGAGGTCAGGACTCAATCCATCCATCAATAGGAATCCTACAATATGTCTTACTATGAATGAAAATATGTTTGTATATTTCAGGCAAACTAATGCAAGTTGTGTTTGGACACTGGGATGTTGTTACCTGCCTTGGCCGCTCTGAATCTTATATTGGAGGAAACTGTTATATTCTATCAGGATCTCGTGATGCCACTCTGCTGCTATGGTACTGGAATGGTAAAACCAATAGCATTGGTGATAACACAAATGGTAAGGAGATCTTTATTCTGATTTTTATCTATGGCAAATCCAGCATCAAATACTCTTAAAGTTTAGGAATTGGTAGACAAGGACAACATTTGGAGTCTAATATATGAGAAACATTCTCCAAGATAACAGGCACCATATTCTTATTCATTAGATGTAATTACTGCAACATTATTTCCACAGCAGTACACATTTTAATCTGTGATTGCAATGCAACCTCCCCCTCCTCTAAATAATGGCAACATTTGTAGAATCATAAAAACCATTGCATGCATGGATCCAGGCATCCGTCATCAGATGCTTGGAATAATATTCTAATATTTGGGTAAATTCATTTGGTTCTCTGCATCCTTCAGATTGCTATTATGAACAGAGAAATAAAAAAGTAAATTGGTTCAAATTTAATTGTAATCTTTTTCAGTAAAATAATATGTGCATTGATGTATGTCTATGTATGAGAAATATAAGAAGACTAAGTTCTTGTTAAGATTTAAAGTTGTTAATGTGATATTGAACTATATACTGAAACCTTAATAAGTTATGAAGAAGTTTTGTGGACTTATTATATTTGGAATGAAACTAAAACAATTGTTTGGGTGGTTAAAAATGAAGAAATGTGTTTACTCTCTGACTTTAATCAGACAAAATGGAAAGATCAATCAATACAATTATAGTAACTCACTATCAGTAATGATATCTAACCACTTTACATTGCTGTTATAAACTGACTTGCTCTTACATATCAATTGCAATAACAAGTTTTTGTTTGGTTTTCTTTCATACTTGTTTGAATTTTGGCTTCTTTTGTTCTGTCTTTTTTTTATATACATTATAGTAATAAAACAAAAAAGGTAAGTTGATTTGAAAATATGACCATGTAATAATATTGTACAAACAATGACATGACAAAGTATCAGCAATGGTGCATTGGAATATCTGCAAGAAATGCCATTTGCTAGCAAGCAAAAACTGGTAGGACTACAAAAAAAGACAAAGTAATATAAAATGAAGAAGCTAAAGTGCTCTGGGACTTTAGAATTAAAACAGACAAGCACCTGCTACACAACACCCCAGACTTAACAATTGTTGATAAGAAAGACAGAAAAATCTGGATAGTAGACATTGTGGCAAAAGAAAGTAAAGATAGTAATAATACTAATAGATGCCTTGGATGAAAGTCCAAAACATCTGCAACATCACTTGAACATTGATATTGACAAAATACTCTCATCAGTCAACTGTAAAATGCAGTTACATCCTCCAGCAGTGATACCTTTAATATTATTAAACAACAACATCTATCTATTCCAGATCCTTGGGAAGGACTCAGTAGTGAACAGAAATACCCAATTCAGTCTAAACATCTGGCTGACCATGTGACCAACCATAATAATTATGCATTCCACTCTCCAGCTCAGACATATTTTTAATGGGTATATTTATCATATTTTATCCCAACTGCAACAACGCTGTTGATTACAGAATATGATTGCCTAGGTCAGTTAGTTTCATTGTATGGAGAAATGGTTTGAATCTAGATTTCCCAAATCTAGGTGAACACTTCAAGACCACCTTACATTCCTATTCAAAAAAGATGTTTTTCCTAGTTCAAGAAAAGACACTTGATTTTTATCATGTGCTCCCTTGAGGAGCCCATTGCAATTAGCTTCCAGAGTAACAAACACAGAAAGTAATTTCCTACATTTTCCTTTTCAATAAATCCTTACATATTTTTGTAACCTGTTTGATAGGCAATATTCTGTAATATCCGGGAGTAAACAAAAAATCTAAACAATGTTTTATAATCTTAAAAAAAGTTTGAGTTGTTATACTAAACAACATTGAAATTTATTCTTCTAAATCCAGGTTTGAAGGCATTTGCAACAAAGTAAACGATAGATCTTTTAAAATAAAATAATATATACTTCTAGACAAGAAAATTATGTTTCATTTTGTCAGGAAATCAAATTACTCTGTTCATTTGATAAAGTTAAAGTATTAATTAATCTGCATGTAAGTTTAGAAAGGTATATAGAGTACCAGTCATATTCCATTTATGAGCTCTTGAAATGCAAACTAGTTGTTTTATTAACCACGATGAATTTTATTTAAAAAAATATTTTATTGAAAATAATTAGTTTTATCATTGGTTCACAGCAGTCTTTAACCAGAATCTAGTCCTGTTTTTAAAGACATTTTACTAACCATAACCAAGCATCTTAGAGTGACATCTGCTGGCATATGTTTGAACCTCTGAAATGCAATCCTTGGCATACTCTGTCACCATTCCTCCTTTGTGTATGTTAAACTTTATCGTCACTTCTTTAATGTGTAAAGCATTTCCAATATATTTCTGCCACTACCCTGCACTGCCAAAAATATGCCTGGAAAGGATTTGGTGGAGGTAATCTTGTGGTCCATGTAGATCTACAAAAATATGATAGGAGTAGATTAAGACTACCAAATCAGTGTTGTGATATGAAGGCTTTAGATCGGGGCTGTCAAACTCCCAGCCTGTGGTCCAGATGTGTCATGTGCTGGCCACACCCACACCCGGTTTAGTGAAGGGGAAAAATCCAGATATATCACATGATACCACTGTGACAACGTGGTTTGACACCCCTGCTTTAGATGTAGGAGTCTCCTATGGATTTTACTCTACTAGTCATTGCTGACTATAGTGGGCAATGCTTATTTCTCTTTCAAGGCCATCCATTTCTGCAGTTATGTGGCCAGTGTGATGTCAGAGTGCTATTGCCTTCCCACCAATATGGTACCTATTTATTTATTCACATTTGCATGCTTTCAAACTGCGAGGTTGGTAGGAGCTGGGGCAAGGATGGGAGCTCACCCCATCGCGTGGTGTTCTTGTCTCAAACCTGGGCTGACAGCTTTTCAGCCAAAAAGCCCAGTGTCTTAACAGCTGAGCCACCTCACTGCCTTTAGATGTACAGCATAATACATTTTCCTGATATTTTTTACATAACACATAGCATGGAATACATAACACAATTGTTGTCATAACAGAGTTGTTCAATCATCTTGAATGCTCGTAATATACTGTATATGGCTTAGTTTCCACACAAAAATATTTTTCTCTGGTATCTTGTAAAATCCGTATGAAATAAAATGGGTAACAGCATAAGAGCCAAACTTCTATTGTATTAATTCAGAATCAATTTGAAAAGAAGGGTTTTTGCCTTCTTTGATTTTTTTGGCTTTTATGTTTATTCTCCAGTCATATGAAATATTGGGCAGAAATTATGTAAAAGGTCTTGGGATTCCATATGTCTGTTCACCGATCTGTTTGTCTTCAGCACAATTGTTCCCTGGAAACAGAATACAATGAAATCAAATTTAGTTCTGGTAGGTTAAGACAAAAGATTGGTTTCAGAAACAAGCTGGAACCAGCTAGGGGCTGTGTAGATATCAAACTGAGAAAGCATCCCTTGATGCCTCCTATGGGAGAGGCAATGCCAATATCTTCATTCAATTCCCCTTCCCTTGTGTGTTCACGTGATCCAGACTCTGTTCTCCAGTGCCCATCAATGTCCCAACAGAATGAAGCACAAAAACAAGCAAAAACACTTAGAGCTAACACATATACATTCCTCTGATTTTTACAGTCACACGGAAGAAAGTGCAGGTGCTTCTTCCAATGAGATTGGTAAGGGGGCTGTGAAGAGTTTGAACTTTGAAACACCATGCTTACAGGGTCTCCCTGCCTTGATTGTACCTGTGATTCTTTTTTGCCTACTAGATGTTCCACACTTAAGTGAGAATCTCAGTTCACACTATGGTCATCTCCTGCAATAGGTGCTAAATATTCCTCCCTCCCCTCCCATTGTGCTCACAAATATGTGTACTGAACATTAGCTTCATAAAGTGCTATAATAGTAGTTGTGTTTCAGATTAGATGTAGAACAGTTTTTCAGTACTTCTGTGTTTAAGCCCAGCTATAATTGAAACGAAATACAACAAATTCTGTAGAATGACCAAAATGCTTTCATGCTTCATGTAATTCAAATTTTTGTGCTCCAGTTTTTGTTGATTTATAACCAATGGTATTTTTTATTTTTACAAAGTGATATTCATATACTGAATATGTATAATGTATACTATATGTATGGTATTGAGTTATAGACTTTTTATATTATAGTTATTTATGTTATTAATCTGTTCATTCAGCCTAGAATACTTTTATGAAATTACTGGGTTAGAATAATAGGATAGAATTACAAGTGATATAATACTGTAAATTCCTGGTAACAATCTGACATGTTGTTGTGTGCATGACTGCAACAATTTCACCATGTATAGTTTATTCCTGATTGAAGAATTATGTTCAGATTTAAATACTTAATAACTTTGCTTTACTCTGACAATCACTTTTGGTTTTTATCTGATGCACTGAAGTTTTGTTAATTTATTGTTTTTTAAGATAAGTATACTAATGCAGCAGAAAGATGGCAGTGTAACAATTATACTTTGGCAGTATAATTCATATTAAATATTAGAATGCCATACTTTGTATTTGCAAAACTACTGAGAGGTTTTTGTTTAGCTCTCAGCTGCTTGCATAATTCATTTATTTATTTATTTTATACATTTATATGGATGCCCAACTCAACATTGGGTTGTGGATGGCTAACAATATTTTTAAAAGATAAAAGCAATATGTAAAAATAATAAAATATACAGCAGCCAGGAAAAAGAACATCAAAATGTCAATAACATAGCTACAAGATAGATTTCATCCTGCACCTGGTCCCCAGGCAAAGCAAAGCCAAATCTTCAAAAGTTTATGTAGGCACATGGAGGGGTGGAGGCCAATGAAACCTCCAGAAGAATGATATTCAAGAGAGCTTGTGCCATGGCAGATAGTTATTTAAGTATAAATACTAAACAGCCTAATTTTATTCATTTTAGGAAAGGTTTTGTTTGAAAATAATTGATTACTTTGTAAAACAAAGATAGAATGGAAGGCAATTCCTATTGGAATTTGTTGAAACGAATGTTGCAATATACAATATATAAGTCACTACTATAAGTTCACTCAGTTATCTTTCAAAGAAATGCAGGTGTTTTTTTCAATTTTTCATTACATAATCAGGCCTGGGAGAAAGAAATAAAAATAGAAATTTCTTCATAACAATGCAAATATTAACACTTTCTTGTGAGTATTTTTAGAACTGAAAAAGAATTAGATTGCATGAATCATGCAGTGTTCCTGTTACATTTTGAAATTTGAATTGTATTCTTTAAAACATACTTTCATTCGGGAGAAAAAAAAATTAACTCTTCAGGACAAATCAGTTGCTTTGTGTCTGATAATTCTTGACCCAAAATACAGTTTTATATATTTATTAGTTACACCTTATTGGACTAGGAGTGTAAATTTAAATACCAAATATAAGTTTTAAAAGAAATGCTGAACAAGTTTGAAGTAATTTTAAATATTGTGTTCTACAAAGCAGATATGTGAAACATTTATACAAACAAAAATGTTTAACTTCATTTTGTTAATCTTCCTGTAGATTTTCAGAACAATTAAATTAACATAAATTTAACCCTTCCTTAAAGTAATCATAAACCTGTTTAGGGGACAAAGCCTCACTTCTTTGAAGTCACTAGCCAAGGAGTTCAAAGAAGATATAAAGCCACTTTGAAAAGTTTAAAGAAGTTTGAAATGACGTTCCTTGAAACAGCTACAAAATAAAACTTTCCCTTTGCTTTGGTGAAAACCATGACAATCTTATGAAGCAGTAAGAAATCTCTTCTATTCTGCCACCAACTTCTGAATTGAGCCCATTATTTGGAAAAATCAGAAGCACAGAAGACTCTTAAATACTTAACATTATTATCAAAGGAAGCAGGGTGACTTCTAAAGACTCATGTTTTATAAGTAGAAGGAAGACCCTTCAATGAAAAAAAAAATACATAAGCTTTTAAATATATCACCTTCAAATCCATGTAACCAGCAAGCATTTAATTAATGAAAAATCATACATAATTCATTTCAATAGTCATGTGAACCTATATTCATTACATAATTTAAAAGACAAACTTATTAAATTGAATACCTCTCAGAACATATTTGTGTATGAAAGACCTTGTTGCCACGTGGATTTTATAATCCCAGAATAATTTATATTTCTTTTAGATTAATATTATATTACATCTCTTTTTATAAACATGCACTTATCAGTCCTTTGTAAGTCTGAGTCATGAGTCTGATATACTTCATACAAGTTATATCTGAAAGTCCTAATTCATGAAAGTTGTACTATTATATTCAAAGCCCACTGTACATGAAAAAATGCATATATATTATATCCAGTCTTTCAGAAACTGTAGTTTAGTTACTATTGACTAAATGAAGAACTGCAAACCACAATTTAATATAAATGCAAAAAAATTACATTTAAGTGTGCATATTAGGTATTGCACATTTGGGAAATACAAATTAAGGGTTGTGTTAAAATGCAAATCAAATACATTTATTATAAAATTTGTAGAAGTTACTAGAAACTAAAATGACACATATGCAAATACACCAAATATCAGTGCTAGCACTGAAGCAGTAGAATATTAAAATAAAACCAGTAAAATTAACTGGCATCATTATTCAAAAGTTTCTATAGAAGTGATTCAGTTTTAAAGCCTTTGAACAGATCATGTAGATTTATGCAAATTAAAAGAAATGCTGATGGGAACAGATCAGTGGATGCAATTTATCCATAAAGTCCCATAAGTAATACCTAATGTTCCCAAAATGCAATGTATGGTTGAATCTGCAGTGCAACTTCTATGTTTTAGGATGTTAATTTAATAAATAAAATTCTGAGTTTGACCATTGGGCTATGGTCGCACTCAGTTGAGTTACATCTTGCATTGATAGTTGTTATAATGGAACTCCTTGCACTGTTGTTTGCTTTCTGGTGCCGAAAAGAGTTCTTTGTATATTTCTCCATCTATAGTTTGTCATGGGGAAGAGTTGCTTTGGTGAAAAACTAGTGTTGTGCACTTGTAAGATTATTTTTTTCAGATTTTGGATGTGCTATAAAACAGTGGTCGCCAACTAGTGGGCCAGGGACCACTGGTGGTCCGTGAGAAAATTTTGGTGGTCCACAGAGAAATGTCACCCCCAAAGCAATGCTTCTTTCCGCTTCTTCTGCTTTTGTCTGCACACAAGGAAAGCAGCAAAAGTCTTTCTTTCTCTCCCCCAAACTCCAGCAGAAATGAGTCTTTGGGACCCTGCAAGGCCTCCTGCTCCAAGAGGCTGAGCTGGCAAAGACTCATTTCTGGTGGAGTTTGGGGGAGAGAAAGAAAGACTTCTGCTGCTTCTGCTGCTTTCCTTGCATGAAGCCTAAAGTCTCTCTCTCTCCCCCTGAGAACGGAACTGGAGATGGTATCCTGTGCTCCCAAATAAAGAATGATTGATTGGTAGGAAAATGGGGTGAGGAATTTTCCTGCAGACTTTTTTGGGGATCTACCCAGGGTTTCTGGTCCGTGGGATTTTAAATTATGAGTTTGGTGGTCCCTGAGATCCAAAAGGTTGGCGACCCCTGCTATAAAATATATTTTTACATGATATCTACTCAGAACCAAATGCACAGAATAATTCCAGTTCAAATATTTCCTTTTTGTTATTTGAGATTGAATTGTACATTTGCTTAATTGTGAAAGTTCTTAAATACATTAATTATAGGTTACTAAGAAAGTTTTGGTTTATTGATCTCCTTACAGGTGAAACAGCTGTTCCTCGGGCAATCTTGACTGGACATGATTATGAGATTACCTGTGCAACAATTTGTGCTGAACTTGGTATAGTGATAAGTGGTTCTAAAGGTACATTTTAAAAAGCTTTTCTTGGAAATATTTATTTCTTTTATAATAATGAATTGTATCATGAAGAGGCTTACACTTTTAGAATATCAGCTTCCTATATCTGTGATTTCATCATGGATGAAAGGACAGGTCTTGGATGGATGCTGAAGGTAGGGTGTCCACTGAGCTTGAGGTGTGGTATCAACCAAGACCTAGGAGTAAGAATGGTGGAGTGGACTTGGTCATACAGGACTCCTGGTGGTGTACAAAATGCTGCCCCGGTGGTGACTGGATGTGAGACTCGTGTTTGTTATCTTCAGAGATCAAATGGGATTGTTGCTTTTGTGCCAAAGAGATTGATGCTGTGTAGCAACCTCCCTGCCAGAGCTGCCAGACACCATGGCTGAGTTGTTGATGGATTTCTCAAAGTTTATGGTTTTGAGAGACTTTAATCTGTCTTCTCTGATCGCTTTCATCCTTAGTTCCTTAGGTGGGGTTGCACTACTGCATACAGAAATGTGTGCAATTTGGTGTTCCAGTGCTCAAGTCTCTTGTTCAGAAAGCAAGTGGCAGTTGTGGCCAGGTGGGCCTTTACATAGCTTTGTGTTGTGTGCCAATATTATTTGTCCCATTAAATTGGGCAGAAGGAGCATGGTCCAATTCCATCAGTAAGAGTTTATCATCTAGAACAGGGGTGTCCAACCTTGGCAACTTTAAGACTTGTGGACTTCAACTCCCAGAATTCCTCAGCCAGCAAAGCTGGCTGAGGAATTCTGTGAGTTGAAGTCCACAAGTCTTAAAGTTGCCAAGGTTGGACACCCCTGATCTAGAAGGACCCGAGTCCACAGCCTTTTCCGTAGCTCTGCCTTTCTTCTGGAACATTGTACTGCCTAAGATACAGCTGGCCCTGACTCTGCTCACCTTTCAGAAACTTTGAAGGCATGATTGTTTTCCCAGGCTTGGGAACTGGGAAACTGAGCCCAAGCTATTGGTCTGCAGCATTTTCAGGAACTACTTTATGTTTGTTGGAAAATGTATTTTGTATATATTATATTTCTTAAACTTTATTAGCTACCCAGTTTCATTTGACCACATAAATAGATTCAAATAAATAGACAAACATGTTTACTTCATATAAATACTATGCGGTTTTTATGGCTTTTGAGGACAGCAGTAGGAGCAAAAGGTTTGGTTAAACAAAGTCAAATAATTGGTACAATCACAGAAGGAGCAACCTGTTACCCTCCACATAATTCTGTACTTCCCAGAAGCTCTAATAAGGCAATTCATAATTGATTCTCAGAACTATTGTACAGCAACGTCTGTTTGTCACCCGTACATCTATCAGTATATATTAATATTAGATACTATTTAGAACTGAACATTAAAATCAGAGTTATTTTTGTTTTAATAAAGCCAAATCAACTTAGTATATTTAATCAGAGTTAATACTGAATATTTAACCGCTGTATTTTTTTTAACCTCCCTCATCAGAAGGATCATGTCTCATACATTCTATGAATGGGGATCTACTGCGGACATTAGAAGCTCCTGAAAACTGTATGAAAGCAAAACTTATCCAAGCATCAAGAGAGGGTCACTGTGTTATATACTATGACAATGGTCATTTCTGTGTATTCAGTGTGAATGGAAAACTCCACTCCACTATGGAAACAGATGATAATATCAGGGTGAGTATATTATATTAACGTCTTACTTTTAAATTCTAGGTCCTTTAAAATACATCTCACTCTGCTATATTGTATTTGGTAATTATTGAATATGTGCATAGTTTATAAATTATTTAATGTCACATATGAAATAGCTATAGCACCTTAATCAATAGTAACAGATATTAGTCTGGGAGTTAATTTTTAGCATGTTCATAATTCAAAATAGAAATGATGTAATATTTTCTTGCACAATATCTGTACACACCATTTTTTTTAGACTGTGGGCCATACTTGTCTTGAATAGCATATTGGGACTGCTCTCCCAAAAACGGCTACAGGCAAAAAAAATTCAATTTAATTTAAATTGAATAAATGCTACTATTGTATTTTGTATATTTGGCAATGTACTATCTTTTTTAGAATTACAATTTCATAGCAACTTTTAGAGTTACATTGCACCCAAAGCTCAGGGAGACATACTTAGTTCAATAATTATATATACAGTGCCCATCACTATGGAAGAGCCTAGTGTCTACACATAAACTATATCCACATTTCAGAAGAACATTTTTTATTATTTTATTATTTGTTTGATGCTTGTCAGAAAATGGATTTATCTTACATAGCTTTCTGGTTTCACAAAATACTGGATATGGGATGCATACACACACCTTATTCTCTCTATAGTACAAGGTATTATTTAAGTCAGTTTGGTCTGGTTGTTAAGAAGAGTAGTCAAAATTTAACAGCAACAACCGAGAAAGTGAACAGAGTAGTTGTGTGGGCAGAATATCAAAGAAGAAACATTTCTGGTTCCTGAATGACCTAATTGCACTTAGACAAGTGCTTGAGACCAAATGGGGCTCCAGATGTGTATCTTATCCTAATTCTTCAGCTTAGTGATTTTGTTTTGTTTCCTCCAGTAAAAATGCCTCTTTCTGTTGTGATAATGTTGTCAGCTAGGTCAGTAAATTATAAAATATCCTGCAATCTTTTGCTTGGTGAAACAATTTCCGCAGTGTTGTCACTTGCAAGGCCATTTCTTTATGCAATGGAAATTCTTCTGTATCCAGGCCAATGGTATATACAATTCCATGCTATTATTTTTTCTGAACAGTCCCAGATGAATTTTAGTCTCAAACCATTCATGGTATTTTCCCCAGAGCTTTTGTATTTTATCATTTTGTAAGTGAAGTGGTAACTGAAAAATTAAAACAACTGTGTTCAAAATGTCCGCCCAAGGCACTAGAATCCAGCAACTTCACAGTTTGTCGTTATAAAATGCTGTATAGGGAGTAAAAAAATTATTTCTTGTTGAAATATTTCAGAATACTTTCTTATGTCCATGCAAGCTTGGTTTGCAGAATGTTGAAAAAGCTGAAATTTCCAGTTGTTTTATTTAATCTCCTAACTATCTTGTACACAAGTACAAGAAATGCTACCAAAAAAACTTTAGGCTGTCTGGATATACTCACAGCGTAATCAAAGCTTTCCACCTGTTTTTGTTTTAAATATTGCATTTCTCAGTAGAACTTTGGCTAACAGAATATCACAGCAGATCTGCTTTACAGTGTTTAGATATCTTAATGAGTAACTTAAATCTAAGTTGGCAGGCAGTCCAAAGAACTAAAGTTGTTCTACCCTAAACAAGGCCAACATGCTATTTCACCCAACGGAACCAATTTATTTTTCTTTCCTGAGTCTGTTTGGAAAAGTCAAGTATCTTACAATCTCCTGCTGCTTTATACCAATATTGTCAGGCTGACAGGTCTGGGTTTGTTTGTTTTTTGTAAATAATGGTCTTTCAAATATCTGAGTTTTGAGACTCTTCAGTGAAGTGTGAATTAGAAACAACACAATATTAAGAAACTATGTTTTGAGCTCCTTGTGTCTGAAATAGTAAAATTCCTAATACTTTTTATAGTAAAACAAATTAGTCTTACACTTAAGCCTTCTCCTTTCCAATTTGTCAAGTACCATTTTTTAATTTGCTAAATGTTGAAGGCCATGCTATATAAAAGTGAAATTCTGAAATCTGCCTTTGACGCTTAAGTACATTCTTTCCATTCACAATTAGATAGGTTAGTAAAATTCCACATCTATTTGTGAAGTCCAAATCCCATTATTTTTATTCCAGAAATACACTTAGTTCACTGATAGATGAGTTAGATTAATGGCTGTAATTTACCTTTTATTATAGCATAAATAAAAAGCCTCCAGTTATAACACTCAAATGAACCATAACCATAGGGTTAATAGATTTTCATCAGCTTAATTTTATACAACTGTAGCAAATAATTATTTGTCATAGTCTTCACAGCAATTTTAAAAATATCCTGAGGAGATAGCCATTTGTGAAACAAGGAAAAGAAAGGTATTGATTTTAGTTTGAATGGTCTTTCAAATAATTTTACTTAACTTTGTTAGCTAGTATGAGTCTTGCATTTTTTTAAAAACAACATATTGGGTTTGCCATTTTTTTCATCTGCAGTGATTCATATACAAGCAATGTACTCAGTATTCTTCCACTTATTTCTCGGCATCCCAGTGTAGCAAATATGTGGGTGTGGTTGTCAGTCTGTAAAATTCTTAGCACATGTTTCAGTCTTGTAATATGGTAACAACTGTGACATGAAATTTGGATATACACATGTTTAAAAAGTTAATTCAATTATTAATACATTTGTAAAAGAGCAGATGGATTCAAAATGTTATAATGGCAAAATGTTCTGCATGGCATACGTATGCCTACTTCTAATGCTGTCTCGATGATTGATTGCATTCGCATGGATAAGGGGCTGGTAAGACCCCATCCTAGGCTCAAAATAGTTATGCTGCATGCCTTGTAAAGTGGAGGGTCAATAAAAGAATGCAGCCATGTGGACTGGTCTTCAAACCATGCTTTGATTTGGTATGGGAAGGTTTTATGAATTTCTAAATCCTTGTATGTACAAAATAGAAATCATGACACAATCTTGGTCTTAGATGAACTAACACATGAGCTATTGCCACTCTCTCTCTCTTCAAACAACTATACTTATATACAGACCTATTGTACATTTGACAGCAAGTATGCTTGCAACCAATCATTATGGTTCATTACAGAATTAATATTCTAGAACCCAAATAGCCCTAGTTCCCACTATACTGATGTTTTACATTAAAAAATAATAATTAAAATATCTGTTTATTTAACCTCTTTTCTATAGATCCCATCTTTGTAAAAAAGTAACCTGGTCTTATGATAATTAAGTAATAGCAATTGAGAATAAAAAGTTAATGTGAAAATTGTTTCATTATTTCAAGTCACTTTCCTTGATCTAGGCAATCCAGCTGAGCCGTGATGGGCAGTATCTCCTCACAGGAGGAGACAATGGAGTTGTTATGGTATGGCAAGTGTATGATCTCAAGCAGCTTTTTGCCTATCCTGGTTGTGATGCTGGTATCCGATCCATGACTCTTTCATATGACCAAAGGTGAGAGTGATTTGGATGTTAATTTCCCTCGCCTTTGTTTTGTATTTTTATACTGATGGCAGAATTTGAAGCATTGAATTTTCTGAAAATCATACACTTCATGTAAGGTTTTGTTCAGTTAGCATGCACAAATTGATGATTAAAAACAACATATTTATTTTATAGTGATTCCCATCCACTGGCTCTTTTGAAAATGAACAAATTCCTACTTCAAAATAGCCAAAAAAAAATGGGGGGGGGGGGAGATGGAAAGATTTCAGAATAACAGGATTCTATGCTGTATTACATCCCATTCTTTGCTTCTCAACTGGATTTGCTAGATGTAATAGAACTTTTCTGACCAGACTAGTTTCAGATGAGACATTTAAACTAGTTCCAAACTTGGGCACCTTTTTCTGCAGTAAAAAATAGGTCCCTGATGGAATAAGAAACAGTAGATCTTAAAAGTATTGAGTTTTCAAACACAACTTTATCTGTGGTTTAATTTAATGTGCATAAAGCTATGTATTGTTACTGTAAGTGCAAAATGATTTGTGGTCTTTTTTCTGCATATTTTTCCTTCACAGGTGTATAATGACAGGCATGGCTTCTGGCAGCATAGTGGTTTTCTACAATGATTTCAACAGATGGCATCATGAATACCAAACCAGATACTGAAATATGAATTGAAGTGATGTGGCCGTGCAGCTCTTCTCATATGGAGACTTCAAACACACACATCTCTCTTTAGTATCTTGTCATATTCTAAATCTTATAAATAGTTAATATATCTGAATGTAACTTAAATTTGCTGGGAGATGCTATTTTTTGAAGTTAATTGCTATTTTTGTAGATTTTGCTTGACTTTTTGGGATGGGGAAAAAACAGATGATTATTGGGGTTCTGTAGCTTATAAAGAAAATCTATATTTTTTAGTCATAGTAAATCTATTTTGATCATTATACTGGGGTGGGGGAAGACTGTAATAGGGTGGCTATAATTCTTGTATTAGCTATATTATGAAACATGTTTCTCATGTAAACTTTATAATCTTATGGAATATTTGATTTTAACAATGGAAATTGTTATAACAAAGGAAGTTGGTTATAATACCAGCAGTTATAATACTGACATTTTAAACTATGCTTATCCCTCCCTTCCCTTTTGTCTTGTACTTTTACAGTGATAACTTGAAGCACTGAATTTTCTGAAAATCAAGAATATTTAAATTTTTGTTTTCACATCTGTGTAATGATCAAGTGTGATTCTAGAATCTAGGTGATTAGTATACCTTTTAAATTATTAATTTGTTATTTTGTTGTATGGTTAAGAGAGAAATACCATAATCATAAGCAGAATTTATACATCAAGCATATTTTTCCTATCCTTTCATCAGGCCCACTGTTCTTCAAAAATAAGATCTATTTTGAGGATTTTGGAAGTATTCTATTTATCTTCTGTACTTTTTGAAACCATGTGTGGATAAAAAAAAACATTTGTGCTGAAGATCTGCTATTTTCCTTCAGCACCTTAATGGTAAAAGCTATTGTGTGCCTGCAACAGAACTAGAAAACTGTATTGCACAAGACCTTATATTGATCTTAAAATCAAGACATGTTCCTATCAAATCTGATTCAATCATTCTGACAAATCTCTCTTCAAGCTCTTGGGAAACTAAATAAAATTTATTATGAACAATGTTATTTTGGTGTTGCATAAATCCTACTTAATATATGATTGCTGTGCAAAATTCTGTGATGATATATGTGAAAAGTATTGTTTTTAGAATGTACTGCAAAATTATTTCTTGATAAGTTGTGGTTTAAGATTTAAAATTTACATTTCTCTGTCTTTGTCAGTATATAATTTCTTCAACTAATTATTTGAAGCAATTTGTATGTTTTTTTCCTAATATTCAAATAGCCCTTCTTTATATAAGCATCAGAAAGGGGGAAACTCAGTTTGAAACAAGATATTAAATAAAAAAGGCATTTGTATTTTAATGTTTCGTTTATTACAACAGGAACATAACTTTCTAATAAGAAACAATGCAGAACTCTGAAAACAAAATGATTGTAAATTTGTCTTTTAAATCGGAATTTTGGTTATAGTTACTGCTACATGTACCAAACATTTTCAGAGAACACAGCAAATGCCAAACATATATTTATTGCTACACTTCTGTTAGCACAGACCTAACACTGTCTACAAATTTAGCTCCTACGTGTGGAATGGATGATGGGTGTGGCCTTGAACTTTGCAACGATAGTCTACTTTCATCTCCCAAGCCAACAAAGGTTTTATTGAATATACTCAGATAATAGTTGACCAAACCAGAAAACTGGCTGTGCTTATATTATTGAGAGACATGACAGTGTAAAAACCCTGAGCACAGTTGCACTACAATGTTATATCATTTTTAAAAGCACTGTCTTCCACTAATATAGGAAATGTCTAAAGATTAATCACCAAAATCAAGAACAAAAAATAACTCTTGCTCCTAAACTCCTTCCTTCTCATTTTGAATTCAAACGGACGTTTTAACATCTGCAGTCACGTCTCAAACTTTACATTGTTTTTCATTTCTTTTTGTGCTCCATGTGAAACCAAGGCACTGTTAGATTTGATAGGATGGGAAGAAGATTCAAGGCCCTATTCTATGTATTTTACTAAAAGTCCAGTCAGCTATCTAGCTACAGCTGCTAATGAAAGACCTTCCCTAAGGAGCGACGTATGCTATATGTGTTTCATGAAGGGCTTGATGCGGTATGTCTGTTCTTTGGTTTTCCTTGTGCTTAAAACAGACATGTCCTTGCTTTGCTTTTGTTTGTTTCTTGAACAGGATGTGCTTTTGATTTGGGGTGGGAAAGATTTATTGGGCAATTTCTTATGCCACTGCAATCTTTCGAATGCCAAAATATACAGAGAAAGACTACAAACTCAATGTTTTTTGTTCATTTTAGTTATATCATAAAATGGCCACTATATGAGGTGCTGGATAGTTTTTCACCAAGAACATTCCATCAACTTTAATAGATGGCCACATGGCCAGTGAGCTAATAAAAGTTTTTTTTTAGTTTTTTTTTTAATGTAAAGCAATTAGAATATAAACATTTATAGTCCTAATAGAATGGGGAAAGGAGTATAACTATTTGAACATTAGCTTCAAAGTATACTGGATATGGACCACCAAATTTTAAACAATTGGAACCTCTAAGGCGGAGGAAAAAAACTAAATTAAAATTAAATTTGTCACTACATCATAGGCATTATTCTGGTTTCACTTCAGATCGTATAAATATTTTACCTTTTACTAAAAAAAAATATAGGCATTAAATTATGCTAATATAGTGCCATTCATAGAGGTTACACGGTGTACAGTTGTCTGATTAATCTCAGACTATTCAAAACTAAACTCCTGAAGCACAGGCACAATATGTTCCTGATTTTGTTTATGTTGACTGAAAACTGAGTACTTAAGTCTGAAGTTTCGGGATTGCAGTCTGAATTGATTAGACTGAAGACTGAAGTTGAATTTGACAAAGGTAGTACACAGGGTTAATGGGAACATTGTCACAATCCAACACTGAAATTGTTTCCTATTTCCCAGTTTGAAATAAATAATGTTGAGTAATACTGATTTCATAGGGGCTGTTGAAATCAAGAATATAAAAGAGGTAGTTCTTTTTTCTTTATTACACGTAAGAACAAGAGCCAGTATTGTAGGCAGAAACAATACTGATCTGAATAAATAATCTTAATTGGGTAAAATAAGAAGGGTGGAGGAGGAGAGAAAAGGAAGGGGATAACATGGAAATTTCAGAAAGCATAATTTGGGAAAGTAATTTAGGATCCATTATACTTGCTGAAATATAGCATCAGCAAAACAGGATACTTATACATCTCTTAAAATACTTATATGTATTTAATAATGGAAGAAATCATTATATGACTAATACGTCAAACTTGGAAGCTAAGAGGGGAACTTCATATGAGACTCATGGAGATGGAAAAATTGTTTCTTTTAAAATGTAATATTTAAATATTTGGATCTGAAATATTTGAAATATATACTGCTTGGGTTTTTTCTTTTAATAACTTTTGTGTAGCTCTGCATAAATCTTTATAGAAAGTTTTAAAAGAGTATGCATAATATTTATAGAAGCAAACAGAACACCTGAAATACTGCACAAAGAAATGTCCAGATTTTTTAAAATTATGCTTAACGATTATTTTCACATTAGACTTGGTTAATGTGTGCTACTTTCTGGTAATTTTGTGGGGATTGATATCTTTAATTTGCACTAAAAGTGGCCACAGCAAAATTAAGACTATACTAAGTATGTTATCATACCTAAAGTAAATAAAATCTCTTAGCAGGCATTCCGATTTAAACATACAAACAAATGTTAAAGTGAAGATAGTCAAGTATAAAACAAAATAATATCTGGAAATAACTGAATGACACAACAATTGTATAGCTATACTCAGTAGAATGTTTTCTATTGTAATAATATACACCTGAAACATAAAAAAATCAGCCTGATCCTATTAAATAAAATTATGTTATAAAATTTGAGAACATAATGTGTACTCAAAATAGAAGGAAATCAAGATAATTACATATCCTGAATTTGCTTTATAAGTTCTCAAAAAAATTACTACTTACTCTTTTGAAGAAAAATGTTTATTGCAGTTCTTAGTTCTAATGTAAAGAGCTAATAGAAAATGATTTAAAATTGTTAGAAAGAAAGAAGAAAACAAGCAGAGAACATACAATATTGAAACAAGCATTAATATACAACTCCATCTACCCTTCACTGCACATTTAGCATTATAGTTCCCCAAACATTTGATGACTTTAAGAGTGGGCTAATTAAAAAAATACAATGCTGACACATTCTGTGTTGGTAACTAGTAATTCATTTATTACACTAGCTTGCTATAAATATACTGCTCTTTTTGATAATGCACCATGCAGCAAGCTTTCTGTTCCAAGAAAAAAATAACTGGTCATTCATGACAGGAAAAGAGAAGCAGGAAACAACCTGTGCAGAGAAATCTTTACTAGTTGCAATCTTCAAAACACACTCATTCATAAATGGGGTTGGTTGCAAAAATGATTGTCAATGATTGAATTATTCTATATTAAATTCCACAAGGTTTAAATTTATATTTCTTATCTATGTGATCACTTAGTCAATACCAACTTGATGGTACTTAATCAAAAAGTTTAATGTCAAAAATAACTGTGCTGTCCATTCACATCATTATTCAAACCTCCACAACTTGACTTTCAATATTGTACAAATTGCCACTGGGAATAATTTTGCTTCTCTCCAGGACCATTTTAGACTTGCATTTTTAAATTAAAGAAATGAGTTCCGCCACTTTTTTTTGTCTAGCATTTCTTTTAGAAAATCTAGACTTTGTTGGGCGAGGCTCCTTAATAGTTATACCTATTTAAAGTTTGTATATCCAAGTATGAGAAGACAAATTCATTTGTATGATTGAAATTATACTGAACACAAATTCATTAAAAAACATAAGAATTCCCAAATTTAATAGGTAGAGTACTAAAATCTACTGTACATACAACCTGCATCCCTTTTAGGCATGAAAAAAAGTAGCAAGTTTAAGAGAACAGTAGCTGACCTAGCTGTGGATTTCATTAGAACTTCTCTTAAAATTAATCCTGCTGGCTCATGACATGCTGATTCAAGGTAGGAAGAGACTGAGTAGCTGAGAAGCAGCAAGAGAAGTCAACTTGTGATCAGTTGTAGAAGGCTGAGGAGCAGGTTTTATCTTGGTGATTTACTTCACATCAGCTTGACCTGGGATTTGACAGCGCTTGTTGCAAAATATCTGATTTTCTTTATCTAGAGCTGTGTTCTAAAATACAATTTTTTAGAAAAAGGTAAATCACATCACTGATAAGTGTTATATGTACATATAATAGTGTTTTTTAAAATGATACATGCAAAATCTGAAGAAAAGGAAAAGTAACTTCTAAGATCTTTTTCAAAAGTGTGAGGTTGTGGATTGTTTGGAAAGTGGTTTCTCACGTGCATAGCATTAGTAACAAGAATTGCATGCCCAGATTGGGCATGCTGCAAATCACATCAGCCAAATGATGACTAGCAGAAACTAGAAGACAGTTTAAATTTCTTCTGCAGCCTCTTTCTTATGGAATATTCTCTTCTCAGAGATTAGAATGCCCCAAACCCTATTGGCTTTTCACAAAGCTTTAAAAATTTGGCTGTGTATCTGGGTTGCCTTGGAATGTGTGAAGGGTCCTATTGCTTGGCCTTAGTGTTAATTAATTGACCATCATGGCTACTGTTTCTACTTCTTGTGGGTGTTTTTTTTAATTATTAAATGCTTTTTTAATTATTTTAATTGTTTCATAATTTTAGACTTGTAAGCCACCTAGAGTCACTTGATTGAGTTGGGTAACTTCAGAAATTGAATGAATGAATCAATGAATCTCCCAAAAAGGCATGGACATGTCAAGGTGAACCTAAAGAGACAGGTATTTAGAACATTGTCACTTAGAATAAAATACTGTTAAATAGAACATTTATCCACAAAATGAATAAATGAAAAAAAAAGTGGAACTAAAGCAAACCCTCTGATGACATGAACAGACAGATATAAAATAAAAAGTGACTTGGCTATTTGGATATCCAAGAATGAATGAGAATTGAGACTTGGAGTCTATGCTTATTAAATGGTCTCTTCGTTTCAAAAACATAATTCAATTGTATGTCTCTCCATGTGGCAAAAGAATGAATATAAATGTGATTATGAGGAAAGACTGAGAATCAATGAAGATGAGAAATTCAGGATGTGGAACAAACCGTTATTTGCTACTTTCACAAGCTATGGGAATTTCCACAGAATGAATTGAGAATTGACATGGGCCAGGGGACATGGATATTGCTTTCAACAGTGTAATAATTAGGACTACCACTAAAAGTACAGTAAGGCAATGGGAACATGAAAAAAGTTACTTGGTGGGAAAATGACATGCAAGAGGATGCAAAAGGACGAAAAGCAAATGCACGTAAGGGAATAATTGCTGAAAAAAATGAAATTTCACTGTCATATAATTATGTGTCATATAATGTGCATATGCAGACAAAATAAAAAATTCTGGTTAAGAGAATTAATAATAGATAAAAAACAGAACAATTTCAAAAGAAAGAAAAATTTGGAAATGAGTGAAAAGGATTAAACAGGAAGCCCTTGGAAGTATGCTATAAATAGTTTTTTTTTTTTTCCAAGAAAAGGAAGTTATTATATAAATGAATAAAAATGGTAAGGTAGCAGGTGTGGACAGTGGTGACTGGATAAATGTTAAAATATGAATATTTATCTGTTCGGGAAAAGGTTGCATGAATCTTTAACATACACGTGCCAGATGGCTGGAAGAATGTGGTTGGTGTGAAGCTACATAGTTGGTAATGAAATGTCTACAAGCAAAAAAGCTCAGACAGCATCAAGGACAATAACACAAGTGAATGGAAAATCTACAAGGTATGTTCAGTGTGCTTCTTAAGATTTTGGAGGAAATTCTGATTGAAAGGGTGAAATACGTGTAGATCAAGTATTTTGTCCTTCGGAAAATCATTATCAATGTATAGATGTAAGAATATATTGTACAATGTTGATTTCAGGTAACTACAATAGAAGTAAAGAGACTTGGATTGTGGAATTTTTTAAGCAAGTACAGTTGAGGTTTGGTTGCTGAACATGTGATGTGATGGAATAAAGCATGGATGAGAATAAACGGTACACTTACCAAATGGCTCAGTATTTTAGCAGACAAAAGATAGCAATAGCAATAGAACTTAGACAGTACTTTACAGCATTCTCTGAGCAGTTTACAATCTCAGCATATTACTCCCAACGATCCTCATTTTACCAAAGGCTAGGTCAACCTTGAGCCGGTCAGGATCGAACTCCAGGCTGTGGGTAAAGTTAGCCTGCAGTACTGTGCTTAACCACTATGTCACCAGGGCTCAGATAGACACTGATGAAAGAACTATGATGGTAATATTGAGATTTGTTGGTTGGGAATGTAATGTGCATGCACTCTTTATGAAAATGGTCCCATGTTGCTGGCTAAGAACCTGAATGGTTTACTGGAAATGTTACATCAGCCATAATGATGCCACATGGAGTATAGAACCAAAATCAATATACTAAAGTCCAATGTAAATAGTATTTGACATGAAAAAAATGGGCCACACAATTGTAAGATATAAATTAATGGTACCAAATTATGAATTTGTGTTGTTTGATAGAATCTTTGTTGAATGTGATGAAAAGGAAGATAATAGGTAGCATCCAGAATGGAAGTAATAGATGCTTTTTGGAAGAAGCAAAAATGAATATATAGAAAAATATGTCTCTCCTTACTTTATTATGCAGACGTGAAAGATAAGCTATGATTCTTCCATCATAAAATTTAATCAACCCATTATAGGTCCTTCAAATAATATAACTTGTTTATGTTACTACTCTGATTTTTGTTTCTCAGTTGTATCTCAATTGTACTTGACTTTTTTGAAAAGTAAAAATCTAAAATGAATTGTAATTAGTTTTATATATAGTCATAAACCCCTAATATGAATTTATTTAACATTAAGCACATGATTCAACTGAACTAAGCTTTTACAAAAAATTAACTAAAGGAGAAATTTTACTTCATAATGGTTCACTAGTAATAACTTTCATAGCAGATGTAAGATTTTAGGTTTTATTTCAGGTAGACAAAAGAGCATTTGGCTGGTCGTATTATGTATTATGTATAGAATATTTTTCCTGATACACTTTTTGTATGAGCAGTTCCAGAACCACAATGTGGAAAATATTAAAAATTCAAACACTGCTCAGGTATAATATACATTAAGCTAAGCAATGCAGCACCCACAACGTTCTCACTAATCTCCAGATTTTAAAAATATAAAAAATAAAATATTTTGTGAGTTAACTCATAAATAATGTCTAAACTTAAAGGTATTACTTTTTTTCTTTAAAATTGGCACCAAAGATGTTGTGTAAAATAATGATTGTGGCCAACGATTGAGAAGATTGCAGACCAAAGGTGTGAATATTGTATCAATTGTTTTGACCAGACAGATTGAGCTTGTGTTCAGTTGCTAGATGCTTTAGGGATATGATTACAGACATGGAAATCCATGAGAATATGATGATCATTCTAATATAAAGTGATCATCATAAATTAGCCAAGGAAAAGCTTTCAAGCAATTTCAGAACTATACCTGTGCTATTTTGGAGGAGGAGGAGGAGAAAAAAAGAAGAAAAAGAAAAAAAGAGGGAAAGCCCGAGTATTTTTGGGTTGGTTTTTTTTTGGCTTTCAAATCTGTAAAAATAGAAAACATCATGCAGCAATATTGAAATGGTTGAATGGTGCAACTATATCAATGCAATGAAAGCTTGTTGCATGATTGTACCACATCACTTGACAAGCTTTTCTGTTCAAGATTGTTACAAGGTTACTTCTCCTTTTCTTTCAAACCAAGAATCTTTTTTTTTAAATTGTGGCAAAGAAGCACTGTAATTAGTACATACCATTGTCTTGGACCTATTCAGAGGAAAGCAGCGCAGGCATTGGGAGAAGAAGCAAAAGAAGGAAGCAACGGACAGACACTAGACTTACTGGAAGCAGAACCAATAGCATTGCAACATTTATAAATGTAAATAAATTGTTTCAATATTCAAAAAGCAGCACTGAAACCTTCCTTATAAGACCTTTATAAAAATCAAAAGAAGAAAATTGCAAGCCATTCTAAAATGTTTTTTTCCTACTTCTATTAAATAATGGTTTTTGAGCACAATTTTTTGCTGAACAGAAATGAAAATGAATTTTATTTAAGACAATCATGTGAATGGTTGTAAATGTGGCTATATTCACTTGATAAATTGAGATAATTTGTTTTTATTATATTGTATGTGCTGTACTCTTAGGCTAAATAAATTTCATTTTAATTTTTTTTCTGTGGTTGATAAAACAGTTCCTTTGGATATATTTCTTGGATTTTACCATGTCATCGTTTTTACACACATATCCAGAAATTAAAATTCTTAGCAGAAGATAGTTAAAATACCATGACAATCTGCCAGCATTTTTGTATATAAATCTGAAAAGTCACACATGACACCTCATAATTTTCCCACCTCTTCTGATTACATGGTGGAAAATGAACACAAATATCCTTCTTATGAAAAACGGAGGAATCGATTTGGCTTACCTACAATTCAGCCTGCAACTTTATTCAACTTATCTTGATATAATGTTTTTTTTAGTTCTCCAAATATTGTATTTTTTTTTTTAAATGGCTGAATTTTGGGGTTTAAAAGAGTAGACTGAGGGCCAAAACATTCTACCGCAACTTATTTTTATGATCAGTCAGCTGAGGGCAAAATTCTATGGGGTTTTGATGTTGTTAAGTAGATGCTTAAGCAGGGGTGGGATTCAAATTTGTTAACAACTGGTTCTGTGGGTGTGGCTAGGTGGGCATGGCCATGTGACTGGACGGGTGGTGCTTCTTGTTTTTTGCAGCACTCCCCCTCCAGGTTGTTGTTTTTTTTTTGCCTCCTGGGCCTCAGGGAAGCCTCCTGGGGGGCATTTTTGCACCTTGAAGGCTTCCCTGGGGTTCAGGAAGGCAAAAAACAGAGCTTGGGGGGGGCGTGCAGCACCCTCCTCCATGCCCCTTTTTGCCTCCTTGGCCTCAGGGAAGCCTCCTGGGGGGCATTTTTGGTCCCAGGAAGCTTCCCTGGGCCCCAGGAAAGCAAAAAATGAGTGAGAGGGGGGTGCAGCACTGTCCTCCCATGCCCCTTTTTGCCCCCTGGGCCTCAGAGAAGCCTCCTGGGTGAAGCAGAAAGACAACGAGGGGGATCCTGACACAGCTGATCATCAGAACAGCTGATCGTTGGGAGGAAAAAAAGAAACACCTTAAGGAGTGACTGGGCGGGGGAGAATGCAGTCAGCAATATCGGGCAGGTGCACGATATCGTGCATGCACAGTAAGGACTGACTGGATGGAGAGGCCAGCCAGGAGCATGATTTGCCAGTTCTCTGAACTGCGCAGAATCATAACAACCAGTTCTATAGAACCGGTCCGAACTGGTGGAATCCCACCCCTGTCCTTAAGGCATTCATTTCCCCCTGAACAAAATCCTTTCAAAATGGATTCTACTTCCAGCCATTTTTAGCTATGTCTGGAGTGTCACTCAAGCTGAGAGACAATGTATTCCTTTATACAGTTAAAACTACAGGTAGTTTTTGATTTATCACTTGTCGCTTAGCAACTGTTTAAAGTTATGGCAGATCTCCCAAGGGTTACTTATGACCCAGATTCAAAGTTGTCCCCCCCCCCCAGTCACATGATCACATTTGGGGTGTTCAACCACACTGCTACAACATTTTTTGCTAGAAACCAGCATTTTGCTGCAAACTAGCATATTGAATTTTACTATATACTGCAATATAAATGCAATATCAGGGGTTTTCAATTCAAATGTGTGAAGGATGTGTGTTTTGTGTTTTATTTTTTATAGTTCTAATGTACATTGAAGATGACATTTAATTTCGTTGTATGAGGTACAATGACAATATGGTTTATCTAATTAAAATTTACTTCCAGTTTCCAGTAAAAGTGCCTAATGGAGAAAATGGATTCACTAAACAACCATGGCATTCTCTTAACCACAAAAAAAGGTCATAAAATTGGGCACCGGCATACGGTGACTAGTTGAACAACTGGGCTTAATTATGATTTTAAGTCAAGGACTACCTGAATTCAGATTCTTCTAAGTCTCAAATTGCTTAATGGACTTTGGCTCAGAACTCAATTTTAATTTAAAAACTATAATTTAGTTCCTGGGAAAATAGCCTTTACCAGCAGGGAGAAGATAAGGAAGGATAAATGGAAGTTACAATTACAAGTATGCTTCATCGCCTAGAAGCAAAGCCAGGCGGCTAGAAATTTGGAAAAAAACAAAACAACCAGAACTTCACATCAAAAAGAAGCCAGATGCTGAATTATATTTATGACTACAAACAAGCTTAAAGTATGTGCAAATTTGCAAGCAGCTGTGAGTTAGCATTTTAAAATAACTCTATTTAATAATGGATTTTGTACCAGGTTTCACTTCAGGATTATCCAAAGTCTCAAAAATACAAAACATTGAGTTTTGAAGTCTCTCAGACTGTCAAGTCAAACTGTCAAAATGCAAGCAAAACAATAAGCTTTTGTATTATTTTTCTTTGCTCCTCATAGTAGTTTATTTCATCCTAAAATAAAACATTACTTTTAAAGCTGGTATATGTTAGGAAAAATTAAACAAGAAGTGATAAAAAAATTAAAATTTCTTTCTTCATTCCCAGAACCTGGTTTTCTTCAACTTAAATTTGGTCAGTATGTCTAGGAGTCTTGGAAATACCTATTGGTGCTGCATTTTAATGATTCAGTGCAAATAAAAACTGACTGCTAACATAAATAGCATCTTTAAGAATTTTATTGCCAATAGGATATATTTCATGAGATAATTTTTTTTCCAGTGCAAATGCAAGAATTAAAGGACAGCTGATTAGGCTGAATTATGGTAAATCATGTACTTTGAGTAGCACTATTTATTTTGGCTTAATTGCACAATTCTTAAACAGAATGTCTCAAACAGAACTCAAACAGTTTTGTCAAATGTTTAAATTTTCTTAAAAATGCATCGATTGCACAAAGAGACATTGACACAGCCATAAAATATGCACTATTACTTTGTAATGAAAAATAACTTTAAAACTGTATCTCTTCTGGAAAGAGTTGGAAATGTCAAATTAGTAAAATAATTGGTAGAAATGATGCACTTGCTTACCATGATAATAGACACTCCTGCATTTTGGTTATTCTGTTTGGGAAGTGTGCTGTTAAAGTGCTGCTTTAATTTACCTGTTACTTCAGCTTGCATATTATTTTCTTGAGAGGCATCATCCTTTTTAAAGGAAAGGAGAACATTATTATTCAACAAAGAAGCATTGGAATGATACAAAAATTATCATAAATATCTAGATGAAGATCCATGATAAATGAACAGGCCCTCAGCACACCACAAAAAGGGGCCCATTTTGGAGACTCTTATTTGAATCTCTTTTTCTTCCTTTTCATCTAGTCATGTTCAGGAGGATACTGCTGATCACGCACTGAGCTCCTCACCAGTTTCTTTTGAACTAACAGTTTATATTGTCATTAAAATTCTTTCATACTTCCAAGAGCAATGTCTTTTTCAGTTGTTTAAAGAAGTGCGCCCAACAAGTCTATCTCTCCTATAATTAGCAAAGATATTAAATGTGTGTGTGTGTTGTTGAACCATTAAAAAATAGCCAGATCAGTATAAGTAATGACTTTGTTATTAATTGAAATGGTTGCTAGGTGAACACATAAAAGAGAAAGAAAGGAAGGAGAGGAAGAGATATGAAGTGAAGATCACCAGTTGCTGCCATCTTATTCAAATAAAGTTCTTTCCTACAGTGTCCTGTGCCTCACCTTTTTTTCCCCTTCTCACAGTGCAGAGATATTGCTTAAACAATCTCTTCCTGAAGTGTTTTCTTTTTTCTGCAAAACAGCAGATTCCTAAAAAGAGCTAACTGCAAGCTAACAAGCTCAGATCTGTGACCTTAATTAGTATGTTAGAATCTTCTGGCAGGCTACACTGCTGCCTGAAACTGACCAGATCTTAAATAGTTTCACATTGAAAGTTTTTATTGTGAATGCATCAACTTTGGCTCTAAATGCATGTATCGATCAGAAAATAATTTTTATTACCATTATATTTGCATAAGTAAGCTAATTGCTAATTGAAGAGTGGCTGTACATTGCTATAGAGCAGGGTGTCAAACTGGTGGGCTGGATGCATCACATGCAGGCCACGCCCACCCAGCTTCATGAGTGGGGAAAACATCGCAAAACATCATGTGACGGCAACATGACGTGGCAATTTTGACACCCATGCTGTAGAGACATAACTGAATCTATTTCAAGTGATTAGTGTTTAATATTAGTTGAGCTTTTACATTTTTGTTTAAATGGGTAATATAATAAAAGTATTTTACTCACTGATACCCAAGGATGGTTTAATATCTGAGCAGCTGTATATCGTTCTTCCACATTTACTTGTAACATCAGACTAATTAATTCCTGAGGAACAACAAAAAGATGAAGAAAAGATTCAGCACAATGCATTTTGTATAAAGGAGTAGCAAACCCCCACAGCTGAATATGCTGCCAAGGACTTGGGCTAATACAGCAGCACATACAGCAGCACACAAAGGGAGAATGAGGCTAGGATGATAACTCAAAGAGTTTTGCAGGAAGACACAACATTGCTACGGGATGCCACACAAATTCTTAGATGTTACTATACCAATGCAGAGTATGAGAAACAATGGAAAACTAGAGAGTCAAGTTAGGACCATAAATACAATCTGACAGACATCACTGATACACTGCAAGACTATAACCTGTTCTAAAGGGAAAGAGCAAATATCACTGTAAAAAGGAGAAAAAGGAAGATCCAAGAAACTACAGAGTTGTCAGCTTTTACATTCCTACTAGCCAATATTCTTTAAAGATTATTAAATAGCATAAGCTTGTTGTGAACAGTTGCATAAGCAAGTTAACAGAAGCCAACATGGCTTTGCCATAAATAAACCATGCCATAACTTTATCTTATTCTATTAAGAGTTTGATATAATGAGAGTTGGACAGGCAGATTATGTACCTGGACTTCAGCACAACTTTCAATACAATTTATCATGAACAAATCCTTAATGAAATTATAAAATCTGGAGTAACAAAACACCTATATGAGCTCACAAGAGGGTGCATTAGTGTAGTGAATGGGTGCTTGTTAATGGTTTAGCTCCAGTTTGTATGGAAATATTGAGTGAAGTACCACAGGATGCCTTTTTGCATTCTGTATTTTTCAATTTTTTTATCAATGACTTGGATGACAGGACTGAGGGGGTTAACAGGACTAAGCCTGCCAATGGCAGAAAGATGGAAAGATGGCAGAACGTTGGAGATATAGCTAGTTCCGTAGAGGAGAGACAGCACATCTGGACAGTTCTGAGCAGCGAATTAAAATGTAAAGTTCTGATTATGGACAGGGAAAATAATAGGTATGGTACAAGGACTGGGGAAATATGATTTTCTCTCTCCAATGTAAAAAAGATTTGGGTGCCCTTATTGACTATCAGTTAAACATGGGCCACCAATGTGCTGCAGCTACTAAAAAGCAGGTGCTATCATGGAAAGTGTTAGGACGGCAGATTGTAGGAAGGAATTTTTCTATACTACCTTGGACAGACTCTATTTTGAAATATGGTTCCAGTTCTGGATACCACAGTTCCAAAAGGACAGCGACAAATGCTAGTAAGTTTATATGAAGGCTACCAAAACTTATGAGCACTGTTTAAAGGAATTGGGTATGATATACCAATTATCATAGATGTCTCAGTGAAGGTATATAGAAGTCTTCAAATAGGAAATGAACATTTATTGTCGTGTTTCATTAAAAATTCAGAGCAGCTGCTTCATTTTATTTTAGGAAAGAAAAAGGGGGAAAATTCAGCTATTGTATGTTTAAATAAATCAGTAATAGATTTAAAAATCTATCTACTGGTGCTTAAATTTAGGATAATCTTTGGTATAAATGGAAATGTGTCTGTATATCAATCCAGCAGGAAAAAAAATGGTCAACAAATGGTCTTATTTAATATATCTGTGTAGTGATTTCCAAACACAAAACTTCACCCTTCACTTTATTTTCAGAAAAGCTATGCATATTTCTTCAATTAATTCTTCTCTAGTGGTAATATACAAGCTAAAGAATGCTGATCACAAAGACTGTGCTGAAAGACTAGAAATCTTTAAACATCCTCACATAACTACAGTATTACAGTATATTCCAATGCTCACTTGCTTTAGTATATATATAATCCTTTAGATGTATACCTAGCAGACTGTCCCAGTAGGATTAGTAGGATTACTGTCAGATGAATTAATAAGAGTTGCCATCTTAATCTGATTTTAAAAATGAGGCTCACAATGGGATTTGCACCTGTCGTTGGCCCTGTAATGCAACAACGGGTTTGGTCAAGAAATGTCTTTTCCCAGCATCTGTGCCAGTTATACCTATTGTAAGCAAATTCGGATTTGACAAGGATGATAAATGACTCAGAGGAAGCAACATGGTGTGTTATTTTGAAAGGTACTCAGCAATTAGGATTCCCTCAAACTGTAGCTTCCCCATCATTAACAGTGGTTGTCTACACAGTTGCTGATGAAAGGCTGTGTTGGTTTGTGGATGCAATCTAACATCCCTGAAGTATTTGGATAGAATCATTCCACCCGTCAGCATGAACTTGGGAAGGTTTCAGCTATTTTGAAATAATTCACACGTATTCAGAATGTAGATTTTCATGGTTGCTATTTACTTGTGAAATGACTCCTGGGGAAGATGTATAAAGCCACATGACAATAAATATTCATTGTCTCACATGAAATTACCCTATGTCATTTCACCAATCCAGATTTATGCTTAATTAAAGCAATGCTTTTCTTCCCAGGGCTCATGTAGTTCTCTTCCACATCTCACTGTCTCACTGAATCTTTCAAATTTTTAGTTATAAGGAAGAGGTTACACATACACATACAAACACATTTATTTATATCTGCAACTTTTTGCAAAGAGATAGAAAACAGTAACAGTTCTTATACTTTTTTAGATTGCATAACTGTTCATAACATAAAATAGATTCTTTTTCAGGGAGCAAATTCTTTTTCATAAATTGTAAGAACACACAATTGCAAATGAATATTTTTTTAAAAAAACATTCTTACTGAAGGTTATTTGTAAAAGTGATACATTAATGCATTACCCAGAACAGTAAAGTACTTATAAATGCAACTAATGTACATGAATGTTAGAAACTGTGAGTTATTTTATGTTTTCTTAGTTCATTTCTCACTTATAGTTTACACTGGCACCAGCATGACCTAACAATCACATTTTGTGGTCATGTAGTATATGGCTCTTGTATCCTTTTATGTCTTGTAATAATTTTAATTGTTTAATTTATGTCTTGTATAATAATGTTAGCTTATGTTAATCATACCAATTTTGGAAAATAACAAGTTCTTCTAGCAAAGAAAAGCAAATTGGATGTATTTTATTATGCTTCGTCCTCAATTAATCTATAAGGTAGCTATGTTAATGTGACTGACCATAGTTGTTTGACTCTTGATTAGATGTCTCTAGTTTGGGAGTTGGTAGATAGTACATGCCATATTCAATGCCAGTCAGCATCTGAACATCCTCCTTCAGCACCAGAAGGACCCTACTTGGAGTTTTGGTACATGCTTGTTAAAAGACAGGACAATTTTGGCCTTGGAACAGATAATACCTAGATGTTTAGGTCAGGAGATGAGATCTGCAGTTCTTGGTATTTTATTTTTGTGAATGTGAATATTGTTTTTTGTGAGTGTGGTTATTGTTTTATCCCTGGTTCACGGGTTGAATGTTGTGGTTTTCATCTTTTAATCCATATTTCCCAAAGCTATGTGTGTGCAAAGTGTAGCAATATAAATCAAACAAAAGAATGAGTGAATAAATAAATAAATAAATAATGTTAAAAACATCTCCAATGTGATGAATGAAGACAATATAGCAATAGCAATAGCATTGAGACTTATATACTGCTTTACAGTGCTTTGCAGCCCTCTCTAAGCAGTTTACCGTGTCAGCAAGTAGCCTGCAGTATTGCACTCTAACCACTGCACCACCATAGCTCTTATACTCTGTAGGTCACTCAGAACAACAAATCAGAACATATACAGTAATTATATGGTTAGATTGTATGTTTATACACAAAGGCTTGAGTTTTACAGAACCTAAGTAAGGAAAGGATTTTATTTATGGTAGGGATAGACCAATTTGGCTTCATCAGAAATGTTTTCATACTTTTAACTCTCACGCTTTCAATGCATCTTGGTACCTTAGCAGAGTCAGTGATGTTATCCCAATATGGAGAAGGAAATTCTAGCTTTCCAATTAAGATCTGATCAAAAAGATCCTCTTGAATGTTGTTCTCACTGTGGATGAAAACCAAGCAGGAAAAAAATTACTATGGCGATCATTATATTGTTCATTATAAAAGCTAAATTACAAGATCAATTTGACATGCAATACTGTGTTCTAATTTCAGTGTTTATACAAGCTGAATTTAGTTTGAGAATAAATACAATCACTATTGTTTTCTTTGTAAATTATTTGCTTAAGGAAGGCTTTAATAATATCTCTACTATTGCCTCCAGATATTTCTCAGATAGTGGAATATTGAATTTCTGATACAATAACAAGTATGTAAAATAGCAAAATATAAAAAATTAAGCATGTATATCTATGACAACTTCAAAATTAAAACTATCTATTGAATATAAATTACACCTATCTGTGAGAAAACCAAGTCTGCTTAAAATGTAATTTTACATATTCCTTCTTTTACCAATGTCACCTTTTCATTATAGGAGATAAACTAAAATCACCAGTTACCCCAAATTTGGAAAACCAGATGAGTGTTAGGGCATCGCCTTAAATAAAATATTTACCAATTAAAAATCAGAGCACTGTGGCTAAAAACAAATGCAACACTTTTCATGCCTTATTGATTCAACTTACCTACGAAATGGTGGAAACCCACATAAAAGTATGTATGTAATGACACCTGCAGCCCAAATGTCCACTTTTAAGCCATAACTACAAAAAAAAAAAAAAGTTTGGGAAAGTTGGAATTTTCATCTTGTACAGTACACACAGTAACAGCATTTTAAAGATATCACTACTTTTAATATTGGAGCATAATTCAAAACTTAATTTGCCAATCTAATAAGCAATTGGATGCAATTTTCAAGGCAAATACACACACACACATACATATACATATATGTATGTATGTATGTATGTAGGTCTTTTCCCGTGTAAGATTAAGAGTATCTTGGCGACGTTTCAGCATGGTCCCTTCTTACCATCCTCAGGCTGGTGCTTTCGGCTTCGTGCCAGTGCAAGCAGTGTGTGATCGAAGCTGCCATCTCTCTATAAATACTGGGGGGAGGGGGGGGGGCTGGTGTGCTAGTTTGGTTGGCTGTGCTGTTGCCTCTTGATTGGTTGATGGAGTTGATATTGGTATAATGGGCTGTGTGATGGCCTTGTGAGTTTTGTTGTGGAGATATCCTGGATCTTGTGCTTTAATCTCCTGGGTCGTTTGTGTTTTGATCTCTTTTCCATTAGCCTCCTGTGTTGTAACGGCTTGGGTAATGTGTTGTGTGGTGACCTTGTGAATTTTATTGCTGTGGTATCTTTGGTCTTGTGCTGTGATTTCCTGGGTCGTTTGCTGTGTTGCAACTTCTTGAGTTCTTGTGGTGTAATTTCCTGAGTTTTCTGATGTGATATCCTGATCGGGTGGCTGTGATGTAGCATTCTGGGTTTTGGTCTTGCTTCAAGTTTGGGGTCTGGGTCTGTGTTCTTGGTGTGTGTCAGCTTGTTTGGTTTTGGGGTTGAGGGGTACAACAGCTGGTGAAGCAGACATGGTCTGGTTTCTGGATGGTGGTTGTCCTTCGTTTATAGGATGGGTTTGGGCCTGGGTTTGATGAGGGGGATTGGCGGTGGTGTCCCGTGTTGTTTTGGGTCTGGTGTTGGTTTTCGTGGCTGGGACTCATTTGTTGGTGGGGGCTAGTTTCCAGATGTCTGGTAGGCGGGAGGTATCATCCCGTTTATTCATGTTACAGGGGTATTTCTCTATTTCGATGGCTTCCCTGATTATTCACTTGCTGGAGTGTTCAGTGTTGGATATTAATTTGGTTCCTTCGAAATTAATTTCATGTCCTGTAGCTTTAAGGTGCTGGAAGAGGGAGGAAATATTTTCTTCTCTTCTGACTGCATCTGCCATCATCAGGCTTCTGTATAGTATATACTATATATAGTATAGTATGTATACTATGTATATAGTATGTATACCATTCTGGCACAGCAATAGGCTGCCCCAAATTTAAATCTGAAACCACTGTAAAAGTCTGACTCACAGACGAACACTATACAGAAGCCTGATGATGGCAGATGAGATTCTGTTGAAACGTTGCTACAACTTTAAAAGAACAACTACAATGACGTGGGAAAATACCCGAACAAAGCCGAATGCCATATAGTATGTATAGTATATACAGTTTATTCTGTACATACAGAAGCCTGATGATGGCAGATGAGATTCTGCCGAAACGTTGCTACAACTTTAAAAGCACAACTATAATGATGTGGGAAAATACCCGAACAAAGCTGAATACCATATATATATGTATATATGTGTGTGTGTGTGTGTGTGTGTGTGTGTGTGTGTATATACGAGACACACACACACACACACATTTTCCCTAATATTCCCAGAACATGAAATGTTTTCCTTCCATTGATATTCCTATTGCTGCTTAACCTGTTTACATTTTTTCCATTTAATTATGCAGTTTTACTCGTTCAGTTTCTGAATGATATTTCAATATATATATTCAATATATATATATGTATGTATGTATGTATGTATGTATATACACATACATACATACATATACATACATATGGCCTAATAGATATTTTGAGTCTTCTGTTTTAAGGTTTTCAAATTCAATGAAATCTCTAAATATGCCACTTTGTTTTTGTGGTTCTTTGAACTATGTTGCTTATTTGAAAATATTGAAACCAATTAGGTATTTTGACCACATCAAGGAAATAGTCTTGAATTAAATTAAAATTTAAAGCTTATAATCAGGGTTTCAACTGATCACTTTTTACTTTTTAGCATACTTGCCTTTAATAAAATAAATATTTAATATTGAAACAAGGCTTATTATTTTCAATATTTGTCCCATGCTATATATAATTGATATATTTTGCACTTAACCTTACTTGTATCTTTCTACTCAGAAACTGAAAAAGTTTTCTTCACTAAATAAGTTGCAAATTTAAAATTACCGTATATACTCGAGTATAAGTCGACCCGAATATAAGCCGAGGCACCTAATTTTACACAAAAAACTGGGAAAACTTATTGACTCGAGTATAAGCCGAGGGTGGGAAATGCAGCAGCTACTGGTAAATTTCAAAAATAAAAATAATTAATTTGGGAAACGATCTCACTATCATGAAAGGTTTAATTGATTCACTAACCCAAAAGAAGAAGATGATGATGACAGCAGGAGGCAGGAGTCACTCTCTTCCCCTCCCTCGGAGGCCCCCTGAGTCAGGAGTCGCTACCGCCGGCGCGGCCCCAGTCCCGCCGCCTCGGGAAGGGAAAGGCAAAGCGCTTTTTGCCTTTCCCTTCCCGGCTGGGGCTGTTGGGAGTCACTGCCGCCGGAGGCCGCGACTCCACACCATTTTTTTTTCAGAGGGGAATCTGACTCGAGTATAAGCCGAGGGGGATTTTTTCAGCACAAAAACTGGGCTGAAAAACTAGGCTTATACTCGAGTATATACAGTATATCTAACAAACCTCTGATTTACAAAATTTGATAAACTGCAGTTTGCAACAGGCTTTTAGACAAGTTTTTAGAATAAATGAAAAATATTAACAATACCTGTTCAGATAGCAGGGAACAGATCACATTTAGTTCTTTTAAAAATATAATGTTAATATTATTTGTAGACTAAGAACACCAAAACTCTATTTTAAAATGAATTTTTACCCTGTTTCTGCAATGATTTCTGGAGCCACATAGGTTGGTGTGCCACAGACTGTATAAAGCGGTCCTTCAACTACAGTGGCTAATCCAAAATCTCCTAGCTTCAAAGATTTTGTCCCATCTGGATATTCACAGACCTGAGAGAGAAAAAAGATCATGAATTATATTGCATATTTTGATAGGAACAATATCTAGTAATGTGGTTAGGCAAACTAGAATACTAAGCATATATTAAACTAGAACTATTTAGAAATAGACTGACAAATAGTTGTTCAATCTCTTCTTAAGCAGCATACATTCTATTCATTGCACTAGTTTAAGTAGTTGAGCTAAAACACAGCAATACCTAAGATCTATAACTGTGATAACGCAATAGTTTACTGCAATATTTGAGGCACGAGGAATCTGAATGAAACTATGAGCTGACCAAAGTTACTTCTTTATTTATTGTGGCCTATTTACAGGAATCTTGCCAGATTGACTTCATTGTCTTGGGAACACAGCCTTAAGAGACTCTGGGAGAGTAATATCTATACTTTGCGGTACAAGGATTCTAAGCTCAGGCCCCTCTTCACATCTCCCCTCATCTGAGCTGGAGGTTAACACCACACATAAAATAAGCCAAATTACACTGCAGAAAATCCAAAATATGTAGATTTTTTCCCAAAATGCTGCCTAGAGAAAAGGTTGTATGTTTTTATGACTGAACTAGATTTAGCCACACAGATTGAATATGCAAATTGTATCTAAACTTATGTGTTGCTGGTTTCAAAGCAACAAATATTGATTAAACAATATTAATTACAAAACTGACTGGAGACCAGATCAGGAAATTGACTCCAAAGACGAACTAGAATTATACTTTATTTAGACAGGCTATGGTCACAGAAACTCTAATTATATTTTATCTCACTTATATCAACTAAATCAAGGAGGAAGAGGTGAATTTCTTTCTAAAGCTATTTACTTTACCAGGGCTTAAGGAATACTTCTCCCTTATTTCTGAATATTAGCCTCAAAGCAATACCCGAGTCTTAAACACACACACACACACACACACACACACTTTTTCCAATATAATTTTTACTCTATTACTTTTTCCAACATAAATTAAGGAAAAAGATCAATGATCGATAGCTTTGTGGGCAAATCCTTTTTTCAGTTTTTGCTTTTTAAAGATTAATTGTTTATAAACCATAATAAATAAATAAATATTGATTTGATTATCTTTTTGCTTTGTTATCCATCATGCCCATCAATCTATAAAATGTTTCCACATAATAACTGAAATGTAGCAATTCTATAAATCCAGCAGATGGCAGCACATAGCTGCTTTTACACACCTGGCGTGCGCGCGTGCGCACACACACACACACACACACAGACAGAGCAAAGAAAAAAAAGAATGAAATAGGATCAAATCAAATGAAAATCTTTATCATGGTTACTGACTAGCATAAAATAATGTAAAACAATAAACATTTCATTAACACTAAAATCTATATGAAACCTAAATTTATATGAAAGCTACACAATGGAATATAAATTGTATGAAGACTTTATGTAGTATAGCAGATTAATTAATATCTTGATAAACTTGATTTTACATTTAGATTAATAAATATATTAAGGTTTTATCCTGTACTAAAATCTAAATGTAAATGAGCTTTATAATAACATATAATAGTAAAAACTAAGGGGCTAAATCATGATACAAAAATAAAAACCTGCCCTTTTTTGATCTAATTTTTTAGTTACATCAAAACATACCATATTTTTCGGAGTATAAGACGCTCCGAAGTATAAGACGCACCTAGCGGGAAAAAAAATATCTGCCTTTGTCTTTCCTCCCAGCAATTTGTCTCCTTGCGGCAAACAGCAAACAGCCTGTTTCAGCTTCAGCACAGCCGGATTTAGCACAAGCAGCTGATTTTTGGTTGGATTCGATCCCAACCATCAGCCTATTGCTGCCTTCCCGCACCCCACTTTCGGCTTCCGTGCACCCCATTTTTGGCCCATTCCAGGTGGCAGGGATAAGAACGGGTAGAAAATGGGGCGTGGAGGCTGAAAACGGGGTGCATGGAGGCCAAAGGGGGGGCATGTGGAGGCCAAAAATGGGATGCAGAGGTGGCAATGGGCAATGGCAATCACTGCAGCCTGAAACAGCTGATCATCAGGAGGCCGGTCCAACCAAAAATCAGCTGCTTGTGCTAATCAGGCTGTGCTCAAGCTGAAACAGGCTGTTTGCTGCAAGGAAGCAAATTTCTGGGAGGCAGAGGCCAAAGGCTGGAGAGTGGGCAGTGCTTCAGTAACATTCGCTATATAAGATGCACAGACATTTCCATCCACTTCTGGGGGTGGAAAAAGTGTGTCTTATACTCCGGAAAATACGGTATTTACAGTCACAATCCAATCCAAGATACATAATAGCTATAAATAATGACAATATTAATAATTACAATGATGTGATATTCTTTATGGTTGTACGGCAAGCCTATTTATTTCTAAGACTACACTTAGAAGTAGTTTAACCATAAGGTTTCCATGCTAAAATCACAAATGTAGCCATGGTGTATATTATTTACCTAATAGAAGATATTGAATATAGAATTTATCTGGACATTTATCAAAGACTTGAAGAGGGGATTCAATAGTGAACTTCTAAGAACTCTGTAAAAATTCCAGGATAGCGGTACATGTGTCAAGAACCCAATGGGCTCCTGCATCACACAGACAGACCCTTTCTGCATAGGCAACCTTGTTCAACTTACCTTCGAGGACTGCTGGTGGTAAAATATTAAATTGCAGCACTTGCTGTAGCTTCAGTGCTGCTGCCCAGAGGTTCAGTAGACTAGTCCTGTCCTAGCCTTCCAGAGGCCAGGTGGACTGGTCCCATCCCATCAGCTGCCAGAGGGCACTCAGAACAGTTGAACTGGCAGGAAGTCAGAAATAATTTCCACTTCTGGTGCTTTTATTGCTCTCAGACGTTCTGTTTGTTTGCTTAGGTAAGAAAATATGATGATCTAGTAGCATATGAAGCTGTTTTAGGACCGTGAGGTATACTTTTCAATTCAATGTGGCAGCACCAAACCTGACTTACAAGAGAGCAACTTGTTCTGCTTTGGAGCTAAACAATTATCTTCCAGTCATTCTACAAAGTGCAAGCGCCTAACTTAGATTTTGCTAATTATATTTATTGGCCGCACTTTCTTTCTTATCTATTTTTAAAAACAGAGATAATAACAGCCATAAACTGTGCAGATCTATTGATAAAAATGAAAAAGGAAGACAGAAATTGGATCATGTAAATTAGAATTGGTGCAAAGCTAGATACAGAGCTCTTAGCTTGAGTGCGAAATTCTCTCTCTCTCTCTCTCTCTCTCTCTCTCTCACACACACACACACACACACCTCTGAGACAAAGACAGTAGCAAACCATTTCTGCTATCAAGTAGAGTACTTGAACATGTTCATGCATTTACTATAAGCTAATCTGGACTCAAGGGAGTCCAGACAAGAAAAATGTCCAGGTACATAATAGGCAGCATCTGTCTCAATAGTAACAATTGTGAAAAGGAGTCCTAGTGGACAATCACTGAAATATGAGCCAGCAGTGTGCTGCAGGTACCAAAAAAGCTAACACAGTCCTATGCTGCATTAACAGAGGGATAGAATCAAGATCACGCAAAGCATTAATACCACTTTATAATGCCTGGGAAAGACCACACTGGTAATATTGTATCCAGTTTTGGTTGCCACGATGTATAAAAAGATGTTGAGACTCTAGAAAGAGTGCAGAGAAGAGCAACAAAGAGGATTTAGGGGACTAGAGGCCAAAACATATGAAGAATGGTTGCAGGAATTGGGTATGTCTAGTTTAATGAAAAGAGGGACTAGGGGTGAAATGATAGCAATGTTCCAATATTTCCAGTGGCTGCCACAAGGAAGAATGGGGTCAACCTATTTTCCAAAGCACCTGAAGGCAGAACAAGAAGCAATGGATGGAAACTAATCAAGGAGAGAACCAATCTGGAACTAAGAAGAAATTCCCCAACAGAACAATTAATCAGTGAAACAAGTTGTCTCCAGAAGTTGTGGTGCTCCAACACTGGAGATTTTTAAGAAGAGATTGGATAACATTAGTCTGAATGCTTGACAAATGCTTGAGCAGGGGTTGAACTGACTCAGCCTTTTAGTTGATTTTATAGCACACATGAATATATTTAAATATAATTTATATTAAGAACTATTAACCCTCTACGCAAAAACAGCATCTGTCCCTACTTATGCAAAATTTCACACTAAACTGTGAAATGAGCTTGAAAGTTTATATTCCGTGGTACTTGATATCAATGTTACTTTGAAGCAGATAGGATCACAACTGCCATTATGACCAAGCATACAAATTGTTCTTGCTTGTTAGAAATTGAATATAATGAAATAATTTCCAGAGGTGCTAGTCTGATACAACAAAAATAGCCAAGAGATCTTGTCACATTACACACTGACAAGTGCATTATGTTACATAGTATCTGAGGAAATAGTAGACAAGCAAATCAGAGTTAATGAATGCAGAAAGCACAAAATACTAACTTGACAAGACGCATCCCCTAATGCTTATTAGTCAGAACAGACATTCTTGCACTGGTGAGCTGTTTAGCACATACTTGTATCAAAAAGTAGAATTACATTAGAATAATTACCAAAGGCTTATAAAACTAAAGGCTTACAAAACCAAAAATCCACTATTTTTGGCTAACACTGATGGACAAGGAAAATTCATCAGACATTCCTTTTTCATATGGAGCACATACATTTCTTCAAAAATTTAAAATTTTTAAGGGGGAGAAGCGTTGTGTTGCTTTTATTTATATCTTGCCTTTATTATTTTAGCAAATAACTCAAGATGGCGAACTTATCCCAAATAGGAGGGTTTTTTTTCCACAACAGTCACCCTGCAGTGTAGGGTAGTCTGAGACAGAGTGACTGGCCCAACTTCACACAGCTCGCTTTCATGACTAAGGCAGAATCTGAACTCACAGTTTCCTGTTTTCCACCTTGTGGTCTTAATCACTAGATCAAACTAGCTGTAATTCATTGCGCTACTTACTGTCATCTGGTGCCTTTCTAAATATCAAAAAAGCAACATAATGCATAAAATGATGATGGGAGTCCATTTTAAAAGGTCATGTCAATACCAGATGTATTCCTCCAAAACATGAGTAAAGAGTGAGTTAAAACAAGTGATGCTGTAAATTTTTTAAAATCAAAGTCCTTGTGTTCTCAAATAGGTATAGACCTATGGCCAATGTACAGTAAAATGTAAAGTGCACATACGGTGCCAAATATGTCATCATTGTCTTATAATATTTCTAAAGTCACAAGAACTTGGATGTTATTTTAAATTAGTAGTTTGCTAAAACATGATTTTTTTTTGAGTTGGCATCACCTTCTATGCATCTAAAGCTTCTATTATGATTTCTATTGCTAACAGCAGGGTTAATATTTTCACTGATATAAGATGTTCTATGAGAATGACTGGGCTATGCTCACAGTCTAATTCTGTAAAGAAATTGCTGTTTGCATGCATTCTTAAAATAATATACAGAAAACAAGAAATATACCAGAAGATTCTCAGGCTTAATGTCTCTGTGGACAATACTTAGACCATGAAGATATTTCAGTGCACTGGCTAGATTGTAGACCATTGCACTTCCATCACGCTCTGTGTACTTTGTTGAAGATGTAATAGCATCAAAAAGATCTCCTCCCTGTAAATAAAAATGCAGATGAAAAATCAAAGAATTTACAAACAAAACTATAAGTTATGTCATTGTTGAAAGGAAATGAGAAAAAAGTGAAACTATATTATTAATTTATAGATCAATAACTTAGCTTAATTTAAGAGTTACAGTTACATTAAGAGTTTCTTTAGAAAGATAATCATATTTATATAGACAGTTTCATATGGAATGATGCAGACAAAATAAGAATAAGAATAAAAAGCTTTAGATGTAACTTAGTCCCACAGAAATGACTGAGATTAGTTCGCATAGCTGATTATTATTTATTACTCCCTTTCACTCCAAACAGAACCTGAATGGACAGAATCGTTTCAGATGGCACATAGGTTACATCTTGTTATGGAGTTATGAGCTGAGTACATGAGCTGAGGCAATGGATTCCAAGGAGGCAGACATCTTACTAATCTTAGTTCTGACTCTGACAGACTGGACCTTTGTACAGCCCCACCTGTCTTCCAGAGCGGGAACTGGCAATTTGATCCATGCTTGCTTCTGGTTGGGGGGAGTTTAGAGGTCCTCAAAGAATAACTAAGTGATGGTTAATTAATTTGAGTGATGATTGCGAGTTGATGGCATGGTGTTCAATTGATTATGCTCCGATCAATGCGGTGGATAAGATGGTGGAACTCATGGGATTATAATAATACTTTATGTTATGATGTTAATCTATATACTGAACAGGCCTATATTTGCTTCATTTTTACAACTTTAGTAGTTTCTTTAATGTCTAGAACAGGGGTCTTCAAACTTGATAGCTTTAAGACTTGTGGACTTCAACTCCCAGAATTCCTCCTCCAGTCATTCAGGAATTCTGGGAGTTGAAGTCTACAAGTCTTAAACTTGCCAAGTTTGAAGACCCTTGTCTAGACATGAAAGAAACTACTAAACTTTAAAAATGAAACAAATATAGGCCTGTTCAGTATACAGATTAACATCAAAAATGAATTGGCTATAAAATATTTTTAAAAGTTAAAAAGTTAGATTTACAGTTACTTTTACCAATCTGGGTACATCCTAGATATAGTAGATGGAATTCCCAGAATTTCTCATCATATATAAGTAGAATACAAGAATTCTTAAGTATAGAATGATTACTTGAGAACTATCTATTTTTATATATGAAAATATATGGACAAAATGAGATTTTTAGAAAATAAGGCAACAATTTCTGCTACACATATCAAGAAACATGGCAACTTAATATTAAAATACAAAAATTCAAGAAAAAGCTATGAGGTTTCATGTTGAGCCTGATATTTGTTTTCTAATCAGAATTTATTCCTGCAAATTTTGTATACTTGCATAGAACATCAAGAAGTTACTGTGTAAAAGCAAAATATTGTACAGTCACATGTCTGATTTTAGAAGCAATTTTGGTTTTGCATAATATTCAGTCTCCAGCTATGAACTATCATGGAGTATAAAACAGAAAAATCATGGTACATTCATATAGGACTACATAAATTTCCAGTTCAATAACAATTTGGAATATTTTTAGATCTCTGAAAAACTCAACAATGTATTATGCAATAATGATAAAAAAATAAACCTAAAACCTCACCTTGACCAGTTCCATCACCAAATATAGCTCAGTTGCAGTATCCATTTCCTCTACTAGCATAATAATATTGGGATGTTTCACTCGGCGTAGAATTGACACTTCATTTTCAATCAAATGTTCCTATGTATTGTTGGAAAAGAAGAGGAGGAAAGCATTCTTTTTTAAACTAATACTAAAACTAATATAATTTGAAGAATTAAGTAAGAAGCATCAACCTAGTGTGAGCTTTTCAGTGTTCACCTCAATACTTGATAATGTGGCTATCTGTCTACAAAACAATAAACTGGAATTGGAAAACGCTTTACTAAGAATAGTTCCAAAATATACTAATTAAAGTTAATTTAGTATGAAAAGTAATCACTGATCAGTAATATACTTAGTGTTTTCAATTGCGAGTAGCCAACTAGGTGCATTCCCATAGCTGTTTATTTAAAGTATCTGAATTGTGATCCTCAGCATAGTGCAAGCATTCTGTTTTCATGCACTTCATGCATTTGTGAAGAAGACTGTGGGAAGTACATGTGAATAGTTTATGAGCAAGGAGCAATAATAGTATTTGAAAAGTCCAATGCTATTTTTGTATTCACCATTAAGATAAGAAGTTGATTTATGTTCAATCCTGAGCATTTCATTAACAGTTACCCTAATGCTTTAGTTACTAGAAACCCATGTGCTAAGTGTGAATATTCTGTGAATAAGTGGTACATCACACATTGCTTTAACAAGTCGCACCTTTGTTAACCATTATATGAGAGCATCAACAGTCTTTCTGGAACAAACATACGTCTGCTCCAAAGATATATGTGCTGAATGGGAAAAAATGCAATATATGAATGACAATAAGGTTGGAACTCAGAAAATGGCCTAATGGGGAAAGAGTGGAAATCACACTAAAGTTGTAATAAAGGCTAGATTGAAATAACTCAAGTCACAACAATTAGTATATCAGAAGAAATAACAGAAATAAAATATAACATGTGATATGTAGTAAGTGCATTATTTTTGTATATAACTGGGGTTCATTTGTACTCTTTCATTATACTGAAAGGAATAAGAGTTTTGATAATAAACTTGCTGTGGAGTTTTGCTACAAGTGAAGAGGGAGACATATTTGTGGGCAGAACATACATAAAGCTATTTAAGCAGTTGCTGAATATCCTTCTTTGAATTGACTGGCAAGACATTGGGAGAACCCATTGCTCTTTTGTTGCAGTAAATCAAACCCTTTCGGAACAGTAAACCAAAGATGATCCCACTACAATTTCTAGTAAAACTTGTACAGAACTTCACAAACTTAGTTATCATAAGTCCAAGTAATCATCCAGCTCACAAATCTATAGGCTGATACAAAAACAAGAACTGGAGGCAGTCACAGCCATCAAAAACCTCTTTAGCGAAAACAAACAAAGCATCTACTTTTCTCTATTGTTTAAAAATTTTTTAGTAAAGTACTAATCTGTCAGATCCTACTCACACAAAATACAATCAAATGTTACTCTTATTGTATTCTGAAACTGGATACTTTCTGCAATTTCTACAATTATAACAGCAAGAAGCTCAGTCTACATATTTGTTTATTCTAAAGTTTCCTTCCCCTATAGCTTATTCTATACATTCAACTGAGTGTCTTAATTGTCCTGGTACTAGGATTAAAATATATATATAACCACCTTAATTTTTTTTATATACAATTAAAGATTTAGGGGAATGGCTTAATATTACTAATGTTTTTATTTGTTCAATATCCAGTTCAATAATTTACAACTTGGACTATCTTTATGAAATTTCTATAAGGATAGTTTTTTTGAATATACATGCACTGTTATAGCTTTATATAAAGAACATTTTACTCAGAAGGTGTAAATGCTGTTCCAAGAAAAAAATATTTTCCAACAGTAGTGGTAAGTGAAGGCTTAAAATAATTTAATATTCTGGTATTATGATACAGATATTCAGTATTTCTTCTTTACCTTTCCACAACATTTTCCTTTGTCAATAATCTTCAGGGCAAATTCCTTTCTGGTGGATCTACAAAGAACAGAACAAAAGGAGGAGAGAAGAGTGCTTAAATAATTCTTTTGTTTGAGTACACACTGTGAAAATATCTTGGTTCAAAAGGGAACAGATTACAAAATGAAGATAGAACGGCTTCTGCTTTTTTCTCCCAGCAACTCATGCCTGCTGTTGCCTTGACTACAAAAACCAGCCTTTAAATTATCATTTAATTTACTGAGATATAAAACTTCACGTTGTGTACAGATTTATGGTCAGGTACTCCATATTTTCATCCTACTTTAATAAACGTACAGCCCTGTAGTTGTATAACAATATTTACAGATTTATCAGGGAATGAGATGGATATTTTCTTTGAAATTCATTATATCAGCTAATCATTCCACATTTATATTCTTCAAGGACAAGTCATATTAGAACTATTTCTTAGCCATTCTACCAGTGTCTATTAAATTAGACAATTCAGAGAAATTCTATTTTGAAAAGTCGGTTGTCTTAATTATAAATACAATACTGTGCAATGAATCATAATTTAAATCTATGTTGAAGCTACAGGTTTAAGAAGTGTTTAAGGTAGCATTATTTAGGATTTCACCAGACAATTTTGCTAACCATCTTATGCAGTGGAAACTATAAAGGTAACTTCATTTGAAAATAAAACATTACAGAAGGAATAGATGTTATGGATTGAAATGATGTGTCCAGTTTATATATTACTCAATGTTATCCTTTTTGACTACAAACAGCCCAAGACTTTCAACTATAATAGAGCCCGCCAACTAAGTGTTAAGATATGAAAACTGTAAAACTGGTTATCATGTGATTAACCCAATTTTATGACCTGTTTTGCAGTGTTCATTAAGTGAATGCTTGGTTTTAAAGCAAATGCTACAGCTGTTCAGCAAACACAGCTGAACCACCCATTGTTAAGCGAAGTCATTGTTTGTTATAGGGCACTTTTACCACAAACTGAAACTAAACATCTGTTTTCAGCAAGAATTTAATTCTTTTTTCACATGGCCATGGGAAGCAGCAAGCAGCCATAACTTTGGTCATAAGTACCTTTGGGGGAGATCTGTCTTAACTCAAATTGGTTGCTAAGCAACCAACTATAAGTTGAGGACTACTTGTTCAAGGTTTCTAAAGACCAATTTCAAAAGCACATTTTTTAAAAAAGAGTTTTTAAATTTTCATTCTTGATTTATTAAAAAACTACGCACTGAAAATACATAAACAGCACTTTCACTATTGAAAGTCCAGTTTTGTGACAGCACAACAAAATTGTGAAATAATTTCAGGAGATGGGAGCAGCAGGCAAGTAGGCTGTCTGCTTAACTAAGATTAAATTAACCTATTCTAATTATTACCTGCTTTTAAGGCTATTTTTCTATCATATCTTAGTCTTCACATTTTTATTTTTAAACCCTTTACATTTTTGAAATTTTTGCAGTGTGATCACTAATCTACTTTTAGTTATATTTCAGCTATGGTTTAGCTGTATTTTTTTTTAAAAAAAGCCCGAGCTGGGCCTCAGCTGTAGGAGGGCCTTGCTACTGCTTCTTTGTTGTTGTTGTTCTAAAGATCTTACTCCTTTAGCTGGAAGTCTAGCAATGCCTAGCTTTGATGTGATTTCTCTTATCTGATTTATTCTATTTTTATCCACTATTTTTATTATTTTATCATTTTTATTTACTCATGTTCCCTGCTCTGTCGGGAGGGCAGGATCCTTGGTATACTTGTGAGGAACTCTGCCATTGTTTGCATTAGGACTCGTTTCTTCTCGCCTTCCGATTACTTTTCCCCTGGATTTAGGACTTGTTTCAGTGACTAGACTCTATGCTCTATTACACAGCTCCCCTCTATTGTGCTACTTAATATAATGAAGACAAGGAAAAGGAGCAGATCTTTCACTGATCTGGTTCCTCAACCTTCGCTGAAGCAATCCAAGATTGAGGACTTTGTTTTAGCTCGGCCTTTCAGTTTGATAGCTCCTGCTCCCTTTTGTCTGGCTGCTGCTGGTTGTCGCAATCTTCCAATGGTTGAGGGCGTCGCCCCCCGAGTTGAGAACAAAGGCTTATCTAAAACTATGGCCCTCAATCAACCCTTAAGTGAGCCCACCCTTACAGAACTTTTGGATCAGCAATGTTTCTTGGTTGCAGAAACCACAGCGAGCATTCAGCTCCAGCTTGATAAAATAATAAGTACTTTAAACTACTTAGTTTCCTGGACTACCAGTGGGAGCCCTGGGTTGACCGCTTGGCAGCCTGATGCGGCGGCAGGGTTCTCCCTGCCAAGCCTCAGCAAAAGCACTGGCCAATGTAATCCTACCAATAGTTTGAACTTTACACCTTTTGATGCAAACAGTCACCTGGTCTTACAGTCAAAACAGGTGGCCCTCATCATTAATCCCATTAATGGCAACTTACCTCACTGGTAAGTTGGTGTACTTGTGTTTTGGTCTGTGACCGCAAATAAAATAAAATAAAATAAAATAACTATTTTCTGCTGTGTAATATTGGAACAATCCATGGAAGTATGATACACTTTCTATGACAGCGGATTACTGTGACTAGTTAATAAAAAGAAACATCAAGAATAAGAATAGTAATAAACATTCTTTTACTCGGGCATATAGGCTATCAAATCTTGCTCTATAAGCATAAGACCAGAACTGCACATATTGAAGATGGTTGGTTCAGTAAAAGCATAACACTGCTACAAAAGCACAGCTGTGTCTGCCAGGTTGTCATAGTTACAACTGCAGCCAGCTGAGAATGAAAGGGGGAAAAAGACAACTCAATAATATCTTAAGAAAAAAGTAGACTGAATTGTATCAGAGATATACAAGTGGAAGAAATTTGAGCAAATGGCACTGTTTTTTAAACTTTTGTTTAAGAGCTATACATATGCACATTTCCTCAGATGCTATGATAAATCTTTCTACAAACACCTTGCACTAAGAGAAGCACATTAATTTTATTTTTCTCATGAAAGTATCTTATATTGATAAACAATTTTGTCTCTTTGCAAAGTGATGTCATTTGATTTAACTACATTGAAAAATTGCCATAAAATCAAGACTTTCCCACTGATGAGCCAAATATTTTTGCTACCTTGTACAAATATGCATAGGCAAGGGTAATTATAGTTGATTCTGTTTTAAACTGTAGCAGTCTAGAAGAACAACATATAGTAAACCCATTTTGTTAGCCCCGGTATTTTTATATGTCATATAAAAATATTTTTTATCAGAAAGTATAGAAATCTGTACTTTCCCTAAATCTTGTTTAATTTCTGTTATCAAGAATACAAGTACTTGGCATAATGATGGCTTTTCAAATATGATACCTGCAACTTTTCTACCCCATGATATCTGCAACTTTCATTTAAATAAAAATAAATATTCAAATAATTGCCATGACTACAAAATTAGAGATGTGTTCTAGCTCAGGGGTCGCCAACCTTTTGGATCTCAGGGACCACCAATCTCATCATTTCAAATCCCATGGACCACTAACATTAATTTTGACTGATGGTGTCTTGCTGACATTGGTGGGAAAGTTGGTCCCATATTCCAGAGCTGCTGTAGTCACAGGACTGGCCCTTTGGTCATCCCGGAGCAGCTGCTCCAGTCCATGGCAGGCCGGTGCACCCGGGTGGAGGAGCAGCTGCTCTGGGATGATCAAAGGGCTAGTTCTGTGACTACTGCAGCTCTGGAATATGGGACCAACTTTCCCACCAACATCAGCAAGCCACCCCAGGGCAGATTTCCGTCCCCTGCCATTGGTCTTACCTTCCAGTTCCAGCTCACATGGCTCTACTCAAGGTAAGGTTTGCACTCAGCCAAAGGGTGGAGGCCAGCAGGTGGGCAGGGCATGTGGGTGGCACAGGCTTGTGTTCCTGTGCAACCTGGATTAATTGCTTTGGGGGGAGTGCTTTGGAGGAGGAACATTTCTCTGTAGACCACAAAAATTTTCTCACGGACCACCAGTGGTCCCCGGCCCACTGATTGGTGACCATTGTTCTAGCTAATAATTTATTTCTTACCAAACAATTAGAAGCAGTTCAGAAAAAGAGCTATGCTCCTCAAGAAATACAAATAGGCTCCCACTATAAAAAAATAGTCTCCCACTATAACCAATTATAGCAACTAAAAACATTTCAACCCCAAGTCTATTGTTGTTGTCTATGCTTCCAACTTATTTTTCCAGGTATTACCAGTAGTATGTATATTGGACACATCATTTTAAAAGATAAATTTCATCCTTTCCTTTTGTTTTTAAATTTACTTAGCGTATGTCAGATCATACATGGACTTGCAATATATATTAACATTTCACCTAGATTTAAAAAACACAATAAAATATGAATGTTAAAAAGCCCTTATAAATGGAAGAACACAGACATTGACATCTCCTAAACTCCCCTGAAGATGCTACCCAACCTGGTAATGAAACCTTCGAAAACCAACCCACAAGCTCATAGAATGACCCTTCACACTCAATTTTAAAAAGCTGTATAATCAGATACCTCACATATCTGTGGAGATCCCAGTCACACTGAGGGGAGGATACTAGGCCCCATTTATACAGTGAGTCCCAGCAGACACCATGCATGTGCAGAGCCTATTCAGGATTGTCCATAGCTGGCATGGTAGTTCAGAACCTGATACGTAGGTTCATTTATGTGTGTTCCTATGTCTGGACATTCAGCAGCCCATTTGGTCTTCCATTGGGAATCAATGTTAAAGTTGTTGAGCAGATGTTGTGCTAGTGCCAGTGAGGACTTCCTGGATTTGAGCCTTGTTTTTAAACAAGTTTACCTTTATAGTTTCCACTAAAATCTCTAGTTTCCCCAATCTCTTGTGGAATTCACTATCAAAGAAATACTTGACAATGACTATACAAAAGGAAAATGGTGTTTCCTATCTTTGCTAATAAAGCTACTGATGTACTGAACATTCCCATTGCTCTTACCATTTCTCCCTTAGATGATTGATTGACTGATTGATTGATTGATTGATCAATTTCCATAGCCTACCATTTCAACCAGGTGACTCTATTCAAGCAATATTTTTACCAACCCTTTTAAGAATGAGATTTAACAACAAAAAAGCGAAGCAGCTAGAAAGACAGAACTGCATAGAATATCAAGAGAATAAATTGTACAGTTTGACTAACACTGAAAACCTAAAGTTTCTAGTGCTAATAAAACCCTCTCAAAGTTTCCTACTAATCACTGCATTAGTATATATAATTCATTATCATAAATGGCATTATGCTTCCCCCCCAAAGGTAAATAGATAATTTTGATAGTTATCATCACATGCCAAATAATAGTTATGAGGAGAATATTAGAGTGGAGATTTCAAGTTTTCTATCAGGTGCCAGAAAGAAGGAAGAGCCCTTAAAGTTCTTCTTGAAATTATAACAATTTGCCTCACTGTTCATTCTAAAGTTACAATTAAATAATGGGACGTATCTAGGCAATATCCTTGCTCACCGTTCTATGCATTCCTTTACCACTGCAAAATTACCATCACCAATCACCTTTCCCACTTTGTACTTTTCAAGAATGGTAGATGTCTCAGAGTACTTGTTTCCATTTATACCTTCAAGATACAGAAAGGTAAATGTTAGAGAAAATACAAACAAATGCTATAAAATATACATAAACAAATGGAAATAAAATGAATCCAAAATGGAAGAAAAAGGTTAAATAAGGCTCATCCAAGCTGATATTATTGCAATTTCAGAAGGGAATCTCTCAAAATATGTTTCTATGCTGCATTTTCTCAAAGGCTGTGTAACTCTTTTACAGAAAATGACAGTAGATTTGAATAAAATAATGTACCGAAACAATGGGGTCTCTCCAGTTTTTTCCCAATAACTTTATTAACATTTTAAATAAGACATGTAAATACAAGAAGTAATAGTTAGAAGAAAAAGAAGAAATAAAGACAGGAAAGATAAAGCCAAAAGTAAAAAAAAAAAAAAAAGGAAATAATGAAAATATAAAGGAGTAATTTCTGATTATCTTTTGCAGCAGTTATAATTTTTAAATGTAGATTAACCTTACTCTATATTTTTCTATATTCTATTTTTTTCCTAATCATCAAATCCATATATCATAAATTCATTTTTTTCTATTTCATGCAAAAAGTTGATGAGTGGTTTGCAGGCAGCATTAAACTTAGTTAATATATTTTCTTTGATCAAAGATGTTCTAAAATGAAAGAGATTGTGTTGCTTTGCTTTGCTCGGATTTACAGCCCCTTCATATTTGCAAAGGCCACAAGAAGCTTCTTCTGCACATGTGAAGCAGCTGCACCGAAGTTACTTCCATTCTTGCTAAAGAAATGTTATCTTAGTACTTTGCAGCATGACTTGCTAAAATCTTGAAGCCTATGAAACTGGAGAAATATGTGAGGATATTCCCACATCACAAAAGCCAGAGAAGGCTGTGATCCACAGCCTTTTTAAAGAATTATGCCTTCCAGATCGTATTTAGAGAAATTGCTCTTTGCTGCACTGTCTTTTGTATTTTAGGATATTACCAATCTTCTCACTGAAGCTGGAGTGTTCTCCAGCACTTCCTAAAGCCAAGAGTACCTCCTTAGAAACTGTTGGCTTTGCAAACGACAGAGGCCAAAGAAAGCTTGAAGACTACAGGAAGTGTTTCATTGCAACAAATAAAGAGAATTAAGTGACTTTTAGAGCACAATTTTCTTAAATAAGTTCAAACTAAGTTGCATTGCTCAATCTTATTTTCTAAAATATTCCAAATAGAGTCAGGTTGGTGCAGTGGTTAAGGCATCAGGCTAGAAACCAGGAGAGCACGTTCTAGTTCTGTCTCAGACTTGAAGCAAGCTAGATAATCTTGGGCTACTCACTCTCTCTCAAGTCCTAGGAAGAAGACAAGGATACGCTACTTCGGAAATCTTGCCAAGAGGACTGCAGGGACTTGTCTAGGCAGTCGCCAGGAATCAACACTGACTCGAAAATACACACACACACACACACACACACACAGACACTCACACACACAGATTTAATTTGCATACTGTGATTCTCTTGTAGTCTTCATTAATTCAAAGCCCTTCCGAAGTGTTAGGGATAAAAATACAGTATATCTGAACATCCCCTGGGATGGAAAGGGATGTTGTAATGCAATACAAAATAGATAGATAGAAGAACTTTATTTTCATTGTACAAGAAAAATCAAAATAAATTTAAATGTTTGCTAATAAAAGAACATGTAGATTTTTTATTTTATAAAAGTGGAAATGTAGCCCAATTCAGTCTTTGCCTAAACTTTGCTGAATGTTAATATTATACCTACCTGTTGTATTTTATTGAACAGAAACAATAAAGGATCATGTTAATATTTATATGAACATTTATTTTCTTTAAAGGGACTGCAGGGTCATAAAAAGGGATTTTTATACACTTAATAAAGTATATAAATAAATGTCTTATGCAAAAGTTTATGTATGGTTACAGGACATAGTTTTAGCCTCCAAATAACTTTTTCTTTGCCCACCCATTTACCATATTTATTCTTTTTATAGACTGTGTGTGTGAGAAGGAGAGTGTGTGTGTGCACGGGTATAAGGTAATTTATTTATTTATTAATCAGATTTGTATGGTCAACGACCTCAAAGTAAGGTGAAGCAGCATACAACAAGCAGAAAAAGAAGAAATATAGAAAAATAAAAATCACATTAAAAAGCTCAATCCTATAAATACACAAAACTTAGGCATAGAGAAGTCACCTTAGCAATGTACCCATCTAAGCATCTCTCTGGTTCCCTGAGACCACCAGGCCTGCTAACATAACCGGGTCCCGTGGACCTTCCAGAATATCAAAAGATTAGAGGTAATCTAATTTGGGGTAAAGAATGTTCCATAAGTCAGGTACCACAGCAGAGAAGTCACCTATCCAGGAACCCACCAAATAGCAATAGCACTTAGACTTATATACCGCTTCACAGTACTTTACAGCCCTCTCTAAGCATATTGCCCCCAACAATCTGGGTCCTCATTTTACCGACTCAGAAGGATGGAAGGCTGAGCCAATCTTGAGCCCGTGAGATGTAGATCCATAGCTGGTGGTACCCACTGCATAACTTCTTTGCCAGATTTAATGGGGCAGGGCTCATGTAATCAGGGAGAGGCAGTCCTCAGATAGCCCAATCCCATGCCGTTAAGTAACACCTCTACACTAGTGAGTAAAAACAGGTTATCTATAACAGGAGGACTCTAATTACAGTATTATAAATCACTGTTGTTGCCAGCCATCTTTAATTTATATATACATCAGATTATAATTACATTTAATTAAAGTTAGGCAATAGCATTTAATATTTCTAGATTATAATATCACTTACATGGATATTTATCTTAAAAATGACCTGAAATTACCACTAACATGCCCGATTGGATTCTTACCTTCGGGACTCAGGGAAGGAGATATTTCAGGCACACCATTTACATTAGAAGAAGATTCACAAGGAGGGAGAATCTGTCAGTAGATAAAATAACTAATGCTATGGCAATAACATACATCAAAATCATACTGCAAAAACAAATTGAAATATTTAATATGTATTAAATATTAATAACTGTTATTTAATATTTCTGAACTACAGTTTCAGTCATCCATCAAATGTCAAATAAGATTTTATTGGCATTCTCTAACAGTCTTTATATCTGTTAATACACGAGTCTAGCTTAGTTTCTTAGGATCAGATAAATTTGCTACATACATACTGTTGACTGTAGGTGGCAATCCCATTTTTTCTTAAAGCATTATCATATACTTTTATCAATAAACATACTTAATCCTTTAGGCTTCTTGAACAGGTAACCCTGAAAATCAATGGGACTTAAAAAACTAATTAACTAATCTAAATTTCACTTGTTGCAATGGGTCCATTTTGAGTATTTCGGGACCCAAACAATAAGCTATATTTTTACAAGATGATTTTAACAGAAAAGAAACAGAACCAGAAAAGACTAATAGAGTCATAGTCTTGGAAAGACTCTTTAAGTCTAATCCAAATGAAGGTTGGATGTTGGTCTAATTTGGTTATAGCCAAGAAATCAATCTGCCATGCCAGCTATTGAACTACTCTTATTGTAAAGGATTAATATTCAATTGGAATCTGGGTTTTAAATCTAAAACTTAATAATAAATTTAAATCTAATAATAATTTATAATTATGGCATCAGTATTCCAGATGTAAATAAATATCATCAATGCCACCTAATATTTTTATGAAACAGATGAAATTACATAAAATATACCTTGAGTCCCCGAAAACTTCCAGGACTTGTTGGTGAGGAACTAGATGATTTTGTTGATTTAGGAGTAGAAATCTGGCTGCTGGGGGCTCCACTGACTTGTAAAAAAGAAGAGAAATGAACATGTTATGCAGTAAAGTCAAAGCTGGAGTTCTAGTAAAGAAGTGATGGTTTCAGTTTATCTATATTAACTGTCTGGAAATACCTCTCTGGTATTGAACCACACTTTGACAATTATAGTAAGTTCAACAAGATATGCTAATCAAGGAGCTGTTAAATCCCGTTCCTAATGCTTGTGGGTTGTTGTTTTTTTCCAAAGAACTCTTTGTTTATTTTTTCTTTGTTTTCAATGGTTCAACTTTTTGTTCTCACAAAGAAATCTCTTTTCCTTAGATATCCTTAGGAGTTGATAAGAAATTCTTCCTTGGTATGTCAATTCAAGCATCAGCACAATCTTTTCTTTCCATTTACATAGTCCTCAATTTACAACAATTCATTTAGTGACTGTTCACAGTTACAACGGCACTGAAAAAAAGTGCCTTATGACCAGTTTTCATAGTTATGACCTTGGTGGCATCCCCAGGAACATGTGATCAAAATTCAGATGCTTTCTTAATGCATTTCTTTGAAAATGTATATCTTTGCATTATAATTATCTTTATGCTTTTCTTTTCTTTTTTCTTGTTATTGACTGAAAAACAATAAAAATAAAATTTAAAAATCAAACAAATCCATTTGGGTGTGGATGGCATACACATTTGTAAATAAAACAAATGCACAAATAATACACCCTTTATTAACTGGATTTCCTAAGCTTTTTTGTAATGCTTCATCAGACTCTTACCATGTACCAACAATAGCTTATTTATAAGGTGTCTGAACATAGCAACCACACTCCCAACGATATAATTTATGCTTTAGTGTTTTCATCAGTTCCCAGAGAGAAGAAAATGCTTTTGGACCCACACTGTTTTCAACTATAGTTCAGTTGCTTTTTTTAATGAGTCTGTCAACTAGATATTTAGTTTCCATGGAAATCCTTGCAACAACTTAGATTTGAATTCTGTAAAGAATATCTATAATGGGCAACAGAACATTCATTTAACAGGTGTTTTGTGAATATCTGCAAGGATGAATATGCCAAATGAGATTTAAAATAAATAAATAAAAATACATACACAAATAAATGTCTTTAATATTTTCAACCATCATGCATGCAGAGAATCTAGCCTTCTTTCTCTGAATTAACAGCATTACATTTCACAATGATTAAAAACAGGTTTCCCCACCTTGGCATTTTTCAGATCTGCACACAACACACAGAATACTCAGACAGAATGTGAGGTAACTGGGAATTTGGAGAGCTACAGTCTACACACAACTAGAAAATTCATTTTATTTTTAGACCAAATTTGCAAGTCTATGTACTTTCTTCTAAGCACCTCTATCTTTATCAAGCAAGTTGCAGACTGTACAAGTTCTCTGTATCTATTGGGTTCATAAAATAAAACAATAAGTAGTTTACTCTCTTTGCATTTACAAAGAGCCAGAATTGAATTTTTAACTTTCCTAATCATCAGTCAGTTTTAGGAGTCTGGAACAGAGCCAATTGGCTGCGTTCAGTAGCGTAACTCCAAACAGCATAAAATATAAATTGTCAAAAGGAAAATCTTCTGAAAAACATCCTTACAATTGGCTTCAAACAGGTGTGAATGATGAATCCACACAATATAAAAGCCATATTGCAATGGAAGACAAGGGAAAAACAATCAGGGGATCGCGAGATACCAAAACAACAACAACCACCCCAAAAGACACTAATATGTATGATGAATATTTTTTCCTCTTATTTGAAGTGTAGAGTTTTCATATTGTTCTGAAAGTTGCTTATGCATAATACTTCAAATCTTGGAATCATATCACTCAATGGCAGAAACCAGAAACTGGAAACCATTTCATGGAATACCAAGTTCATGTTTAACAATTCTTCAGGTTAACATAAATAAGAACTATGTAAGTGAAGATGAAATTGGCCATGCTTTATCCTAACCTAGAAAGGAAGGAAAACTTTCCTTTTCTGTAGTTGATATTAAAATGTAAATCAGACTATTAACTTTTCACAAGGCTAATAAATACTTTTACAGACTAGCATCTTTCACAAGTTGATTTACAAAACTATACTGTATTTACAAAAGTCTATTTATAAACCTATATTGTATACTGTAAGCAAAACAGTTAATTCGCTGCATTCATCAAGACCTTGGAAGCCACTATAGTTACTCATATCAACTGATAAGATCTACAAATCTCTAACACTAATTAACAGGACTTTCATTTCTGACATACTTTTCTACATAAGCAAATTATAAAATATGCTTTATGTTAATATGATATATGCGACTATTTTCCAAGGCCTTACAGAAAAGGGGAGTAAGTCCATCAAGTCTTAAGTCTTGCTAATTATAAAATGTATAATGTAAAGATAAAGGAATAGATCAACAGACAGAAAAAGTAAAATTAAAAACGTAGGAGAAAAGATGGTGATATGAAGCCATAGCATGAATGGCTCACCTGGGGATTTTGCTGAAGAGCATGTACTGGAGTAGTGACCACCCCTCTTTACTGTACTCATTCAATTGATAAAAAAGAAAAAGAAGAAAGGTTATTTATAGGCAAGAGAAAACGACACAGAGAGAGAAGGGGAAAATTCAACTAGTTGTTTTCTAGCAAAGATATGATAAACTTAAATATATTACCACAGACATCACTTAAACTGACATAAAAACTCACTAAACTATTGCAAAAAAAAGAGCAGGGATGCAAAATGTTTTAAATCTGAATTATTTCAAGTTGAAAGTAGTCGATTACAATTGTGAAACAGAAACTTTCAAGCATTTTCAAAGTGCGTCAAGCACAACCATATTATGGGAAAGGTAAGGAAGTTAGTTTGAGATTAAGTTAAAAGCATGAATTTAACAGAGCATACATACTTTCTGAGGAACAAATTTAATTACTATCTGTTTAATTTTATTGTCATACAATACTGATGCTACATTGTCAAGCACATTACATTATTTATCACCTTGCTCCTTACACTTGAACTGCAGAGTGCATATGATACTTTTTATATTTGTCTTGCTTGTTACCTGAGAACTGCCCTAAGTCAGCCACCAACTTCTTAAAACATACTATAATCATGGTAGTCTTGTGTTTACATTCCCCACAACTTCTGACATTGGGAAGCTGTTGCATGCACATTGTTCCCCACAACTACATTCAAAGTCAAAATGTCTGTAAGTAATATATTGATTATCTGAACCTACTATTCAGTTTCTGTTGAAGTCTAGTTAGGACAAAATCACCCATAGTTGCCCAAATTGGTGACTTCTTTCAGAAAAGAGTCAGAGAGAGTGTGACTGTTGATTCTGATTCATTTCATCAGTATTTGACCACCATTTCCAATTGATGAAGTGGCTTGCTCTATAATGGTCACTTTCTTACTTGAAGGGGCAATCTTAATAAATACTATTTTGTATCCTGACAAGGTATATATCCTAGCAGTAGTCTGTTGTACAAACCACATTTTTGCTTTATATGAAACTACTGGCGTTGGTTATTATAGGTTCTGAAGCTGGGTATTGCCAATGAGCCATGGTGGCACAGTGGTTAGAGTGCAGTACTGTAGGCTACTTCTGCTGACTGCCAGCTGCCTGCAATTTGGCAGTTGAAATCTCACCAGGATCAAGACTCAGACTTCCACCCTTCCAAGGTGGGGTAAAATGAGGACTCAGATTTAGGGGAGCAATATGCTGAGTCTGTAAACCGTTTAGAGAGAGCTGTAAATCACTGTAAAGCAGTATATAAGTCTAAGTGCTATTGCTAATATAGAGATTTATTAATTATATTTTATGCCACTTCATTGTTAAATGAGTTATGATGGTTTAGCTTTAAAAACCACTTACATAAAACAATCATAATAATTCATTAGTAAACTATAACATTACTATTAAAATATGAACCTCATAATCAAAGTAATTACTATGTATTCTGGATGACAAAAAAAAATGTTTGGACACGTAAGTTTTAGCAGCTTTTTTGGAAGTCAGAATGGGGGGGGGGTACCCTGAGGATTTCTATTTAGCACGGGAATATTCCAGAAAGTTAGTGTCATGACAGACAATAACAGATTTCTTCCTCTTCGTTGAATGTCCAGTGAGAAGTAACTTTCAGTATACATACCTGGTACACTGCTTATGGCATTTAGTTTGAAGTAAATAGTTCTATACCTATCTGGATTCAAAACCACATAAGACTTTATAGATCAAAAAAATATCAGATTTTATATTGAGCCCTGTTTGATTTTATGCAATGGTTCTTGCTTGCCAAAAGGCACTCTGCACCAACTGCAGCTTCTCAGCAGTCTTTAAAGGCTGTCCTATCTAGAGCACATTGCAATAACTTGTGTAGAAGAGGTCAGTAACGTGAGTTCTACCAGAAAGGCTTGTTTCTCCAGGAATGGTCAAAACTGGCACAACGGCTCATTCTAATTATAATCTCCCCCTGCCTATATTTCTTCTATTCACATTCTCCAGGCCTCAGGTCAAGACTTCTACTGTATCAATGGCTGATACCAAGGTACAGGTGAATAATAATAATAATAACTGCAGAAAATCACAAAAATATAAAGACCTGTATATAGAAGTAGAATGACTATGGCAAAACAAAGGTAATACTAATCGGTGCCCTGTGTGCAATTCTAAAACATCTAGAGGACTACTTAAACATCATCAGAATTGACAAAATCACCATCAGTCAATTGCAAAAGGTAGCTTTCAGGTAGATCTCATGTTACAACTAGTTGCTTAAGGACCATTCAAAGTTACGATGGACTCAGAAAAAGTTACTTATGACCCACGCTTGAAATTACAACTGCCACACCACCCCTGTGGTCACATGAATGATTTATAGGCTCTTGGCAACCAGCTCACATTTATAGAATAACAGAGGTGGGAGGGTTCTTGGAAGTCTTCTAGTCCAACCCCTGCTCAAGCAGGAATCCTGCTTCTTCTTAAAAATCTCCAGTGTTGGGAGTACCCATAACTTCTGAAGGCAACTCATTCCACTGATCAATTGTAAATTTCTCATTAGTTCTAGGTTGGTTCTCTCCTTGATTGGTTTCCATCAATTGCTTCTTGTTCTGCCTCAAGGTACTTTGGAGATTAGGTTGACCCCCTCTTCTTTGTGGCAGCCCCTTAGATATTGGAACACTACTAGTGGCAGTGTCCCAGAATAACATGGTTGTATTTTGCAAAGTTTTTGCTGTGGAGAGCCCATTGGATAAGCTGGATTTGGACTTATGATCATTTAACAACCATGTGATTCATCTAAAAACCGAAGTTAATTATTTCACATCCATTGTAAAAATGGAGTTAAAATTGTGTCTGGTCATGTGGTAAGTCAACTTCTGACCACAATGACTTATAAGCAAAATTCCAGGCTCAGTTGTGGTGGTAAGTCAGCGTTACTTGTACTTGGAACTGTTTACATCTTGCAGCAATACCTTTACACCATGAAAGAACATCATTTGCTGACACCAGATCCTTGGGAAGGACTCAGTAACGAGTTAAAAATGCCAAATCAGTTTGAATATCTGGCAGACTCTGTGACCTACCATAAATTAAACTTATATGCTGCCCAAATCCCAGCAATTCTGAGGGGTTTACCAATTGTTAAAAACCTTTAAAAACAAGGCATACATAATTAATATAAAACAGCACATGCTAATTACTTAAAAACCAACCACCATCATGTACTAACACAGCATAGCCTGCCAGACCATCCACCATGAAATTTCCAACTATTTTTCATTCTTCTCAGTTACCAGCATCCCTGGCTTTTTCCCTGGTCTCCCACCCCATTTTGTCTCTCCATGTACCAAAACACTTTTAAAAAGCATGTTTGGGGTCAGGCATTGGCCACATAAAACAGTTGTTTGATGCATGGAACAATATGTGCGTGTAATATTTGGCATATCCTTTGCTCAGATTTTTAGTGGTTTAAAGGTTGTAAGTTGCTTTGCGGGAACTTGGTAGAGCACTTGGTTCTTAAATGCCTTCACATGTTCCTTGCCTTTAATGAAAAAGGCAATGATCACAGTTTCTTAGGCTTCCTCTATGAAATTGCCTCCTTCGAGATGCTGAAATGTTACTGAACGTTTAAATATGAGTTAAGCTTTATTATTTGTTGCAGCACATTACATGTTTTTTCATATGGTTTCAGAGGTATTTATTCCTTGTTTTGTGTATCATTTTACTTATTGTACTGGCAATTTTTGTAAGTTTAAATGTTTAGCCTCTAATTTCTGATTGCTTGATTCTACCATGGGGGTTGAGCCATGTATGAAAAAAAACAAAGTTCTAAAGAGTTGTCCTGTTTTCAATTACCTGAAGCTGGGGACTTGCTTCGACGTGAAGGCCCAGGACTTTTAGATCCAGAATACCTTGTTGTTCCAGATGCACGGGAATAAGATGATTTCATAACACGGCATTCTGCAAACAACACAGATGGATGATAGAATGAATATTTTCAGTGCACAACCACTTCCAAAACTTAAACCACCCACAAAGCAGAGGTGGTATTCAGCAGGTTCTGACCAGTTCTGGAGAACTGGTAGCAGAAACTTTTGAGTAGTTTGGAGAACCGGCAAATACCACCTCTGACTGGAGATTTTACAGTATCCTTCACCTGCCATGCCCACCAAGCCATGCCCATAGAACCGGTAGTAAAAAAAATAAATTGAATCCCCCACTGGCACAAAGCTAGAAATTCCTAAGTTATTGTTCCTTAATAGTTATTACCAAATGAACAAAACACAGTTGCCAACTCAGTGTGTTGCAGTAAATCTTTCCCCAAGTTGTTTTAAATCTACATTTGATCAAACTGACTTATTAGTGATACTGTAAATTAAGAGACTGGAATGTAAATTTATGCTTTTCTCTATTATTGTGGGCATATTAACTGTTCTATTAGTACAGTACACAATCTTTTTTTTTAATTCTGTACCAGAGATGAGTGGGATATTGTAATGTTTTGGTGGATTGCTACAGGAGTTGTTCCAATCAGGTAGAGTTTCACTTGTGCTGCATTAACAAAACTATGGTGTATTATGCACAAAAAGCCTACAGGGTCATGTTGGCACCAAAATAATTTACTGAGATGAATTGATGAGAATAAGATCAGAGGCATCATGTTCTCAAATTCCAACAGTATATTCTTCAAATTCCCTCTTATATGTGATTTGGAAGTGGGGTTGTGCCTTAGTAATTTACTAGAAAATGAGTCTGTTCAGATTCAAAGCATCTAAACCTGAAGCTGATTAAATGCCCTAAACATTAAATCAACAGCCAACCTGCTATAAATTGGCTAGATCTTAAATAGTCCAATGATATAACAAATTTAATAAATAAATAAGAAATATGCTTGTGTATTCCGCCAGGGTGTGATCAGATGAGTTACTTTATAAAAGGGGTGTCACACTTGTGTTGTCACAGCAGTGTCACATGATGTATCATGACTTGTTCCCCTTCGCTAACCCAGGTGTGGGCATGGCCAATATATGACACATCAGGCTCACAGGCTGCAAGTTTTACAGCCTTGCTCTATAAGAATGGATGATATATTGTGTATATCATGATCAATCAGTGAGTTAATACATACAAATGGCTTAAATGGATTCTTATAATTCATCAAGCATTTTAGGTGTGTATGCTTACCACTATGGTCCAGAACAAAATCATCTTGAGCATAACGGTATTTTTCAGGTCCACAGGCAATAAAAACATCATCATCACCAAAAAAGTCTTGCAAGCAGGTAACCTTAAAAAAAAAAAAAAGCAACATGTCACAAGGGGCCATCAGAAACTGAGAAGCAGAGTTCACATGATGCATTTATGATCTGCCTTGCATAGGTAATTACTGTTGCTTGTACCATTGAAAGCTAAACACAAATAGACAATGAATGGTAGTACAATTTCTATTTTTTTTCTATTACCTCAATGTCATGACTGTTAGGAATGTAAGTCACCTAACAGTTATTTGGGTTGGAAATATATAAACTAGGATAGACATTTTAATACTGTATCTTTAAGAGCATGCTAAAACTGTAATTGGGTGTGGTTTCTCAAACGGCCATAAGATGGAGCCAGAAACCTGGGTTGTTTAGTCTCAGAAGAGAGTGTGAGTGAGTCTCTGTTTCCTTCTGTTGGAGAGTATTGCTGTTCCTCCTAATTGACTGTTATTCTTGGATTTGATGTGTCTGTTACTGAACTGTTTTTGATACTGGACTTTGTTATTGGATTATCCTTGGACTGAAAACTGATTGATTTAACCGTGAATGACGTGGACTGTGTTTGAACTTTGCTTAAACATTTATTGGAAGTAAAAACCTACATTTACTGTACAGTGTATCTGTGTGCTGTGTGTGTATTATTCAACATTACTCTCATTATGTCTCCCTGTATGCACTCATTCTCCTAATGCGGAATTACAATGACTCTGGATGCTATACATGAATCTCAACAGTAATCTTAATATAAGCATAATCACATCAATAAAAACTATCAAGAACAGGTAATGGATGACATCCTTCTACTAAGTAGCACAGAAGGACCATTCCCAGTGCAGTCTATTTATTCCCAGCACAATCTATTCCATAGTATTGGGGTTCCAACTCTTCTGGCCCATATACTCCCTCACTTCTCAAGAGGACAGCACCCTGAGAAGGCCCTCTCTGAATAACCTAAAAGGAAAAGAAGACTCATTCTGGATAAGGAAATGCTTAAAGTAACCCAGTGTCATGCTGTACAAGGTTTTATAGGTAAAGCACTTGGACTTGGAAGCAGCAGAGCACCAAAAAAATAAGTGTCATTCTACATTTCCAGAAAGAGCATATTTTACAGGTCTAACCATGCAGTAAAAGGTTATGAGTTACTGCCATTAGCATCTTCTAGTCAAGGCAGAGCCCTTACTGGTACTTCCTAGCCATAAACCTGTTTCCATATTTTTTGCTCCATAAGATGCACATGATCATAAGATGCACCTAGATTTAGAGGAGAAAAACAAGGAAAAAAATATCAGGCGGAGCCTGAGAGGACCACAGATAGATGTCCTCTCATGTGCCAGCTCCGCCTATTGACTCCTGCACTGTGAAAAAGACAGAAGAGGCAGGCAATGACAAAGACAGAAGAGGCAGGGTTCAGCACTGTAAAAGGACCCCGCCGTCGCAGCCCGGCTGCTTTTCACCAAAGAACTGGCACTGATGTACAGACATTTCCACCCATTTTTTTTTGGGGGGGGGGAGTGTGTCTTATGGAATGAAAAATATGGTAATTGATGTAGAATAGTAGTGGTATGTCACTCTTAACGGCTGACCAGTCTGGCAACTCCACATAAATATTAAATAACATTAGGAAGAAGACCTAGCTCGGGAGTATGACACATTAGACTAGAGCAAGCATCGGCTCTACCTTTCTTCTCCTGTGACCACTGGATGGGGCTACCCAGTCACTGCAACATGGTACCTCCAGCCCCTAGTCCAGAAGCATACCATGGTTTTTGGTATCAAAAGATTGTTGAGATCTAGTAGGATCAGAAGAAGTGTTCTCCTTTCATCCAAATGTCCTTATGGCCACCTACTTCAGGATCCAAAAACTTGGGAAATAATTTTTTTATGGTACCAATAAAGTATTTTAATACATGCCAGGTTTCATGTTCCTCCACTAATAGATTGAATTTTGTAAAGATTAATTAATTAGCCCCAGTCAGAATTAATTAATTAGCCCCAGTCAGAATCTAAGATATTCAGGAACCAGCTACAGAAATGATATAGAAGATGAAGAAGACATGATTAAACTTCATTAAGTGAAAGTTATTATTGAACCAACCTGGATTATAAGAGACTCAGTGAATGACAAAACAGGTCTAACCAATAGATTTCACTTTCACAAAATAGTGACAGTGCTAGAGGTACCAGAATGTATATTTTATAAAGTATGTTAGACAAATTCATGAAGGCTACAGATAACTGAATACACATACACAGGTATCTTTAAGGATAAAATGTTTTTGAAGGATGACTGAAAGAAATATAATATCATCCAATATGAATGCACTATAAAATAAATGTTACTTAAAGCAAAGTTTGATCTATTATTCACTTAGCTTTCTTGGAAATTTCTTTTACTCATTTTTAGCTGTCTTCTAGCATGCATTTGATGGTATTTGTTTAGAAGCATTCTTACAATTGTCCATGAATTATTGCATAACTGTATGTGGAATTGCCCTTGAGAAGTATTTGGTAATGACAGATAATCAAACCATCACATTGTTTCTTTAGGCTGCCTCCAGAAATTTGATTCATTGTGAAAGATAATTTGACTCAGAACTGGACTTTATCATGTGATTTTATTTAAGAGCACTGAGCATTATGATTTTGCAGAGGACGCCTTGCCCTGATTATTCCTTCACTGGAAGCAAAGCTGATGGGAAGGCATTCTTGATGGCTTCTCATAAGCTTTGTCTTCTGGCAAGGAGAATTGTTTCTACAGTATTTATTTTTACAACGTAGACAAGACCTTTGATGTATAGGCATGCTTTGTCTATGGAGCTGGAGAAGTATGCAAAATATTTTCTTGGTGTGTTTTATTTAAAATAAAAATTACAGTTTTAATCATTTATTTTGCAATAGGCATAACTGGCAAAAAGGTAGGATGTAACGTAAATCACATAAAATAAACCCCTAAACAGACTAACTGAAATAGCCAATGGGACATACTGAACAGAACTGGAATTACAAACATCCTGTAAGGTAATAAGAAACGTCTTGCCATGTTTATGATATTGGGAATCATTTATGGGAAGTTACACCTTCCCCCCTTCTGACACAAACCCTGGCATTTTAACTGGGAAATTTATGTATGAATGCTATTGATAATGGCCAGTGATTCCATTTTACTGGCTTGTAAATATTGACTAAATAGGGAATCTGATATGTTTTTAATCCTGTTTTCATCTTACAGAAATTGGAACACTCGCAATATGAGCTTTCCCGCTTGTCCAACATCACTCGAATTATACTGGCTTCTTAAAGGCAATCTTCCATTTACCACCTCTTTATGGAAAAGCTTACACACACACACACACAACTTTTAAGTGCTACAAATAATTTAATGACTGAGTAAGGCTTTAGCTGCAGCTTAAGCAAGGCTGGGATGGTCTCAGGATTTTTATAATAAAGGAGAAAGGGAAAGCACATTCTCCTTTGGTCTGTTCTCATTTAAATGATGAGAGACATTTAAAAAACATTATTTAATTGCCTGGAAGTTTTGAAAAGCCTGCACACTGGGCATAATTTCAGCAATCAAATCATAGCTTTTCTATGACAATTTAACCCATGATCATTATGACTAAACAGTAGTCTTTCTCTCCACAGCCCACTGGCAGCAACAATTGTTCTATGAAAGATGAAAAAACTTTCTTTAAAAATAAAGAAAAACAACTTTTCCCCAATGATTTCTAAATACATATATATTTGATATAATATATTTGATGCTTAGAGCAATATGTTTTATCTTACCCCATGAAAGTTGAATTTTATTCTAGAAAGGAATTATGAAAAATATACCACTTAATAAAAATATGTGGCTAGTGTGAAGTCCCAGGCTGAAGAGTATATATTTTTATTTTAAAAAATCTATCCAACTCTATCTATTAATACTTACTCTTTAGTAAGCATATTAACACTTCATTCCTTCTGCCTAACAGGGATGTTTGTATTTATTATCCCATGACAATGATAAATACTGGCTGGATTGAAGGAAGGCCTTTGCTGCTTGCAGTGGAAAAATGCTAAAACTATGAATTCTTTTCAGCCTTTTCATGCATAATTGTACAAAGCACTAGAAAGCAGAGCAGTTGTCATAGCAGCTAAATCATGGGAAAGAGCTGGCTGAATTTACAGTAAGACCATCTGTAGGCTGAAATATGCAGCACTGAGCATTCGCATGAATCTATTATCAAGTTCAGTGACAAGCTCTCTCCACCCAACATTCAATTGGCTTGAGCATAACCTCAGCAACAAAAGAGACACAAAAGATAAACATCTACCACTGTCTGCTTTTTTGAAGATAAATTAACTATCAAATTCCCCTCCCTCTTAGTGAATCGGTCTGGCAAGGCAAATACTTAACTCTTTCCTAGCCTGTTTGATCCACAGAAATACAACAAATGCAACAATTTTTTTTTTTTTACAAAGATCTCTGTTGTTGTTCCTTTTTTAAAAAATGCCTTAAAAGAAGCTGGCTAACATATACAATATTATTCAACTCATACTTTGTACAAGAGCAGAAAACAGATGCTACAGAACAGTTTTTTGTTTTTCAGACTCTTCGTCTTCCTGTTCAATCATCTCATACCAATTATATCTGCTGTATGCTTATGAATTAAAAATAGGTATAAGAAAAACACAGGGAAAATGAAGCATGAAGCTGTCTGCAAACACAAGAAAAACAGTATCACAATTTTTAATAAATACATGTATATCATTACTTCTGTTATGCTGAACACAAATCTAAAATTAAATGCTTGAATGCAGAAATAGCATCAAATATGAATTTTATTAATATTATTTCTTTCTCTTCTTTTATTACCTTAAAGTTTTAACAGTAATGTTATATCTGCATTTTAGTTAATATCCACTGCAAATTATAAATCTATTAATTATCCCTGAGTTCACTTTTAATACACTAAAAAAGTACAAACCTTAGGATTTTTATTGTAATATTTTTATTTGCTAATCAATTCAGTGTAAAAATATCAGC